CCATAAGCATTGATTAATCACGCAATTTTGCATGGAGTGACTCCACTTTATTATTATGCATCTATATTATAGAAATCCTGTACAGCTTACTTGTGGTTATTTTCTATAAGAGCAGGTACTTGCAGGCAAACGGCACAGGCTGTAAAGATCATAGTTTTGACTTGACTCTATTCAAAAACATCTCTAAAATTCTTCTTCACCTTACTTCCTTATCACCTAAGACGTTACTATGAAGCTGTCACCTACTGCTGTTACCGTCCTTATTGGACTTGGCATGGCTTTGCCACAATCATTATTGCCAACGGAAGGATCTCAACCGTGCGCAAGTGTAACGCAAGACACTGTAAATAACTACCCAAGCTACTTTTTTTTTTAATAAAAAAAAAACTATTGGCCGAATACGGAGCAGAAGCTTACACGTCAGCAGGCAAACCAGCCGCAGCAGCCGACCCAGCAGTCCGGGGCCGAAGACGCGCGAGCCACCACCAAAGAACAGGTGCAGCGTGAGTTATGTAACGAGACGGCACTTGAGGATAATTTCAACTTTGGAGTGTCCGAAGCGCAGTGTGATAAGGCATTTACAACATGTATCTCCGTGGGTCATAACATAGGGCAGAAGAAAGAACTTACACAATGCACGTACAGCTATGCAGAAGATATTTATACCCACGATAGATGGAATTATAATGCACCGAAAAGGCCAACAAAATCGTGAAGCCCAACAAGAAGGCTTCACTAATATAAGACTTATTAGCTATATAATTAGAATATATACCTAAGTAAAAACTTTAGGCCTAGATATTCTTTTTATATATATAAAGTAGTTATCTTTTTCTTTTTTTCTTATTATAATTTAAGACCTTTAATATCCTACAAGATTATTATTCAATTGAGCCCTTTTGCTCCAAGCATTCTATATTGAACCCTTGTCACAAATTAGCCGCCTGCCTAGGCGGCGCTGGATCCATAAGTGGAACGTCACAGTCTGGTCGCACGGGTTGTTCACGAACGGTGTAAGTGAGCTACTATAGCAATGCAACGCAGGTTCACCTAAGCATCACATGAATGTCAAGTGAACCACGGACTATATGTACACCAGATTTCGCTTCATAGATAGATACTACAGTAGGGGCTTATAAGTATTCGACCCTTTCGGGGTTGTTCAACGCCGTCGGCTAGTCGAATACTTGTGTCCACACTGCAATCTTTAGCTTTCAACACGATCCTTACAACGATCCTAACTTCGCATTTTTGACTCTTGACTCTCATCACAGTGTAGTAAATAATTCAGCCGAACGCTGTGTAACGTACCACCGACCACCCAAGATGGCAAAACTGATTCAAGCAACAATTTTCTACGCAACCACAAATGGTGACAAAAAGTGACGAAATCCAGTTAATGCTGGCCCTCCAGGCTATTGAACGATGCCCTGAACTAAGCAATCGTGAGGCTGCTCGAATCTACTCTGTTTGTCATACAACTTTAATGCGCCGAAAGAACGGCCAAAGCGCTGTCCACCTTTGTCATAATGAGCCGTATTTTTGCAAGGGCCAGCATATAGATAAGTGGCTACGGTACGACGAAGAATCGCCACCGAGTATGAATAATTAGAAAGTTGACCGATACTGGTATCATCTGAGCATCAAACAATCCCAAGACTCTGTCGATAGCAGAGACACATACGTCTTACAATTACTCGAGCACACCTTGGAAACCTTTTCGCAGCAAACATGCATCGCATACATCAACTTGTCTTCTGGCTCTGTCGCATGCAACATGGATTGCCAACCCGGCTGAGTTTCGCCCGCATGCCTATCTGAACACAGTAATCTTGGCCCATATTGTTGCACGCGTTACAACTTTTGGGCCTTTGACAAAAGTAGCGCTAAGGGTATTCTTTGCAGGTGCAGCTCACTTCCCCAGGGTAAAGACTCCTAAAGCCTTCTTCAAGCTGTTCTCGGCAAAATGATCAACCATGGTGCTCATGATTTCCTTTTCCTTGGCTCCGACGGCGTGCTGCGGTCATTCAACAACGCCACAATAGTAGTTACGTATTCTCAGCCTCTGTCGCCTCGAGAGATTTCTTTACATCTTGGCGGTATGACTGTTCGAGAAAGAACTGAACCATACGGCTCCCAAAGCCCTCTACCTACAGACAAGAGCAGCGTCGATGGCCACAAAGCGCCTGTGGCAGAGTGCATGTCACCACCGGCTGCTATTGTCACCGAGGCAGCGCTTCATCATGAAAAAGCCAAAAAAAAGCTGTCACGCAATCCAAGAATCCTACGGCGGTTCTTTACGCCAGAACTCCGCGGTATGTGTGTGGTGTTCTTCTGTGCTACTCAAGCAGTGTTTGCTTGGCCCAAAACCGTCTTTACTGCACACAGAACCAATCCAGCGACCTGTTCTCCTAAGTAGGAGAGCTTAACGCTTAGCTTGAAGAGATTTGATAGAAATATGCGACAAGTTACAAAGGCCTTTCCTAGGCCAGTTGATGGCGCTGGATGAGTTGGGATGCTTTGATTTGCGCCCTTGGTCTGCATCCCGGGTCGCTGAAATACTAAGCAACTGAAGGCCAAGTGGTTGATTTCATTATGCTACCACTGTCGTTTATTCCTATCCGCTGTAATTTTTAATGGCTTTCAGACTTTCGAATACAGTTGTTTCCAGCCTGAGAGCTTAATTGAAGAAACACGCTTTCAAGCTTTCGCATCTTTGTAAACCAGTACTCTGATGATCCCTTGTAGTAATTCTCTTTTCGCTGCACCTCCTTCCTTTGCATTTACAGGTATAATAGCACCTCTTTCGCAGAAACGCAGATGTACACTTGTTTGAAATGGGTGCCCCAAGTTTGAAGCGAGTTTAGCCATTGAATACGATTTAAATGCACTACTCTATTCAATGTTAAAGTTTCTATTGCGCTTTACTATAACTTTAATCAAGCTACATATGTAATCTTCATGTAACAATACCATGTCGATAGTCATGGAGCAGGGGACGCTTTACAGACGGACATGGAGAGCACGGTGTGGATGGCACGGACACGGACACGGACACGGACACGGACACGGACACGGCTGGTGGGCCCGGTCCGGCCTACCCGGGGCTCACAACCGCTGTTCTAATGGGAGCGGCATGCTTCATGTCAAAATGAGACTGGTACCGGGAAAATGGAGCGGCATAAGTCTAGTGTTCTTGTATGAGACAAAGGGCCCTTCTCGGCCTACAACTCACATGCATCCAATGACAAGTCGACAGCACAGGGCAAGCGGCGAACAATCACTTACCATGCCATCAGCCAATTCCAGCCATATGGTTCGCATCGTCGAAGTCGGGCCCCGTGATGGCCTGCAAAACGTGAAGGAAATTATTCCGACAGCCACCAAGGTCGAGCTTATTAGAAAGCTATGCGCGACGGGGCTTCAAAATATCGAGGTCACCTCCATGGTCAGCCCCCGTGCTGTGCCCCAGCTCGCAGATGGCAAGGCCGTGCTCGAGGATACCCAAGTCCAACAACTTTTACAAATACATCCCCAAACCAGAGCGCCTGTTCTTATTCCAAATATCAAAGGCCTAGATATAGCGATGCAATACGGCGTCAAGGAAGTTGCAGTCTTTGTGAGCGCCTCAGAGGGCTTCAGTCAAGCCAACATCAAATGTAGCGTGCAGCAAGGTCTTGACAATAGTCGCAAGGTTGCTGAGAGGGCACTATCTCACGGGATTTCCGTGCGTGGGTAAGCAAAGCTTTCTACTATTTTCTCGAATTCGTACTCTTATATTTCCGTCGGAAAGCTTATAAACGTTTCAGCTATGTGTCCTGCATCTTTGCATGTCCCTTTGACGGGCCTACACCTCACCAGGCGGTGCTGCACTGCGTGAAAGAGTTACTAGACATGGGTTGCTATGAAATCAGCCTGGGCGATACCACTGGTGTTGGCGCCCCTACACAGGTGCGCAGCCTCGTTTCGTTTCTGACCGAGGCAGGTATCCCAGTGGGAAAACTGGCAGGACACTTCCACGATACATATGGTCAAGCCATGGCAAATGTCTGGGCGGCGTACCACTGCGGCGTACGCGTATTTGATAGCAGCGTCGCCGGACTTGGAGGTTGCCCATACGCGCCCGGTGCCAAGGGCAATCTGGCGACCGAAGACTTGGTATACTCGCTGCACACGGCCGGAATCGACACTGGGGTAAACCTATCGCAACTTGTCGACGTAGGGGCCTGGATTTCTCAGCAGCTTTCTGCTCCCAACTCTAGCCGGGCAGGCAATGCGCTTCGGGCGGCCCAAAGCACCGCCAAATCTCGCGACATGCCGTCTGTTGAAAGCCTGCAATGGACGCAGAAACCAGCAGACAGGGGCATCCAAGTATTCAGGAGTGGCACAAATCTCAAGCTCGTTTTAAACCGCCCCCAAAATGGCAACGCTCTCACAGTCGCCATGATGGAACAACTCACCAAGATTTTTGAGGCTGCAAAATCCGATCAAACCATTACACGAATCGCAATAACCGCCAAGGGCAAGTATTTCTGCACTGGTATGGATCTGGGCAGGGGCAGCTCGCCAGTTGCCAAAGGCGGTGCAACGACAGACGCACAATTCAACCGCTTGACACGTCTTTTTGAGGCCATTGACCACGCGCCGCAAGTTACTCTCGCCCTCGTGCAAGGTCCAGCCTTTGGCGGCGGCGTAGGTCTCGCGTTTGCGTGCGATATTCGTCTGATGACCGCCGCGGCGAGCATCAAGCTTACCGAGGTGCGGCTCGGCCTTGCGCCGGCCACCATATCGAAATACGTGATCCGAGAACTTGGCGTTTCGTTTGCGCGCGAAGCTATGCTTTCCGCTCGCTCAGTTACCGCAAAGGAACTCGTACAATTAGGCAGAATTGCTACGGTTGTTGGGCCGGACGTAAATCCACAGGACGCTCTTGATGCTTACTTGATTGGCCTAAAGCATTGCGCACCGCGGTCCTCGTCATTGACCAAAGAGCTGGTAAGACTGGCTTGGGAGGATGGCGGAGGCGGTAGCAAACAGGCTGATGGCATCCGTCGAGTCTTTGACGACATGATGCTTCCGGACAGTGAGGCGGCTTATGGACTGGAGCGGTTTCAGGCTGGCATAAAGGATATCGATTGGGATAGATATACCTTGGGCAAAGCCCTGGCCAAGTCTAGACTGTAAAGGACCCGTACAAATGGCAAGGCACCTTCACTTTGGCCATGTAATGCACGTGTGGTTTGGAACTGCCTAGGATAGAACTGGCAATAGTATTTGCTGGCATTGTCTAAACCTAATAGTAGGTCGTTTATTTGCAAATTAGTAGTTGCCCTGATGATAGAACTCACAATTACTGAACAATGCTGAGAAATACATTTACTACAGAACAGATACTACCCATGAAATGCGTCTGCATCTGCTTTGGCCTTTACGAATAGCCACACCATAGTGATTAGCAGCGTTGTTGATGCACCACACACCAAGGTGACGGTCTTTGCTCTACAGCAGTGGGTGCATCGAGAAGAATGGACAGCATGTACGCAGGTCGCAATACCTCGCGCAAAGTCAGGACGCTTGTACATAATTTGATTGGCTTCTCGAATGTGACTGTGGCGTATTTTGGAAGTCGTCTTTTTTCTTCGCCTCATTTTTCCAGGCCATGACTGGGAATTACAGAATAATTTATACATGTCGATGGCTACACGATGGAACGGACCCGCCAGACAGCCCTACCTCTAGGCCAGAATTAGTCCGCCTGGATACATATGCCATGCAGTTGAGTCATACTCTGATGTCATACCATGGCTTGAATGGGGCATGGGGGTGGCAGGCCAACATGCAGCAGCGTAAACGCTGAGTCATTTTCCGTATGAAAGGAGGCTTACACCTTTCAAACTGCTATATACAGGAATCCATGGCTGCGCTTATCGCAGTATAACTCTCTCTTGGAATCCATTACTCTTCCCGACAGTAGTTCCCTAATATCCTCGTCTACGCTACCTCTACAAAGCACGATGGAGGCTGCTCCTAGCAGTCCTCCCCCAACAGGGACTCAACCCTCACTTTTCGCAAAGTCACCGAGGACAATTGGCGAGCGGTAGCAAACCTCAGCCCCAAAGACGGCCAGAAAGGCAACCTCGCGCCCAACGTGTGGTCTCTCTGCGAAGCCCACTATTCCGAAGACGCATGGGTGCGAGCCATCTACGCCGACGAGACGCTTGTCGGCATGCTAATGATGGCCATCTGGGATCCCGACGAGGCATACTACATCTGGCGCTTTATGATCGATGGCCGTTATCAGAGTCTCGGGTACGGTCGGCGGGGCGTGGAATTTGCCATGGCGCATATACGACAGCATAACCCTGGGGCAAAGAGGTTGGGGGTCATGTCCACGCCGCCAGAGGGCAAAAGTAGTGGCAACCCCCTCAAGACTGTCAAGCCTGAAGACTCGCCATACAAGTTTTATGAGAAGCTAGGGTTCAGGGAGATTGCGCCACCAGATGAAGATGGAGAGATTATGATGTCTATAGACTTGTAAGGAATTAGTGTGGAAAGCTATTGCTCGTGGGTTTGAGTCCCGTGTCTAAGCATCTACTACCACATGATAATGACATGTTATACCCCTCAGCCGCCTATTGCTCCTATTCATCATGGCCAACAGAGACGCAAGTTATAGAAAAACATCCACTAGACAGAGTGTACATGATAGCAAGTGTAAGCCTCCCTAGTTTGATCGAACAAACGATAGTTGACCACCGGCGCCCTGGTTGTCGAGGATAAAAGTACCCTTGGCCTGCGCGCAGACGGAGCCGTCGCCGTTATGTACAGTCTTGGTGCCGCACTGAGCCAGTGGTTCGTACTGCACAAATCCCGCCTGGCCAGGACTAACCGTAAAGGTTTCCGAGTCGCCGTTTGTCACGGCAATGGAGTGAGAGACGTCCACCGAGGCGGTGAATACGTCCGCCGCGCCGACAGACATGCTGAAGGAATCCGTCACCGTGACCGAGTGGGACAGCTGGACGGAGCACGAGTTGCCTTGGCCGGGGCAGCTGATGAAGGGCGAAACCCGAGCACCCTGGGCGAGACAGCTAACGCAGTCGTCGCACGTCACACTCGTCGACCCGCTGCACGAGTCTCGTCGTCGAGACGTGAAGCTGCCCTCTGCGCCTCGCTTTGCCCTCTTGGCGGGAGTGGACGGAATGGATGCCACTAGCTTGCCTGACGGGATGCCGGCCAGGTTATTGCAGCCCGTTTGGTCGCACTCGGCGGTGACGACATCCAGCGCGGGCGTGACGGAGTCGTAGCATCCCGACTGGTGGAAGATGCCCTGTAATGAACCGCACTGGATGTGCTGGTCTTCCTGGCTCTGCGGGAGCTGGAAAATGGCAACGCCGTTGGGACCACCGCTCGTGGTGACGGTGACGTGGCCCCTGGGGTCGTTGTTGGGGAAGAAGTTGTACAGTGTGCAGGTATTGACTCCCTCGGGGCTAATGTCAATGGTTGGGCCTGTTGGGTTGGAACAACTGCCGCCTTGCCAGACGACTGTAATGCCTGCTTGGGCCGTGGAGGCCAAAGCCAATGTGAGAATCGTCTTGAAAGGGGCCATTGTACAAGGCGGACAGGGCTGAGGTGGGAGGACCGTTGCAGGAGATGCTTATGGGTATCAAGCTAATATCAATGTATTGATGTTATATGTTGCTTTTATATTCCCGTCCAAGAGAAGCCTTGTTACCGTTCCGGGCGCGCAACTACCTCGTTGAAATTGTCTTTCCTACCAATACCACTTACAATGACGTCCCGAGTAAGCTGCCAAGAAGCGCCCTCTACCACGTCGCTCCGCAAAAGAGGTTAGCATGGACTAGAAAACCCGCCCATATGGGTCGAAGATGTATGGAACGTTGGCTTTTCAGAACAATGAGTGGTGGAATTGCCACTCTCCGGTAAGATGCGAGCTGGCCCACGCTTCCCGCGACGATCAGTACCGCGATTCATCCTTTTTGTTGATCATTGCTCCATGTGGATGTAGCAAAAACGTAATCCGGACACGCCGTGTGCTGCCCGTCGCAGCAGTCAGAACCCTTCCCCATCGCATCTTGCGTCATCTGAAACGGAAGATGGCAAAGGGGAAACATCATCTATTGACAGAAACTCACGCCGATGGCTATTACTAGAGGCATCTATTGTCAATGACTGCATGGGAGTTGGCCGCGATGCTAATCGCAGTCATCCATGACCTCATGCGGTCGGTAGTTGACGCCGGCACTATATGTATGGATGAGCTAATAGTTGGTGTGGCCAACTAACAAGTCACAGCGTCACTCGGTCCGAATACCATTGACCAATTTGAAGAACCCACAATACCATCTCACTAGGCCTGGTTTACACTATAAGACGGCGCTAAAGATGGGAAGTTGCCATTCTTTCCTTCTTCTTCTGGACCGTTTACCTGGTCCGGAGGAACTAGCACACTATAGACAACGCAGCGGAATATCCGATAAATCCTTGGTGCCACCATGCTCTATTGGGTGACCTTAATCCAGGCCATAATAAACTCACCTGGCATTACAAAGTGAGCACTATGAACCTGTAGTAATAATGGATAAGCAAACTACATCTTGAATGGAGCCATCTTGTCTGTGTTCCTTTCTGGGCCTTTGTCTGCAAATACATCTCACAATAGTTAAACTAGAGGCTTACTGAGGTACACTGCTCAATATGGCAGGTTTTATGATTATCAAAACATGACAAAATCCTAGCTTTGTTTCGGGAAATTTACAATGTAACCGACATCTCAAACATGAAAGGGAGTATACCGTATTAGTAAGATATCTGAAACGCTAATAAACGGAATCCATGAGCTTGGTTTTCGTAGAGATTAGCAACAAAACTAAAGCGGCAGTCACAAAAGGCCACCTATATTCGGAAGAAACAGAAAAAGTGCATGAATGCACGAGCCCCTTCAGTAATTTCCCCGTCCTTCAGCCGAATTCGTTGTGACTCTGGCAAGTTCAGTCACGCTCTCCGACTCCCACGTTACGTGAGTCCTTGCCGGCGACTTGAACTGGGTCTCGTAACGCCGATAATTGCGGCCAGTTGCATCGTTTGTTCCCATACTTTGGGAAACAGCTTGCCTCCAACCGAGCTTCCAGCCGTGAAGCACATTCTTGCACGCTCCCCACGATGTGACTGCATATATGACCGCGTTCCAGAATCCCTGGAGTGGTAGGACAAAGGCGCTCATAAACTGGAGCGGAACAGAGACATCTCCCGGATGAACAGCCGAGTAGACTCGGTTGGCACTTGATGGAATCCATGTAATCAGGAGAACGGCAAAGAACAGAATAGCGCATTTAGTGTAGGACCACGCCGCATTATTGAGCTCATGGATATGTCGTCGAGCGGGCTTAGAAAGCCTCTGCGACGCAATCTGCACAGTGCTCGCGTGGTGAATGGTTGTCCACGGAATGGGAAGTACAGGCTTGCCGTCAAAGACCGTGGAGTTGTTGGCAGATATATGGACCGAGTATGCGGCGCTGGCTCTTTGGGGGTTGTCTGCCGAAGAAGAATCGCGACGAGGCAGGGGGCCAAGAGCGATTCCAGGCTCACCGACAGCCTCGCTAGTCACCGTGACTTCTGTTCTCTTGACCGTGGCTAGAGCCTCGCCGTCTAAAGACAAGGGGTCGGGATCCGACGAGTGAAAGTCGTACAGCTGTTTGCGTGTCTCGTAAATCGTGCGACCAATGCGTATGTAAATAGAGAGGGTGACGAGGATGGCAATCCTTTGCAAGCACATGGTCAGCATTGGCAAAGTTCACACGGTCTAAACTAGCAAAACTCACCACACTGGAGCATACAACGTGGCAACACGGAGGGCATCGTAGTCGGTCGACACCCAGCACCACAGCGTTGCGTTTCCGTAGATGCGCTGTCCCAGCTTATTCCGGGCGAATAGGTAGGCAAAGGCAGGAACAAAGGGAACCCCGTAGCAGCCAATCAAATACCACAGTTCCATCTTGCGTAGGCGCTGCGCATCAAATTCGTGGTAAACGCTGAGATACACGTTGATGGCCATGGCCAACGTCCAGAAGGCATCCGCAGGGGTGAAGCTTGGGAGGGTTGTCAGCATGAAGCAACCGTCATATGTGGTCTCAAACTACGCACAATTGGAGCAAGAAAGCCTGAAACTGGCACCCAAAGGAGTCGAGATTGTTCAAGTAAGACAGCGACATGAGCGTGCCGAAGTTGGCCAGCATGTTGCCGAAGGAAGCGTAGAAAACGAGTCGGTTGATGGGTTTGTGGAAGGCGCTTGACATGCAGAAGGTGGCGATGATGAAGACACATCCCAGGAGAGATGGCACCGAGCACGCCCGCTCGATAACGCTAATAGCGTTGAGTTGGTCCTCGCTGAGCTTCGCCATGACTGTTGAGTTGCTTGGGAAGATGGCAGCGTCGAAGGCTCAACCCGTAGAGTTTTTCTGCACCAGGTCGAGAGGAGAGATCGAGAGGGGCTACCGACAAGACGTTGAGCTTTCCATGGGGCCTCGTTAACCTGGCTTGGAGATATATACGCGGCATGGCAGTCGCAGTACTGCTAGTGGATAGCGCCTTGACTCTTGCAAGGTGAAGCGCGGTAAATATCTTGTATTTCATTTCAACAAGCATCCACATTTCAGCAATGGCTAAAAGCAAAAGAGGGTCCCAATAGTCATGCCGAACACGAGGCTGGGCTGTCTATGGCGGTCCGTGGAAGATGGCTTTAGTGATCATGGCCCAGGCATCAACCGGGATGGCGGATGGGTATTGTAGATCATTTGCAAGGGTAGCAGAGCCCGAATAGACTTTGACAGCAGGTTTCGAAAACAAAACCAGTCAGTTGATTTCATCCGCCGGTGTCATCTACATTTTGACAGCGGACAAGTACTGGCAGTGAATAGCAGTATGAACAGGAACTTGAAGACATGACCAAAGCCATGTCTACATCAAGGAGTAGGTCGGGAGCCTTTACCCTAAGATTCGACATCCCCCTGGCTGAAGACAATCAATGGTGGGGCCCTATGTGGCAGCTGATAGAATTCTATTACGTCTGGTAGCTAGAAGAAGAGACTGGAGGGGGGGAATTTGACTAGACTCGGCCCTTATGTATGGAACCGTTGACGGCTAATATCTGTTGTGCCTTGAAAATAACGCGTGAAGAAATTTAACGCTTTTTGATTGGTCTCCTATGCTTCGCCTTGACTTCTTATTGTGTCTTGACTCTCAACGCGTTTGATTCTTGCATGAATCGACTTCGTACGTACCTGTTCTCGAAAGCGCGCCACGGGCTGGTTCAAGGACATGTTGTAACGCCGCTTGAGCTACTTTGGTCAATTTAAACATTATTAATCGTAAGGAAACAATGATAAAAACGTAGATGATAGATAACATGTGTTGAAATTATTAAACCCCTGTGGATGAGATTATTTCTATACGCTGATAGCTTGTACGGCGTACGTAATATAACTCTTCAAGCTACGCAGCCATCGACTAACATTAAGGCTGCAAATTTCCAATAAACTTTCTAAATGCATGTCTTTTCCTTAACTACCGTATATTCGATCTCGATTGAGAATATCCGTGACAAGGGCTAGGCTTGGAGTAATTACTCAATTTATCTAATAACAGTCTTTGGTATCAAAGGTCCTTAGTTTTCCTTGAGGCCTTAAAGGTCAAAAACGTCTTTAAATACAAGAAGTAGGTGAGGACCTTCTGCCCTAATCCCGCGACCGTAGCCCTTGTGTAACCAGCCGTTTCCGTGTAACAATATGGTACTGGTGATATACGATAAAATCTAAAATAAACACAACTATATATATGTTTTTTCCTTCTTCTCAATGCCCTAGGAATTTTGCATATAACGTTATGCGTGTGCTCTAGATGATTACAACAAAAATAATCAAGTACAGAATAACAAACCTGGCAACCTGTCGCAGCATTTCATGAGATGAACTCTATGCATTTTTAGCTTCGCTGCTACCGAGGCCCTGGCATGACATATCGATCCATTTACGCGAAGAAGAGTAGCTAAAACGTTATATAGATAATAGTGACAATATTTGCTCCAAGAAACGGTATCTAAAATAAGATTTAAACAGCTGTAAGTATAGAAGAAAGTTTCTGTTCTTCAAGGTCGCGCGAGCTCACTTGATAAACTCGAAGTGACCTCTGACATAGCACGGCAACCATACTCTTATTTTATTACATTCCAGGCGTCGTCAACGAGCAGCAAGATGACTATCAAGCCATAAAACCAAGTTGCACACCTGGATGTAAGTGGTTTTCCGACTGCAGACAACCGGGTTCAGAAGCAGTTTCATTTATAAGCAAACTCTCCCCTCCGACTGTTCATCAAATCGTGCGGCGAAATAGCCAACTATCACGCAAAAGCCGTGGCTCATCTGCACGAAGCTACTGAAAATTATGGTCGGATTCTAGTCTAAATTCGAATACACTATTTTGGTCGAAAACCCTGAAATGCTGTGTAGGGTATTCCGAACCCAATCTCCACAGATCGATCCATTCGATCATCCGGCGACAAATCGAAGCTAGACGTCTTGATCAGTGAGTCGATTGTGACTATTGTAAATCTGAAATAAAGCCTGGAGAAATATGCATTCTTGTAAACATGATCTGATATTTCTGCTCAAAATCTTGCCTCAAAAAACAACTACTACTGTACAGGGGTGCACCACGACTAGGAAACGACAGCACAGGTATTCATCAGATAAAAAAGGCATTGGCCTTGGCATGGCAGCTTGGACATCAACAAGTCTATTTAGGTTGAATTATTGTGGCTTGGATCACTTGAATAGTACAGGAAAAGCTGAAAAGTGGATATCCTCGATGCTGTTTTACATGAATTAGGTCAATAATTAGGCGGAGAGAGGCTAGTGGCGGAACGCAGACCGTCCAGGCTGGCGAGAAGATTTGCAGGGAAATATCTCTCGGCTATCCGGAGACACGGAGCTTTGTAATAAATGGATATTCTACAAATGTCCGTCGGACCTTGTTCCTTACATATCAGCTCCTGGTCCTTTCTCATGGATCTAATATCGGAATTGAGAAACCCCCCATTGGTATGGCGGCGGAGGGTTATTAAAAGTATAGTTTTGCTACAGAATACGGGTATGATGTCGATGTCTTGAATTCTGTTACAAGTAGACATCTCTATACTATTTCATGCCAAATTATGCATGCGGGATTGCGGCGATATAAAAGCGTGTACTCCGTAAGTGTGGCATAACTCGGTGAAATGGCTGAGATTGTGTCCCTATACTTTGCTACTCGACGGGAACCCCGAAACTATTGTCCAGTCTACAGTCTCAGGCAATCCGAACCCCCGTTGTTGGAATACATATCGGGAGCGTCTTCTTTACCGAATCATGCGCCCAAGTGTTAAGCGCAGGGCATAGCAATACAAGGCACAATCAGCCAGCAATTCCCAATGGCATTGATGAGATGAACATATCTTGGATTCATATAGCCAAGGTAGCATTCCTCACAGTCTTCGGCATTCGACCGAGGCCATGAGACCCCACAGCCGACCCTGTCAAGTCTTGTGTTTAAATCATCTGAATATTGGCATGTTGCTCCACACAGCTCCGTAGAAGCAACATCCTGATTAACCACGGTGGTTCTCCCTGGGTCTAATTGACGGAAGAGTGGCCCCTTATTGGGACTAGCCTTTGCCAGAGCTATTGGATCTCCTTTTTTTTTTTGTTCAAAGGATTCAGCTACCAGGTCCCACTTCGGTTGCAATGACAAGCATCACACCATTCGCATTGCTTAACCGCGTGCAAAACGAGTCATTTCATCACCCCTGCCGGCGGATACAGTAGATGACGGAGCTTGACTTTGGGCATTGCGTAATTATGATCTTGGTTCAATTTCACTAGCACGATATGATGCCGCTGTACAAACACTGCATAATTATGTGCGCGTCGGTGTCCTAGCCAGTCATTATTACGACAAAGATATTCTCAGTGCAGAATCATCAAGAGCCAGGCATGTAAAGTAAAAAGCGATAAATTTAAGCGACGCTATTTAATACAGACAAACTCATTCATATATATAATAGGTTTATTAAGAGGCCGCAATGACAGCTTAGGTACAACCGTGGCGATCAGTAAACATTACCTATTTCCAGTCCGAACCTCTTTATAAAGAGAAACTCCTTGCATTAACGGTCACTGCATCCCTCGGGGCAGTTCTGAATTAGATAAGAAGAGCCATGGCGGCGAGGAAGAGCATAGCCACGGATGCCGGCATGTTGCCGGATGCCGAGCTGACAATGGGGACCTGGTTGGTTCCCGAAGGCAGACCAGCAGAGCCGACGCGAGTTGGCTTGGAGGGGTTGCTGCCAGAAGGAGCAACAACGCCATTCGAGCCGGCATTGTTGGGGCCGTTGGAACCGTTGGAGCCGGGATTCTTGGGGCTGCCGGCATCAGAGCCAGCACCGGTGTTGCCGGAGCCGGGAGCGTTGGGGTTGCCGGGGTTGGAACCGTTGGCACCATTGTTGCCAGAGCCGGGCTTGCCGTTGGAACCGTTGGGGCCCTCGTTGCCAAGGCCAGAAGGAGAGCCAGTAGAGCCGTTAGGACCGTTGGAGCCGTTGGAGCCATTGTTCTTGGGGCTATCAGGGCCGGAGCCAGGGGTCTTGGAGCCTTCAGGGTTGGAACCGTTGGCACCATTGTTGCCAGAGCCAGGCTTGCCATTGGAGCCGGTAGCGCCGTTGTTCTTGGGGCTATCAGAGCCAGAACCAGGGTTCTTGGAGCTTCCAGGGTTGGAACCATTGGCACCGTTGCCGTTGGAGCCGGGGCCCGAGGTGTAAGAGCACCCGCAGACCTGCTGGATGATGGTATCCGGAACGACGATCTTCTTCTTCTGCTCTACAGAGACGGGCTCCTTGGGAAGAGCGACAGGGACAGCGGGAAGGTGCTTGGCCTCCTCGACAGGGACCTGCTTCTTGGTGCCCTCGATCTCCATGGGGTTGGAGCAGGCCAGCTTGAAGTCGCCGTTGTCGGACTGGGCATAGACACACTTCTGGCAAACCTTGACAATGACGACACGGTCAATGTAGACAGTCTCGGTGGCAGGGGCAGGGGAGGTCTCGTTCTGCTTAGTCCAGCCAGACTGGCTGGGCTGGGGGGGGCGGACGGTGCTGGCAGAAGGGTCCTCCTTGGCAGAGGCAGTGATCCAGTCGTCGTTCAGAACAGGAGTAGGCTGAGTGCTGCCAGAGACGGCGGTGTTGGGGCTGGCGGTAGTCGCGGCGGCAGAACCGGCGGAGGCGGAAGTAGTCTCCTCGTCGTCGCACCACTCATCATCATCGTCAACCAGCGTGGGGGTAGCGGCAGCACTGGTCGACACGGAAGTTGGCGTGGCAGTGGCCGAGGGACGCTTCTCCTCAGTAGTGCCCTTCCAGTAGAGTTCAACCTTTGTCTTCTCGTCGGCGGGCAGATCCTTGGCATAGTTGGTGAGTACATCATCGGGTCCGCCGGTAGGTATCGGACCGGCAGCCTGGGACGCGGAAGCCCACGAAGCATCGTATGCGGCGGTTGGGTTTTCGGCCTGGCAGTAGTCGGAGTAGACACGATCCAAAATTCCGTTCCAGTAGCCTTCGCCCCTCTTGCTGAGGAAGGCGTGTGTCTTCTTGCAAGCAGTGCAGCCCTTCTCGAACTGGATAATCTTCTCGTCAAAGCACAGGCAGTCGCGGTGCTTCTTGATCTGATCAGGGCTCGCGTTGGGACCAGGAAGGAACTGGTTGCATTGTTGCTTGGCATTGGCGATTCCCGGGCACGGGTACGGGATGGTGTTTTTGAGTTGTCCGCTGGGGAAGCACACCGAGTTGAGCAGGGCGGCAGGATCCTGTGCCGACGCCAGGGCCAGCAAGCCCGAAAGGGCGAGAACCGAAGAAAGTTCACGCATGATGGTCTAGGGAACGGAAAAGAATGAGCCAGGAACGGATTAGCGAGTGAATACAGTTGGTGTCCAGAGTCAGCGAGTGTGATGTTCCATGAACAGCTGGTCTGGTGGTGCAAGATGGTACGGATTGCCGGAGTCACCACTGATATATATATTTCAGAAGAATTATACAAACTTGTACCTGCATTCCTGCTTGCACCGGCGTCATCCCCACAATCATTTGCGCTATTGGGGCCTGCATGAATCGAAATCTTGGTCAAGAGTCAGCGGGACTTGGCAGCTCCTGGTCAACCGCCAAGCCATGGCCTGATGCTATTGACATTCTGGGCTCCATTTTCCCCTTTACAGTAATAGACTCTATCAGGTATACTGCACATATGTATTCTAGGACACAGGCCGCGCCTTGCAGGGTTTGAGTTGGTGTGGAGTGAGGCAACGCGCGGTTCATCTTTGGCTTCCGCCTTGCTGTGAGATGATGTTCTTTCTTGATCCACCTTGAGAATAGGTGCCTGGCTGTGTTCTACTATTTTCGTATGTACCATATGTAACAGTGCAAGAGATTCGGGCTGAATACTCTTTGACATTTTTACATTGAATGGGTCTGTCCTGTATGCTGAGATGGATTGTCATGCGTCAGTAATGTAATTTCGAGGTGGCCATGGAAGCTGTGCGATAAATTGACAGCCCACAACGAGTCTCTTCTGGGCAATACAGATCCTTTTATGGCGATGGGCATAAACTGCAGGCAGGACGGTACATGGATTGACCGTCATTTTGGAAGGCCCGTCCGCCCATGTTTGAGCACCCACGGCATCTTCTGTTTCTACTACGATGGTTGAGAACCTATTCAGAACTACCTAGTGACTTGCATCGTGCCATCCTGCCCACACACTATTTCTGTATTGGCTATGCTGAAGACGTTGGCGCTGCAAACGTCGTTGTGGAGTGTAGTACTCGTCGCCTTTTTCCGAGCAATGTGAGCCAACGGGAAAAACGTGTGTGGTCCAACTTTATTTTGCTCATACTCATGGTCCCCCTGTCCAGCTCGGCACCATGGGATTACTTTATAAGCATGGCGCAAGGATGGCCAGCATGGCGCACGGTTTTTATGCTTGTACGTTGCCACTCCATCGGCCAAGATTCTGCCCACTATCATTCAATCCCACTCCCACTCATCCCATCTGTCCAAATGTGGCCAGAAGGTGGCGGAATTTCGGTAGATGCCATCATATCCAGCTAGGGTAACCCTGTCCGGCGTCCTAATACGGAAGCCCACATGACGCGGATGAAGGGAGACTTCCGCCAGGTTGTGCTTTTGGGGGAGAGTCTGCGATAGGACGAGGCCTAGGATGTCATCTCTCATCAGTTAGGCTCTTTCGATTATCACGTATGAGTCAATCCAGTAACACAGGCGGCGCTAGTTGAACGGTTCGCGACGCGACCCTCGCGATACTCTTGCGGTAGCAGTCGGACAACTCTGCAAATTACCAAGCTCAACTACCAACATGACTAACCGGTAGACATGCCACAGAGCAAGTAGGATGAGGAGCAGTGCGGAGTAGGGTCTCCAGAAATCGGGGAAATGACTACGTATCCCTGAACCGCAGCCGGAAGAGCCGTCGCTTCTTGGATGAATAACCCTTCAAGGGTCCCAGCAGCGCCGACAGTGGTAGCAGAGTAATGGAAAATCTTTAAATACACATAAATATCCCCTAAAGAGAGCGGAAATAGCGTTTTATGCGACTCGAGCTATGCTTGGTCTGGACTGCTCTCCCGTTGTTCAGGAAGGGCTTCAAAACAATGTCAAGTTTTTAAAAAAGCGGGCGCGAGCATGGGTGTGGCCAAGGGTGCCAACACAAAAACAGTTTAGCGCCGTACAAATAGCACGACTCCAGTCGGATGAATTAATATGCGAATGCTATTGCTCTCAGGTACTCCGTACAAGCGTCGGTCATCTCCTCGAATGGAATCATCGAGTCATTTGTTTAATTAGTATTGATCATGCGTTGCGCGTGCGGAAGAATGTGCGCAGCCCCTGCGCTCCTGCTTTGGGAAATCATCAATTGGTCCCACTTTCTCCCACTTTCTCCCACTGGTAGAGCTCTGTTATCCTGCGAATCATTTCCTGCATAGAGAAAATGATAACATTGAATTATTTGGGGTTGCTCCTTGTTCCTGTCATGTTTGCGCGACCAGACACTTCCTTCTAGAGCGGAATTGCGAGCAATAAACATCACCGGCTTGGCTGTCAAGTCCGCATGAAACTCAAACATACATACCAGGCTGACGGGGTCGTGCGTGTCCCATCAAATCCTTCTGCTCCATGTCATTAGATCCAAAATAGCGAGAGAAGAAATTCGATATCGCGGTCGCTGTTGCATCATCCAATAGATGGCCACACATTTTTTGCTCGGGCTTCTGTCAGCCGTTTACCAATCATTAAACGCTATAAGCACTATATTTAATATCTGCGTTACAAGGGGAGTCCATGCATACCGCCCAACGTGCCTGACAGCAAGGCATTGGAGATCGGCACCCGGAAAGCGAATCGCTGGTCTTACTTCTCCCGCCATGATGGTCCAATCTTAGCACACCGCGTCTGAATTACTCAATACATGCAGCCTAGATTGAATTATATTGTCATATTTTATGCTACTATGCACGTATCTTCGTGGAAAGGACTGCACGGACATCAATGCTACGTCACACATCACACATGGCAGCGAGTCATTCACTTGGGGCTTTGATTGCTCCCATAGCGCTGCATGATTTCTGATAGAACTCGGTTCATTTAACCATAGGCAAATGGAAGGGTTAATCTGCGATGTCACGATTGGCAACTATGTTTGGCATGAGTGTGGACCGGCCCTGGATTGAATCTGTCTGGCCAGGGAATTAACGCGAGAGGTCGACGGCGCGGTTGACAGATTCCTGGTTCACCAGCTGCCAATCTGAACCTTGCAAGGCTGAATCGAAACATTGAACCTACTGGAGAAAAGCCAGATATAAAGTCTGGTATGATTGGTGGCTCACTCGTTCACATGGCAAGATCAAGGCCACGGCACACCAGACACAGCAAAAGTGCTTGTTGATACGTGCCAGATTTAAAGTCTGGTTTTTTTAATCAATTTGCACATGGTTCACATCGCCGAGTTGCACATTTTCCCTATAGCGTCGAGGTCTACAATCCAGAACGGACATACCCCGTATCAGTTGACATTTTAAATTCCACTTAGTACCGTGACTACTTGAATGTAAATTTTAGGCAGCAGGAGATCATTGAACATTTTATTCAAATAATCAAAGGACACGAGTGCCGATAAACCGACATTCAAGCCTTTGTCTTTTAGTGAATATAACGGCTTGAATAGAATAGGGTAGGGAGCCTCTTATCTCAGCACGAATACCACCACTGCCTCTTACCGCGATATGTTGTCAGCAAAATAAAGAAAAGAAGATAAATGATTGCCTATGCGGCGGCTATCGCCAACGATAGACTCTGGTTTAACCTAATTACTCACTTCCCAGGGCCTTAGTTGGCTGCCCTGACGCACTTCTACGAGATCTACTACGACATTGTGCTTGGAGGCCAACTCACATTCAAGATTATCGAATTGCATAACACGCTACGCCGGCGTCGTTCGCATCAGTCCGTGGGAGGTGCACGTGTCGAATCCCGACTTTCACTCCCATCTCTACCGACCAACCCACGGGACAAATGGGGCTTCTATGCGAGACAGGCATTGCACAGATTTTGTCTCTTTTGTGTCTTAGAACAGTTGACTGACCGGGTGTACACAGTTTGGTGCTCCTTGTATGCCGATGGCCGTTCCCTGGAGCTTACTTCCGTTGATCTGACAGCATAAACGTAGTCGCTTGGCTACACTCCACCATCACTACTACAAGTTGCGACAAAGCACCTTAAATCCATTCTCTTCAAGCCAGAGCGTTCGTGGCCTACAGCCAATCTTGGAAGAGGGCGTGAATGCGCTTTTGGAAGCCCTCACACGATACGCAAAGAAACAAAATGGTCTGTCACTAAACATCATGCACACATTTTCAGCGGTTACAAACGGTACGACACCGATGTCTGTGGCAGTTTGATGGAGGTTAAACATGACTTGCAGACTTTATCAATTAATATTCGTTTGCTAGATGAGATCATCTTGGTGCGTGCTTGGGAATTAGAGTACCAAACACAACCACTAACTCACAGTAGTCGAAGAGCCAGACTTTGGTGCCGAAGTCACTGACAACCCATGGACTGGGACTCACGTGGGACCGTTTATCAAGCACATGAACTGGGCAGTGGCCACTGTCAACTGTCTGCCTGAATTCTTTTCCGGCCGCTGGGTTCCCGGTATGATGCCATGGTTCCCCTTTGAACCCGACGCTTACAGCGGGTGGTGTTGAGCTGGCGAGGCTTTTTTGGAGAGGAAGAATGATATCTGCCGCCTGATTCGAGATATAATAGTCGCCGAGAATGCGGAGAAGTGGCAGTCGGATGTCAGCTACCTGACTATCTTTCACGAAATATTATTTTCCAAGCTTCTTCCAACCAAAGAAAAGACATCGTCTCGGCTGCCCAAATAGGCCAGATCCTCGCCCAAGGCGGAACTTGAACATTATCCTGGGCATCGACTCTGGCTGCTTTTTGTCTCTTTCACCAGCCAGAAAGCCTTTGCAAGCTATGTGATAAGCTCTTAGCTGCGATTCCAGACCCAAATGAGGTTATTTCACTGACAAAATCGGAGAGCTTGCCGTATCCCCGAGCCGTTGTCAAGAAAGCAATGCGACACAATACTGGCACACCAAACCCTTATTATTCGGGAAAACTTATGACTTAATGTACACACAACCTTGGGCTTAATTAATGAGGTAAAAAACGCGACAATGTTCGCGTGTTGGCACTCAGATAATGAGGAGTTTCAAGTTACTGTCGCAAGTTGGCTACGCGAACAAAGCTTTGATTGCATCAGCTCCTACGTGGCAAAGCGCCTTCAATTCTAATCTCCCCATGACAATAAATACATCCATAATATCCTACATGTCTCAGCTGTCTTTCGATGTATATACCATACAATTACCGTGCGTGTTTAGCAAAGAAGTTACTAGTAAGGGCGGTTCAGGGGCGAAATTCCTGAGCGCATAGAGTCAATGACGACGTGTAATTCAACCGTTTTATGTGACAGCAACCGCATTGTATGTAGGGAACCTCCTCGGATAGTTTAATCTTTGGAGAGCTTTCGACTCCGTGCTCTACGCTGTACCTTTTTATATTATGTGATCGATGCATACATTGACGCTTAGATCACTCATAAATTAAAGCCTTAGCAACAGGCTCATGCTCATACATCCTTCATTCCTGACTCAAATAAGCTATTGAAGATATCATGCAGGAGCAATAAATTATGTAAATAGAAAGTGTGGGTGAGATTGTCGTAGCTCGTATGGATAACGCGCAATTGAGGTTAATAATTAGGGATGTTGTTGGGTTTAAACCGCGAACTGGGCAGGTAAAGGAGATACACAAACTTATAGTTGATCGGAAATATTAATTGTACTGACGTTCTGGGGTAAGGATATTGAGGCAGTTCTGCCCTACATGGTGTCGCTCATGATCAAGTCGTTGACGCGCGTAGGATAGGATCAGGTCGGTTTATCTGATCTTGATAGCTGCAAACACGGCTTACCTGACTCACCGTATGTAGGCACATGCAAGGTTAATACCTAGGATCTCGGGCTACAATCCATGTATCCTCCATGCAGGAACTCACTGGCATTGCTTGTCAGCGTTTGTGAGACGCTGTGAACGGGCGAGGTAATTCAAGGATTACGTAAGTGCACACCCACGTGATTTATTATGGTACCTGGGGGTTTAAGTGCCTGAGATAAGTGGAGCCCCGCGCCACGGTTCAAATGTTGGGTCTGCAGATTGACCCAGGTGCCTGGCCCCTTATCCTTATCTTCCGCCCATGCATCTTGCCATCAATCACCTCTTGATTTCATGCCGTGCCTCGCCCAATCGCTGTCGTTGGCGAATCGTAAAACTCAGCCGACAATGTATCTCAGGGATCATGCCCTTCGTTCTTCGCCGTTTTGTGCCAGCCCAATGGACAACATGGATCCTTTGCTGGTCCATGTTGTACGGAAGTCCAGCGTTCCCCTGCATGGCCGAAACGGCGCCAAATGACGTTGTACCGACGTTGCAACATGACAAAAATAACGATCTGACTTACTATTCGGACGAGGAGGATGTCTGTTGCCGGCCCTCTAAGTTTCCTCTCACTGCGGAGCAAATCGACCGATATATCGACGAATTTATTGACAATATTGATGAGGAGGCTATCGGCCAATTGGCATCGCGACATAACGATCAAAAGCCCTGGAAAAGAATTGCCGGACGGACTCATGGAAGCTTCAACGTCTGCTTTTTCGTACAGTTTGACGACGATACGACTTTGGTAGTGAGAATCCCGCTTAATCCCGTAGTTCATCAAGTCTGGACAAAGGTCCAGAGCGAAGTCGCCACTATACAGTAATATTGCCTTCCTTGTCCACCACTATATACATTATTGGCACACGGCTACTAACAGCACTTGAGCGATTTAGATACCTTTTGCATAAAACGGAGATTCCTGTTCCCCGCGTCCGCGCGTACGGACAAGACACGACGTTGACAAAAAGCGGCAGCGAGACGTTGGCGTTCATAATCTCTGACTATATCCCGGGCCAATCCCTCAGTATAAAGGTTCTGCAGAATGCTACAGAAGAACATCAAAGGAGGTTTTTCGACGAGATTATCGATGTTCTCGCTCAGTTACGCCAGTTGGAATTCCCCAGAGCAGGCTCCTTGATGCCCAATCTTGGCCACAAGTCTGACCCAATCGTCAGTGGCCTGCTCACCATGGCCGCGAATGAGCTGCACCGATACCAAAAGGAACAGCAAAATCCAGGACCATTTGATTCCGCGAGAGCATTCCTGGACTACCAGTATCACATCCTTTGCGAAACGTGTCGACTTGCCTCGGAAGATTTGGAGCGAGCACAAGCGGAAGAGGAACTGTTTGCCCTCGCCAGCTTGGCAAAGCAGATTCCTACACTCTGCAACCCACAATCACCCAACGGCCCTTTTATTCTCACCCACCTGGATCTCAGATGTGGCAACATCATCGTCAATGCGGACTTTGGTATTGCCGCCATAATCGATTGGGAGTTTTCGGGTACGGTACCGCTGGAATATTTCACACCTCCACTATGGATTACAGGTCATGGGCGAAGCGAATACATATACCTTGCTACGGACACGATCTCGAATGGATTTTATGAAGTTCTCAGGACAAAGGCCATGACTTCCAACAAGTGCGCACAGCTCATGCAAGAGTGGAATTTGCAACCACAACTCGCGTTTCCCATTGTCCAAATATTACGCCAGCCCGAGACCCTCCTCCAGGTATTCTACAGATTTATTTTTCGCATTTTCTTCACAGGAGATCGTGAACAAGTGATTTCTGAGTTTTTCGCACAAAACGATGACAATGGAACGATGGCGGTGGAGATACGGCGTCGTGTGGAAACCTCCAAGCACTACGTCCAATATCTAAGTGAACATGGACTATTGGTTGTAGACGAAGAGGCAGAAAAAAGAGAACAAGAGTTGCTAGCTATGCTAAAGAGTGGGATTGCAGCACTAGATGAGAAGTATGGGCCTACTAACCAGGCCAAGGGTGACCATCCTGTCCCGGGTTTCACCTAGGATCGAGTCGATAAGCCTCTGCGTATCTTGTAACTCTCCTTGCTTTCTTTGCATGTCTTGCGTCGTCTCGCTGATTTGGCGCTTAACACGCCCTAGTTCTTGGCTTGTCGGGTTGGCGGATATCGTGATTGCTAAACCCCAGAACGTTGATGGAAAATGGTCACTTCAAAGCCTGAGGGCGAACATGATGGGATACTGTTCGCTATACCCGCAAAGTCCTTTCTAGTGCTGAAGAGCTCATTCGAGCAAGGCTTGGTCGATTCTCCATGTAATCGATGTACATTGACTGGTCTAGACGTCAAGGTTCCAGCCCCATAGCCATCCTTGATCCTGTCCAACAAACTGATTCGTAGGCAGAGAATCGCCCAGAGACGCCGACTGTTGACCAGTCGCCAGGTGGCCACCTGAGTAACCGATTACTACTTCCGTTAACACCATCATCAGACTGTATACCCAAGCACGGGCGTCACCTACCCTGTTCAAAGTCTAACAACGCTTCCGTCATGCAAAGGTTCTCGCAAAACCCAGAATCTGCGCCCGGACCAAGGTCCTGCGCACGCGATGCGGTGTCGTCGTGTCCTTCCGGCCGGGGCGCCTCCGCTGCTACATCTCTGTCACATTGATACAAAGCATTAGGCTCGGCAATTTGGGGTTGCGCACCAGCAGGCAAAGTGTTTCTTGTCTCTGGCTCATCATCCACGCCCACGGTGCCAGGTTGGAACATGACGTCGATTTCTTTTGCCATGACGAGGGATAAAAGATTGCGCAGGATGCCGAGCCCCTGCGTTGCGACGATTGATTTCGTCTTGAGGACATTTTGCATCTCCATCAACGCGCGGATACCTACCTTGGATTCGTGCGACTGGGGACGTAGAGGATCCAGACTTGCCATGATGCAGAGCGTGACTCCTGCCGTGAATAGGTGCAGAGACACAAACGAGACAATGTACGTCTTTGTCGCGTGGTAGAATATTGGGATGGACCCCGTCATTGCGATTTGCAACGCGGCATCCCGACATGTCTCTACCGAGTGCTGAAAGGGGTCGGGCGACGCGGCTTGACGTGGCGAGCCGGCTTCCGATGCCGCCATGTTAAAGGACAACAGGGGTCGGTGGATGAGGATCCTGGAGTTTTCATAGGCTAGTTTCAGAGCCAAGGCCTGCAATTGAAAGAGCTGCTCCCGAAAGGAAACGTGGTTGTTGTGCTGCGCAGGTAATGGACAGCCGAGACTAGACTTTAAATCCAGCTCGGTCGGCCGTAATTTCACAGGAAGTCCATTCAGCCACTGAGCAAGTGTTTTGTCAAGGTCAGACACTTTGCTCATCAGGCTGTGCAAACGCGCAGTATGCCCCGAATCCGACCTTTTTGCATTGTCCATGTGACTCGGGTTGCCATAGAGGTCTGTCAAGGCACACTTGGCAATCTTGGTCAGGGATGACATGGCGCACTTGTAAACCAAGAGATTCGGCTCGGGAAGGGGCGCAAAACCAGCCGTCGAAGCGGAGGACTCATCGTGGGGATCCAACGCCTCGGCATCGCAGTCTTGATCCGAAATGCTCGAGGGAAACCCGTACATTATGGAGCATGTCGTCTCTATCTCATACACTGCCCACCAGCAACGCTGTCTGGCGGCAATCACAGGCTGCTCCATCTGCCCGTGCTCGGAGCCACCCAGAGATTTGACGTTTCTATGGAGGTTCAGAGCTTGCGCAATGCGCTGTGCGCACCCACAGAGAGGCCAGGCCAGTTCTGGCTGTCCGTGGTAGAGGTAGTAGCTGCTCAGCAGAACACATGTCTGAACGGCTTCGAGAGAGCCCATGGCCAAGATGTCGAGTAGCCTGAGTCTCAGAGCCGAGAGAATACGCTCTTTCAGACGGTCTGGCTGAATGCCTTTTCTCGTCAGGTCATCCTTTTGAGAGGGGGTGGTGTACTCGATACTGATTGCGCAAACAGCCAGCAACACAGCCATGTATCCGCACTGACTGGCTGGAACTTTTGCCGGGCCTTGTTGTCTCAGTGTGTGCAGCTGCTCAAACTTGTCTCGAAAGTCTGTCTGGTGGAACAAGAGCATGAACCAGTGGATTCTGTCAAAATAGTTGTTGATGAGTACCAAGCCTGAATCATGCGGCGGCAAAATGTCCAACAGTTCTTTTTCCATGGCGCTTGTGGCACTGGGTTTCGCCACATTGTGTCCCAGATCTCGATGAGCATGTCTGGGAAGAAGACGGTGTAAAGGGTTCTCGATGCCATGTTTGAGCTTCTTCCGGCCCCTCGGCACTTCTGGGTATGCCCACTGGCTTGCGGAGAAGGCCGAAGTGGCAGAGTCTTGAGGAGTCGCGGCATCATGGTGATGAAAGGCCTTGGGAGTTAGAAGACACTCCATGTCTCTAAGCGGGACAACGGCCTCACCTCTTGGACTAGATGAATAGTAGAGCTTGAATTCCACGTGGTCCCCGCCGGCGACTCGGCGACGATCCGCTCGAGACGTCGCTCAGGAACGTCTAGTCGATGCTGCAGCTCATCGGCATCATGGGACGTACCGGCAACTGTGTCTCTCCTGGACCGACGGAGTCTCTGCGCAGCATGTGCGGTTTGCATCCCGACCCGGCGGCCCGTGTCGGAGGCTCGTTTTTGTCCCGTCTCAACTCTCCACCGGGATGATGGAAGACAATCCGCATTCGCCCTCGCACACAGCGTGCAAGGCCTATGTATGTCACACTGATCACTTAGGGTTAGTACTTATCACCGTCAAATTAGGGGCTTTGCACACGATTGAATTGCCTGGCTGTCTTGCCTTTAACTTTTGCCGTCGGCATCGTTGACAGGCGCTCGTGACTTTGCCCGGCGATTGTTTCGCGATGTCTTGCTGAGGACGAGATGACATGGCGAGAATCTGGCGACGGAGGCAATGGCAATCTACCAAAATTGTTCACGGTCGGTTCACTGCGAATGTGAGGGCTTCCCCAAGGACATGTGAAATGCTCGTTGAGACTTCGAAAACAGCCACCGGAACTAATTACCGAAAGTGGAAAGTCCGCCCGGTGGAGGCAACGCCGCCTTGAACGTTTGTGGCGTTTGGACAAGGAGACACTAGTATTGAAATGACATTAGATTAGGCAGAATTTATTGGTAACAAACTAACTGCATTTAGTCGTGGGATTTGAACAGGATAATGTGAAAACTCGGGCAATTGGATATACTCTATACGACACTGTTGTCATGGTTCCATAGCCCGTCAGCTTCAATACAACATGTTCCGAGGCCGACCAGCCATCTGAATAAAAGCCGGATACATAAATAAATTGCGTCATTGTCGGAGATGTCTTATTTCCACAATTAGATGCAGCGAATAAAGGACCAATTCCAACCTACGACTTGATCCATAGCTGCCCATCGGGATGAATGCTCCGCATCGCATTCCAGATGAGACACAGAAAGCACACTACGGGGTGACAAATATGTCCCTACGGAATCTGTGTCTGGTAAGCAAGCTACGGGAATTTTATAGGTGCGCCTGCTGCCAACCGAACCGGCCCGTAGCCGTTGATGATGTCACCACAAGATATCCGAGACTTGTGCGCGCAGAAAATGCAAGGCCGGATATCTGCCGCATTAGCGCCAAGGTTGGATTGGAGCAGACCAATCCTGGCTTGTGTTTGCATCATTGATGCCTTGGCCGGCTTGTCGATCCCGTACCGCCCCTCGATATCGTCGTCTCTCCGCAGGCGTCGTACTCAATGCTGCAGTGCTTGCTCAACCCAACCCAACCGTAGTCAAGACAGCCCCTGAAAATCGCTTGTCCCCAGCTTACGCTATCCAACTAGTTGACGCGAAGCAACGTTCCACCGCAACCCCAAAGTCTCAACTTCCCTATCCATCTGCTCTGGCAGATCTCGCTCCACAAAGCGGAGATGTTGCGGCCCCGGCCCCGAAAAGAAAGGCACCGCGCCAATCAATGAGAAGGTATTAGCTGGAGGCGATGAATCCCCAAGTCACACGCTCGGACGGTTATGGCTGGCGTAGGACCATCGGCTAAGATCATTGTGTATAAAGTGCTGGCTGTTCCAGGTTTACACATGATGAGGTGTTGGGTGATGGAGGCGGCCGTCCCTTGACTCAGTTGACCAACTGCCCCGGGGTGGCTTTCCAATAATGGCGAGAAGCGGAAACTTTTGGCCACAGGCCATGGCTATTGTAGCAGGACTCCTCGGTGTTGCCAAGAGCGACAGCTTGAAAGATGTTGAACACGTCGTCTTGTTCATGCAAGGTAAATTAGATCAACGCCTTGGACACATCAAGGGTGGCTGACCAAGCCTATTTAAGAGAACCGAGCCTTCGATCACTACTTTGGCACAATGGCAGGTGTTCGCGGCTTCAACGACGCCAATCTCCAAACGAATAATGGCGTTCCTGTGTGGAAGCAAAAGACATCGCCAAAGCTTACTAATAGTACCGACTACGTTATGCCATGGTACTTGAATTATCTCGGAGGAAATTGGTCCGAGGCTACGCAGTGTATGATTGCAGGCAGCAACGGCTGGTACCAGAATCATGCAGCTTGGAATGGCGGAACAAACGACCACTGGGCTCTCAACAACACCCCGTACAGCATTGGCTACTACAAGAGAGATGATTTGCCCACGCAATGGGCGCTGGCGGAGAATTGGGTAGTCGGGGACATGTATCAGGTATGTGCAAAGAGTCAAAGGCCAGCCTGGGTGTGGTGATCTGATGGAAGCACAATGACGGCAGGAATCGGTCATTGCGTCAACAAGCCCAAACCGCGTCATGTGGATAAGCGGCTCTATCAACGTCCCGGGTGGTAATCTCAGTCCGGATCTAGGAGGCAATCCTTATATCGACAACTACGAAACCCCTGGATGTGACGACAACGGCATCAACTGCTACCCTCTGAAATGGAAGACGGCACCAGAGTACTGGGAAGAAGCAGGCGTCAGTTGGCAAATATACCAAGATGGCACCGATGACTATGACAACTTTGACGACAACCCCCTTGCATGGTTCCAGCAATTCCAACAGGCCAAACAAGGTTCCAACCTGAACACAAAGGGTATGCAGGGACGGAAGCTGCAGGAGTTTTACGACCGGGCGGCAAACGGAACTCTCCCCGAGGTTTCCATCATCATCGGGTACAGAGAACTGGCGGAGCACCCGCCTTACTCCCCCCACGACGGAGCCTGGCTAGAAAACAAGATTGCAGAAACAGTCATCAAGTCCCCAAAATACAACCGAACTACACTAATAATCTCATTTGACGAAACGGGCGGCTGGTTCGACCACGTGGACCCGTACAGATCGCCCAACGGAACACGAGGCGAATGGTATAATGACAAAGCCGGCATCGGATACACCTTTGCCGGGCCCGGGTTCCGCGTCCCCTTCTACATCATTTCCCCGTGGACGAGAAAAGGCGGTGTCTTCGTCGAACACGCCGACCACACCTCGCAGCTACAATTCATCGAAACGTGGCAGGCAGCCAAGTCCCGCGCCTTCAAGTCCCGCGAGATAGTCCCCTGGCGCAGAGAAAACATGGCCGATTTATTGAACGCTTTTGACTGGGACAACCCCGACTATAGTATCCCCGAGCTGCCGAAAGCCCCTGAGCCTCACAGGAACAGCCGGGGCAAGTTTGACGGCGCATCGCACTGCATGGGGCTGTACGGGGACCCGCGGCCTCCCGTGCCGTATTCGGGAAGCGGCGCAACCACCGACATGGCCGGCCTGGTTGAGCATGGCTTCAAGCCGATTCGCGGCAATTTGACAGAGGGCCGCTACTTGGTTCTGGAAATGGGGCGCTATGCGCTCGCCAACGCCGAGAAGGTGGTGACTGGTAAGGCGTGCGGGAGGCATGATTCCAAGAGCCAGCGATGGGTGGTGCATGTTGAGGAGCTGGGCGGGACGAGGTTCAAGGTGTCGAGCGGCGAGAGTGGCAAGTACGTGTGTGCTGGTTTGGCGCTTTGCAGTGACAAGTGCAAGGCTATCGTGTTTGATGTTCGGTTTAAACCGGGCCGTGGGTATAGCTTCGCGGTTAGAGATGGTGAGTATTTGGTGGCGGATGACAGGGGAGAGTTGTCATTGAACGGCTCCAGTGCGTACTGGACTATTTACAGCGTTAGTTATTAGTTTTGCAGAAGTGAGAAAGGGACACTAAAATGGCAGTTTGGATTGAATTAGCAGCTGATTCCTCTGAAAAAGTACATGCTTGTATTCGTCAATCTTGATGGATTCAAGGACAGATCCGGGACATGTGTCACGGATGTTACACGAGGACTATAATCACGAGATGCTACGGCTCGAGGGCTGGCCACCACTTTGTGTAAATACGATCCTTTGGCCCCAAGCACCTTTCATACCGTGACTGTTATTGGATGAGTTGAGTTTTGACTCCAAGCCCTTGACTGAGACCTTGTCACGGCTTTTAAGGGGAAGTGTCTCCTTCAGCCTGTTTAAGAGTCAGGCAATGTCTTGAGATTACTCCTGGAGGTGGCCTGTTGTCGCACAGAAAAGGCCGGTTACACAAGGGCTACGGTCACGGGATTAGGGCAGAAGGTCCTCACCGACTTCTTGTATTTAAAGACGTCTTTGACCTTCCAGGCCTTGAGGAAAACCAAGGACCTTTGATACCAAAGACTGTTATTAGATGAATTGAGTCATGTTGCTCCAAGCCTTTAGCCCTTGTCACACCTGTAATGGGCGATGGAAAGAATGCTAGTAAACAGATGATTTCAGCTAGTGAATAAGGGGTGGAGAAGAGAAGACGCACACGATGATACTGGTTAGAAAATACGTCCGTCACGGCACGGCAGAAAAGGGCCAGGCCATCTGAGCATCATGGACTGTTCTAGACTGGCACGACGGGGAATTGCCGAAGCGGGCCTCGGGCCGTTGACGAACAATAACCACTATTGCCAAGATAGGCCATGAATATATCCAGATCCGTCGCCAGAATAAGCTTTTTAGGTTCATTCTGCATATCAAACTTGCCGCCACCCCACGTTGTCCCGCCAAAGCGGCGCCATGTGTATCCATCCACCTGTCGATAGTTAAGACGAAGTCCTATTCGTCTCCTTGGCTTATCGCACGAGCGGCCGGCGGGAGCGAACCATCCTTGATACTCCTGAGTCGAGAATAAGCTTTAGGAAGCATTGTATTACTATTATGGCGCTAAGCAAACAAACGTCCTTATGACTAAAGAAATCGACCAGTAATATTAGAGTTATAGAAATCCTATTGTGACAAGGGCTAAAGGCTCAGAGTATAATAACTTAATTCGTTTTATAATAGTCTTTAGTACTAAAGGTTCCTGGATTTCCTCAAGGTCCAGTTGACCAAGGAGGTCTTTGTACAGGAAGTGGTGCGAATATTCTGCCTTGTATTCCGCGATTATAGCCCTCCTGTAACGGAATAACACCAATAATACTCTGCCATGTGTCCACTATCGTAATGCAATTTATCGGTATCGTCTGACAAGATAAGAAGATACCTATTCGCTCATCAACTTGGTTTATTAATTGCAAGCTAACGTTACTCTGTCCAATGATATACGGATATTTTCGCAGAGGATGTAGCCAGACAGTGAAAATTCCTAATATAAAAGATAAAAATAGTATAAGTTGTACATCTTATTAGTACTCTTAGCATTATCTGCGACGAGATTAAATCTTATTAAACCCCGTGTTCGAATGATTAGATTGTAAAGCTTCCATCTCTAGATAACTTACGACGTGATAAATTAGGTAATTACAAGCACAAATACCGACTCTAAGGGCGGAAGAACACGACTTATGGATAGCTGTCCCAGCACCGGAATGTAAGCATTATTAACGGTAACGCGTCCTGATTCATGCTCAAATCCCCTAATAGAAGTAGTTTGACGGTAATTGCTGTGGCAATTGCCGCAGTTGCGGTACTTTAACGGGGCAAGTAACCACGCAGCAACTATCTCCAGCTGCAATCGGATTGCACTTGCTTAATTCAGCTGGTCGTGATCCACACAGAGAAACATGATCCGAAGTCGGCAACAGGGCTTGATCACGAGTTGAGACTATTTATCCACCCTCGAGTTGGTGAAATATGTATCTAGCTCATAATTGTCTACCCAGACGGGAAGAGTGGTATGCACAGACGCGAATTGGTATCGGATTCGTCTTGGTAGAATTCGACGCGTATATCGTGGATAGGGAGCAGACAGCAAGGAATTGAATAATGTACGTCTACAAGATATAAACCCGCCCCTTGTACATAATATCATGTATGTGGAAGACATTATTGGGAGCAAAAGCACCCCTGACCAACGCTCGACTCACCAAAGACGGCTCCGCAGGAACCACTTCTCGCATGTTATTACTGTTTTCGTAAATTGTGCCGCACGATGTATCTCTACTGCTTACTTCGCACCGCACCTTTGAATGCCACACTACAACGGGTATCCACCAATTTTCGTCCGTGATAGTATCTAGTGGGTTTATGCACGATGCTCGAGCCAGTATCAGATTGTGGATTATAAGCCGTGGCACGGCAAAGGATATTTAGCAACTCGGCCTGGTCACACCAAGAGAAATATTTACGCTTTTACATAGGCGACTTGATCTTGATCGTAGTCTATATCCACGTATAAGATGATGCCAGTGCCCCTTCCTAAAGTCTTCTTTCCTTGAGCGCCACTCACTGGAATATATCTCGCAAACTTGCCCCATTACTCTATCCAAACCGCCAAACAGTCTTCATCATGATGAAGCTGTACATTCTAGCCTTATTTGCCGTTGTCGCACTTGGTAGCCCTCAGGGTTATCCCTCGTTTGGTGGTCAGCTATGGCAGAATCCCACTCAGCAAATCTGCGCTCAGTCGGGTGTAAGTGATGTCAAATTGCACAATTGAAATGAACGCTAACACAAGCATGAAACTGTACAGGACTCTTGCCATCCGAATGTAAGTATTTGGGAACTCCCTACAAGGCTACCAGTTCTAACGTAGTACGCAGGCCTCGAATTGTTGCCACGGTCACTGCTGTGATCTTCCCTCTGGAAATGGTGCTGTCTGTGGTGGAAATGTAAGTTGATCCCTAAAAGTAAAGAAGTCATAGATGTAGCTAATATGGCACTTCAAGTGTTGAAACCCAAATTTCCTTGCCAAAACTTTCGTTCACCAACTCAACCCCTGTGAATTGAAGAGCAGAACTAGCTGGCTATAAACAAGTGTTTCCCAATACGGACTCATTGTCCAAAAAGAACATGTCAAGAAAGGAACGATGTAGCGGCTCCTGCAGCTATGAAAGTGCTTACAGTTAGTTTGCGGGATGTATTATTAGCTGCTATTTATTGACACACTTTAATTGGCGTACTTTCTGTCCACTTTATAGTATCTTCAATGGTTTTTATGTCTGCTCTTTCCTTATACTCTGTCCGTGATGCACGAACCGTTTCCGTGTCACATTTGTGCAGTAAACGGGATGTGATAAAGGCTCTAGGCTTAAAGTATCATGACTTGATTTATTGAATAATAGTCTTTATTATTCAAGGTCCTTGGTTTTCTTTGAGGTCTAGTTGACCTTCAATCAAATCGTAATACGGCAACTTCCAACCTATGCTTGCCATTGATGCAAGCATACCCTTGCTGCATATAGACTCCAGGTATAGTGTACGAAAGTCTACGTCTTTGGCACCTTGCCAGCGCTTCATGAATGCTGCTTGCGAAATTTGCCGAGGAAGTGAGTCGATGTAAGCCTTCCTATCCTCTAGCATAGCTCGGCTCGGGACGCCAGCAGCCGAGTCGTCCGTCCACAAGAAACAAGGCAGCCGGGCTGCCTGGACAAGGGGAACCATTTTGGCAAACCCCCAGTCAATTAGACTACTAATATATTAGCTTGGACTGGGAGAATCAGGCTGGGGAAGCATAATGACGATTCTCCTACCACTTGATATGATTCTCATTGTCCATTATAATATTGACTGGCTTGATATCGCCATGGTCCATGGCGAACAGCTTACTACTTCCATCCTCACCAAGGACCTTGGGCAGAAGCGCAAGCTGATCGAGACAATCTTTTTCTGTGAGACCGGGGAGTTTCCCATCCTTTGCACGCTTGAGCTGATTTCTGATGCGTCGCTCAAAGAAATTCGTAGCAGTGACAGATCCTAGGACGCCTTGTATTAGCTACATGTCCAATTCATATCTTTGGGGTCGGTTCGTCCATACCATGTTCCAAGGTACATGTTATCAGGGACAGTTGAATCTCAGCTATCTGGCTTAATATGGCGTCGCGAACAGGCTTTGCTGGAAAGTTGTCATCCCATTTCAGAGGGCATCCTTCAGCCCAATCAAGCACCATGAATGGGTACCTTATTGGGTTGTCAAAGGTTAGGCTGGCGCCACGGTATCGAGGCGACCAAGAAAAGCCTTTTGCTTCAAGTGTCCGAAAAATGTGTGTTTCCATTTCAACATTTGCAATAACGCCTTGCTGGTTCTCTTGATTTGAATGACCTACACGTACTGACAGGCTTGGATGATCCTTGAAGCTAACTTTGAAGATGCGACACTCTCCTCCGTGAAACTCTCCAGCCACAAAAGCTTCGTTCCCACCTAGCTGGAGATGGGAGACGGCGGCACAAATAGCCTTTGGGTCGAGATTTTGCCCTAGATGCAAGCTCATAGTGACTGTGCTTGAGTGCAACGAATCGTGGGCAGACAACGCGTTGGGAAGGGTAAACGCAGGGGGATTGTTTCAAGGTTGGTTGCCTACATCTGTCCTCGTCGTTGTTGGGTCAGTACATGTATCCACGTGACAGGACTTCTCATTACATTGGTCAACCAGGAACTACGTCAGAATTTAAAAGTGTTGGTTGCACAGTCCTCTACAGGTGAGATGGTGCGCCATTATCCCACTCACTTCAGGATGCTATTAGTGTGTAGAATGCCCGTTAGAGTAGTATATGCTGCGCACTCTGCAGAATAGCCTCAGATCAGGGCAAGAATGTATTAACGCGTATGGTATGTGTGTTGAGCAGAGTTACATGGAGCATCATGTTCATACCAGGTGCGGCGTGAGGCAGAATTTCTCAATCAATATGTAGCTCTCTCGTACAACGGCCTATACCATCAACGAGCATAAACATTACAGCCCCCCGTACTTCAAGCAGCGAATCCCGGGGCCTTCAAGTCCCAATTTGTTCCGGATCAGCCGGTGGGCATATCGTATGAGCTAAAGACTAGACCTACATATACGGCCATGGGTGACATCCACTTCGCTACACTCACTGAGTCCTCGTCACAGCGTCCAGTGTAACCAATCTGGACAGCAGGAAGCAATTTAGACGACAAAACACAACGTACATTATACATAACGCACTCCGGTAAGGAAGTATCAATGACTGTTCGCTTCCTCACTAGTAAGCTCCCGCCACCCCTTCGTCCATCGGCTTAAACGTAACCTGCGTGGGTTCATCCGTAATCCCTCTCTTCTCAGCTTCCGTCATAATGGCCTCGGTGGCCGTGGCGCCAATTCGCGTGACACCCAAAGACATGACATGCAGCAAATCGTCCAGTGTCCTAACACCCCCAGCAGCCTTGACCTGAACTTGCGGACTGGAGAATTCCCTCATGAGTTTCAAGTGAGCCACCGTTGCGCCCTTGTACGAATACAGCCCGTCGGGCCTCTTGACAAACCCGTAGCCCGTCGACGTTTTCACAAAGGCAACGCCAACGTCTGAGCATATCCTACAGAGTTTAATAATGTGCTCGTTCTGCAGGAAATCGTTTTCGAAAATAACCTTGAGCGCGGCGCCGGATTGCGTGACGACGGTGTTGATTTGCTTAATCTCGGAGGCGACATAGTCCCAATCCCCGCTCAGGGCTTTGCCAATGTTGATGACCATGTCGATTTCCTTGCCGCCGGCTTTGGCTGCGGCCTCGGCCTCGAGCACCTTGACTTGGGTTGTGCTGTTGCCATGGGGGAATCCAACGACGGGGCAGACAAGAACGTCTGTGCCCTCTAGTTCCTTCTTGGCCATGGGGATCAAGTATGGCTTGACACAGGCGGTCGCCACGTTGTATTTTTTGGCGATGCCAAGACCAGAGAGAATGTCCTCGTCTGTCATTGTCGGGTGGAGGAGAGAGTGGTCAATCATTTTGGCCACTTGCTGGCGAGTGACTGTGATGCTGTTCATCTCGTTTGGCATTCTGAAAAAGTTGAAAGACTTTAATGCTCTTTTTTGGTTTAAACAAGGGTTGAGGCACGTTGTTTCTGCTGTGATGTCCGTCGTCTTTATATAGAGGATGGAAGGAGTTGGCTTGGGGCGAGTTGTTCCACCGGAGCGAATTTCCGCTTTTGGTTCCGGCTAATAAAATTCAACGGTCGTGTCAACTTGTGGAGAATGTTAAAGAATAAACCACTAGATGGATGTCCGCCGGAGACTTTGGCTCGATGGGTCAGCTTTCAATCAATAGACTCAAATGGCTTGTCTCCTACAATGAAATCGGGCGTTGTATCTTTGCACCTGATTGCGGTGCCGTCCCCTCGGTGATGAAAACTCTCCATTTTGTCGGCCCCAGGTGAAATTGCAAAGCGTTACTAAGATTTGGGTTTTGGTTCGCAAATGGCCTTGTGCCATGATGTAGTAAATGACAGCTGCAGTAATACCAATGACGGCTCCCAACTTCTGTTCCTACACTTTTTCGTGCCTTGTATCCCTTTCCTTTTCTCCACCATCAACCTCATCCTCTAGTTCTTTGACTTGAGCATCATTGCCAATTTCCATGTCATCAAGGGCATCGCCAACTTCCATCCAAGTATCACTGGTCTCGGGAATTGGAGAGACCTTGCATAGGCCCCAATACACAAGGGAAGAGACTGTAAATCCACAAAAGAAATTAAGGTTATATATATACGTGGCACCTTTAGGCACCTCTCGTCCAACGGCTCCAGCAAATCCTACCACGTTGATGGCGATTCCGCAAATGTACGCCACGTAGGCGCGCCAATGAATGCCATGGTTATAATAGTACGGGCCGATTTTGCTGGGGCTGTAAAGCTCTCGGGCGTTTAAGTAGCCGCGACGCACAATGTAGTAGTCAGTCGCCATGACGCCAGCCACTGAACAAAGAAACACGCTATACGCCGACAGGTAGGTGGTGAAGCTACTAGAACTAGATAGAAGATTATATGGGCACATGGCGAGGGCCACTACCGCGCAAATGTAGCTTCCGCGACGGATATTAATAAATTTTGGGAACAAGGCCGTCATGTCCGTGCCGGCGGCAACCGAATTCGCGGCAATATTCGTTCCAAGTTGGGCCAGGGCGAAGCCTAGGGCAATAACAAAGACGCCAAACCGCTGGGCAGAGCCGCCGTCTTCAATAAAGTGGCCTAGAAGATCAAGGGGGTTCCAAATTGCCTCTTGGTAGATGAGCATGGATGAAGAGGAGACAATAATGCCGATGAAGGAAGTCACGGCAAATCCAAGCGGGATGGCCAGCAGCTGAGGGAATAGAGCGGCCTGAGGTCGGCGGGCAAAGCGAGAAAAATCGCTATTATTAATAATCAAGGCGGCAAAGTTTCCAATAGAGGACATGATGCCCTTGATAAACTCCCAGGCAAGATCGCTACCAGAGATGGTGGCAGGTTGTCGAACAATCGGGCCAACACCGCCGGCACGCACCACGGCCCAGATGAGAAACGCGATGCCGACCGGCGGCACCACAAAGGCCTTGACGGTAAAGAGGTGCCTGATTTGATGCACGGGAAACCAGAGTGCAGGCAGAGAACACAGCCAAAAGATGACAAAGGAGACGTAGTCGGGCGTGCTGGTGGCATCCGTACCAAAGGGCCCAGGCATCTTGGTCCGATCCCAGGACAGCCATATGGATCGTATCATGAGATAGACGCAGGTGCCGCCAATATACGCCTGAACACCGTACCATATACACGCTACAGAGGCGGATTAGAATCGACATTCAAGCAGTCGAGGCAGTAATGGGCAGGGGATGGCTCACCCATGGCGGCACGGTTGAAAACGGGCCACATGCTCCCCCAGATGCCGAAGGGCGCGCGGTTCACGACGGAGAAGCCAATGTGGTAGACGGCGCCGGTGCGCCCGATGAGGACGACGAAGCAGGCGGAGAAGAAGTAGCCCAGCCAGACGCACAGCCAGGCCTGCCACCACGACAAGCCGCCAACAATCATGGACGATGATATCATCCAGGTGTTGATGTTGAAGCAGTCGGCGATCCAGAAGCCGACAAAGTTCCACGAGCCCCATTGCCGCCGCTCCTTCTCGACGGGTTTGAGATCATGGTTGATGAGCTACAGAGTCTGCGTCAGTACAGGTCCTGGCGGTGGTGTAGGCACTCGCGGTCCATACCATGAGCTGGGTCGCAGTGACGCCTGGCTCGGACGGGACTTGCAACTTGGTGATCCATCTGCGCAGACGCGACCGTCTCTCCATGGTGGTATATCGAGCACAGTGTTGTATAGTCCAGGGCGCAGCCGGTGGGCAACATGGGCGGCCCAAAATATGCAGGCGCGGGTTTACCGAGGACCAAAGGGGCCAGGAAGTGGACAATGTTTTATTTACTCGCCGTCGTGAGATTTCCCGGCACTGACTCGACAAAGCAACCGGCACTCAAAGTAAGGGCATCGGTATCAAAGCGCTCCATAAATTCCCCAACCCCCCTCGTGTTGCTCTCGCTCGAGAGATAAGGATCGGTATAACAGCACGTGCACGTGGTTTACTGTACTCGGGGAGGCACGGGCGGTGGCAGAAATACTAGGGTCCCCGGAACCAGTCTGTTCCTTGGAAAAGAAAAGCCAACAGGGGCCGCAGCCACAGACTGCACTGACGCTGCGGCGTCCTTGGCACCAGACATCGACATGATTCAGGAGATGGCCACCAAGGCAAAGCCCCGGCCGGCGGCGACGGGGCCGGGAATGTACGTACCGATTGATCAAAGATGGCCCCATTTTACCCCGCGATTTGAAGAGAAACCGGATTGGTACCATTACTCGATCACATCGAGTCAGTCTGACATAATGGAAACATAGATAAGGCAAGTCGTCTGCGAGCTCAGCCGCATCGGCTCGGCTCTCGACTGCGTCTTGGCATCCGCACCCGGCGGTGTGTTCTGCCTCTTGCCCTCTTATCGACGACATCCGTAGATAAATCCCCAACTGGAATAATTGCCGCATAACAGGTCAATGCTTATAGTCTCGCAGCACTCGACAGAATGGAGCCACAAACGGAATAGTGAAAGAACTAGACGGCCACACCCTCATCCCTCCTAAACAAGTCTCTCCTCGTCGCCGCAAAATAGAGTTGCGCCACGCCGGCTCTAACCCCGTCGGTGTTAATACAGACCTGTGGCGTTTTCGGTGTCCGAGTACCTTGGCAACGAGACATTGGATGGTTTGCTGCAGCGGTGCCAACTTGGCATGCCGTGACACTATTATACACTCAACCCTCGAACCGAAGGATTAGAAGAAAAAACACAACAGACAAACCGGCCACGTGGGGGCCCAAGTGATAAGAATGACTCTGTGATACCGGGTGCTTGGTGCCGAGTGGGGGCTCCGCTACCGGCTACGATTCCGCGAGAACAAGATTCAAGAACGCCACACCCCATGACTAGTTTCCAAGGACACCCGGTTCGTTTGAAGCTGGGGGATCTGCGGAGTACTGTAACGCTTCCCCACAAGTTTCACGTCTCCGGCCCTTTATCGTTCGTTGACCTCGATGCGCGACCGTTGGTCCATGTCTTGGCCAAGGAGCGCTCCTGCGTCTGTCAGAAACACCTTCATCTCGCATCAACTCTGATTACGAGAGCCAAGACTGACATTTCCGTCGTTCGGTCAGGTATTCAACCTGCCTCCTCACCGAACATCACCGCGCCCAGGGCTCCACCAATCTGGCACAAAACAGAACTGCTCGCCGCCGCAGAAGAGCATCACACGCCTACACAATGACGTCTTCACGAGGTGCGGACTCGTCAGGCTCGCCTTGCTCGCGGAAACGCCCTCGGGAGGACTCTCCGGACGACTGTCTTCCAGACGACGACGCCAGAGACGGCAACGACACATCCCAGGGCGTGGCCGATGGTCGACTTGGCTCGGTGGCCGGCCAAAGCACCAACTTTCGCAACGTCAGTGCCTGCAGCCGATGCCGTTCTCGTAAGAATCGATGTGACCAGAGGCTTCCACGCTGCACCAGCTGTGCCAAAGTCGGCGCCGCCTGTGTTGGGTATGATGCGCTGACGAAAAGGGAGCTGCCCAGGAGGTGCGTTGTAGCAGTCCTCGCATTGAACCCGCTCTGGGGGTTACTTGGTGTCCATTGCTAATGAGTGCATTAGCTACGTCTTTTATCTCGAGAATCGAGTGGAAAGATTGGAGAAACTACTCGTGTCGCATGGCATAGCTTTCCCACCGGCGGATGATCTGGACATGTCCGCTCGCGGGGAGGCGAATGGTGACGAGCCAGGCCCGTCGTCACCTGGACGACCTGCAATTCAAGACAGCCTAGACTTCTTTCTTGGCAACCGTCGTAAATCTTTTGCCTCGTCAGACAATAAAGGCAATTCGCCCAAAGCCATGAGCCGAGACTCCATGGGCTCTGCTTTGCTCAACCCCCAGACGGCCGCCACCTTCATGGCCGTGGCACTCCATACTACTCAGACATCAAATCTCGACAATGAAAAGATGCTCAAATATCACATGGAGGACCCCCAAGGTTTCGAGGCTACGCGTTGTGCGATGCCAGACAAGGCCCTCGCACTCAAGCTGGTCAGAGCCTACTTTCACCGAGCCAATCCCCAAATTCCCATTCTGGAACGCGCGTGCTTCACCAAAATATTTGACAAGGCATATTCAGGCCAAGGAGGCGGCTTGAGGCCCCGGGAACAGTACCTACTGAACATGGTGTTTGCCATCGGGTGTAGCCACGGCTTTATCAACGAGCAAGACAAGGACAAGGCCATCGGCGCTCCATGTGTCGGGTCGAATACGTCCAAGGCTAACCTTTCGCCCGAGGAGTATTATTCACGAGCCTGCATGTATTTCGACCAATGCATCGTGCGAGAGAAGAGCTTGGAGGTGCTGCAAGCCGTCCTGCTTCTGGCCAGCTTTTCGCTCCTGCGGCCCGTGTTGCCAGGCGCCTGGTGAGCTCGAGTACATCGACCATTCATTCAAGACGGTGAAAACGGCTAACTAGAACAAGGTACATTACCGGGATTGCCATACGCATGGCCATCGACCTAGGCCTGCACTGCGACACCGACGACGACGCCCCGGACCGTGTTCCCAGTCCCATGGAGCATTCTCGGCCCGGCGCTGCCAACGGGGACGAGTGTGCAGAGACCGAGGAGACTGCCCAGAGGGATATTCGCGAAGTAAGGCGGCGGCTATGGTGGTGCACGTACAGCCTGGATCGACTTGTTAGCATCAGCGCCGGCCGGCCGTTTGGCATCAGCGACAACGATGTATGCACCCCGTTGCCATCCTTGGATGAGGACGACACGCCAAAAGACGGAGAAAGCACAAATAGTCCCGAGTCTCACGACCTGCCGCAAAGTTACAAGTATCTTACGCATCACTTCATCAAGCTGCGGCTACTCCAGTCCGACATTTACGCCGCGGGCCGAACTTGCAAGGGGCACGCCTCGAAAATCACCATGCGGCAAGAAGAGACGGCCTCAGAGTCCCCGTTCGAGGCAGACTCCGACCCCGAGTCCAAGTGGCAATGGCTAGAAGGCATGGAGAAGCGCGCCCTCGAGTGGAAGGCGTCGGCGCCCACGACGCACGTCACGGGTGTCTTGTTCCCCAAGGCCATTTTCGAGTTTTACTACTGGCAGACCATTGTGCTCCTGTACCAGCGCGACGCCAAGATCCCCGCCTTGATGCAAGAGGTGCAGTCCGTCTTGGACAAGTTGCACGTCTCGGCGGCGCCGGCCTCGGAAGCAGACGTTTTCACAACAAGGAGGTATATAAAGATGGCCCAAGCCGGACAGCGCGTGCTGCGCATGTACCGACAGCGCCACCTCGCCGGCTGCATCAAGTACACGTACAGCTCGGCCCTGTATCTCTTTTCCGTCGCCATTTCCTATCTCCACGCCGTGGCGCAATCATCCGCCGTGCGTGCCCGGTTTGTACGTTGTTTTCACCCAAAAAAAACAAGTAGGAAAAGCCGTTCTAACTGCCGTTGCATAGACACCCGATGACGTCGACTTTACGATTCTGGCGGCGAGGTCCATCTTCGCCGACATGGCCGATACCTGCCCCGACGCGACGATGTGGACCGAGGCGCTGGAGCGGACGGCCAAGGCAACCACGCGAATCACCCGGCTGTACGACGACCTGGACCAGCCGTCCCGGCCGGCAGACTGGGACGAGGACGGCGGCGGTGTACTTTCAGACCACGGCGTGACCTCTGCGGCATCAGACGCCCATGTCGGGCGGGAAGACGGCGCACACGCGTGGCAGACGCTGGGGGGGTACGAGGATTCCCGGCCGCGCGGGAGCCCAATACACGTACGTGACGACTGCAATTGTGAGAAAATGGCCCGTGACTAACCCTTTTTTTTGGTGTCTAGTGGGATTTTGCCGACGAGACGACGTCGTTCCGGTTGGGGGGCGACGATGCCGTTTCGGCGTTGGACATGGCCGTGCCGCCGTTCGGCTCTCTGCCGGCGCAGGCGCTGGCTGACATGGAGAGCAGGAGGGGCGACATTGAGTCCGGGGACCTTTTTGACCTGGAAACTATATGGCAGCTGGACAATCTTGCGACAGAGGCCCCGCACATGTGTCGAGTGTTGAATGTTGGCGCGTCGGTGGTGGAAACGGGGCAGGTTTGAGGTGTAGGGCTGAGTAGGGCTGAGTAGCTCATCGCAGACTTGGTCGGTCGGATGAGACCAATCTTGCCTTTTGGGTCGGTGAGGATGATGCCAACTTGTCAAACGGGCGTGGAAAGTTGCCATCTTGCAGAGACGTCTTGTGCAAAGAAGACGGCCATCGCTTGACCTTGGTGATGGATCTTGCTCGATGCGACGCTGCGGATTTGCTTGCCGACGCTGTAGGAACTTGCTTGAGAAGAGGAACGCGCTCTTTGCTGAGCAAGTATACTGTGGCGATGGCTCTGATGAAATGCTTGGGACAATTGCGCATTCAGCTCATCATTGACTTTGTTATCAAAGCTTGGCCGTTACATGCGTCATGGGCCGTCTTGGATTCGTCAGATGAGTACCGGTCTGTTCTATATAATGGTTTATTGTTATGTAATCATGCTTGGATGTAGCGAATGATAGGCAGCTATTTGACAATGTACTTGTAAATGAGGCTTTTGTCGGGATTAAGCTTCTGGACTTTGTAATTTTTCGTGCTTGTCATGATTTGACGCGCGACCGAATTGAGTCGAGAGTGTCTGATTTGTGATGGTTGGATTCCTATACGAAAACTACCAGTTAGCCACCTTGTACATATTTCCAAGTCGGCTCACTGGCGAGCAAGTACAAGACGGGAAGGAGTTGTGCGCACAATGGTTTCTTTGGCATGGTCAGAAAGTGGTGAGTTTTCTCAGGGCCTTGTCTCGATGCCTTCATCTTTGCATTCCTGGTTGCCCACGAGCCGCTCATGAGTGACGCATCTGAACTCTGGCCATCAGTACGGGATATGATGCTCGAAACTCGCTGTGACAAGGGTTCAGTATGAAGGCTTGGAGCAAAAGGGGCTCAATTCAGTAATAATCTCAAAGAGTCTCTAAGGTCTTAGGCTACTATTAAAAAAAAAGATAGCCGCCTTATATATATAATAGGAACACCTAGGCCTAGGGTCCTTACCCGGGCATGTGTTCTAGCTGTGTAACTAATAAGTCTTATATTAGTAAAGCCCCTTTATTGGGCTTTACGATCTGTTGGGCCTTTTCCGTGTAATACTCGCCGAGGACCAGCAATGTCGGTGGCCGAACCGCAAGAGATACTCAGGTGAGGACATGGAGGACATGGAGAACATGGCATACGGCATGGCTAGTTGTCCCATTAATGAGTCCGTTGTCTTCGAGACTTGTGGGAGAACCGCACCAATATTTTACTTTGTGCAGTTTGACGAACAGCAGGGGGACTGGTCTGGAAAGATGCGCCGGCACTGCGAGGAGAAGCAGAAGCAGCTGGGAAGATACATGGACTCTCAAGCCTTGGATAGAGTGGGATGGGACTTTTAATGGTAATGCTTGGACTTTGTATGGTCTCTGCTGGTATTTGGATATTTCTTTCATTGCAGCAGCTAAGGGCAGCAGTGCCTGGTTTTGTTGTGCGGAAATATGGCAATAGTTCTAATTTGCACTTGGTGCAAAAGACAACTTGAACTATTCAATGATAAGACTTGCCATCTTATTTTGAACGTCCATGGTTCGCTGTAGGGGCTATTTCGCTGTAGTCAGGTGTGACAAGGGCTCAATAGAGGGCTTGGAGCAATTTACTCAATTCATCTAATAACAGTCTTTGGTATCAAAGGTCCTTGGTTTTCCTCAAGGCCTTGAGGGACCGAAGACGTCTATTTATACAAGAAGTCGGTGAGGGCCTTCTGCCCTAATCCCGTGACCGTAGCCCTTGTGTAACCAACGCTATTTCCGTGTAACAGGAAGAGGTTAAATCTAGTCTGGTGTTACACGGAAAAGGCCCAACAGATCGTGAGGCCCAATAAAGGGGCTTTACTAATATAGGACTTATTAGTTATATAGCGTAAACACGTGCCCAGTTAAGGGCTCTAGGCCTAGGCGTTCCTTTAATATATATAAGGTGGTTAGCTTTCTCTTCTTCTCTCGTAGCAACTCAAGACCTTAGAGACCCTTCGAGATTATTATGGAATTGAGCCCCTTATGCTCCGAGCCTTCTGTATTGAACCCTTGTCACATCTAGTAACATGTACCCCGTTATATTCCGTTGACAAACTTGTCCCAGTTCTCCTGTGACGTCTCAACGCCAGGCTTCGCCTCCACCTCCCACTCAACTCGGGTTCCTGCTCGACCTCGCATGATATTATCCGAATATTGAACCCCGTCCATACAGTCGGCCAAGGGCCCATAATACTCTGGGTCTCTTTTGAGACGAGTGCTTGGTTTAAGGACTTCCTTTTTGTGACGATTGCCAGGTTGAAGGGCATCTCTTTTGTGGCTGATGTCAGATATAAGGGCCTGTTTGTGCGGTGACAGCCCGCGCGGCGATCGTATGAGAGCTGACCCCCTGCGCTCCCTTTGGATCCTGTTCTGTTTGCTTACCTGTGCCAGGCAGCAAGGCGAATCGGTCCAAGATTTAGTCTTCACACGTCTAAATAAGCGACAGTCAACCTCGAGCACATTGTCGCGTCTAACAGCAATCTCCAACGGAGTCCCGACCAAGTCTGGGCAGTGGCCTTGCCGATGCGAGTCCGCGCCGCTGTCAATCAAGAGTCGAACAATACTTCTGGCATCTACATTGTCCGAAAGGCAGGCAGCCTGCAGCGGGGTTTGGCCCTTCCAGACGGAATTCACATGGGCGCCGCTTTCGATGAGAAACTTGCATATTCTGTAGTGTCCCCAGGTTGCGGCTATTACGAGTGCTCCGTCCATGTTGGCACCCTCCTGGACGAGCAACTTGACCACGGCCAAGTGATTTCCTGATACTGCACGGAATAGCAGCTCCGCCTGGGGAACCTGAATACTCTCGGTACAGCCAGACATGCATGTTTCATCCTGTGTCTTTCTTGTCTCCAAGCCGTCGCCCTCGTCGAGCAAGAGCTTACACGTCGCCGGCTGTCCACCATCGATGGCAGACATGAGTGGTGTGTAATTGCAACTCGGGTCCACTGAGCCCAAGTCGGCGCCATTCCGCAGCAGCATGTTGGCAATTGCCTCGTGCCCTTGGTATGCGGCACAAGATAATGCCGTGAGATTGTTGTATGCCTGGTTGACGTTGGCACCGCTCCTCAGCAGCAGCTCCACGGTCGCTACGTGGCCATTGTTGGCTGCTAAACACAGCGGCGGCCAATGTTCGTTCTCTTCGTTGCCTCTAAAGCCATTTACGTCGCATCCCTGCCTTATCAGTTGCGCTGTTATCTTGGCAAGTCCCAAGAATGCCGTGACGTGGATGCTAGTCATGCATGTATGCGACTTCCTTTTGCCCTTCCGGCAGCGCCTCACCATATCCAAGTATTGAACTATGGGTGTCTTCATTCTATTCAACAACAGTCGACCCAAGGCATATACTTTGGCTTGGTTACCGAGAAGCCGCAGTTCCAGCTCCTCTTCCTCTGCGCCACGAGCATGGAGGCCCCAATTCGATATCGCGTACTTGCAGAACGGGTACTGCGAGAAAAGATCTTGTGATGGAGATGCTTGCTTGTCAAAGTCTTGCAAGAAAAGATAGTCAAGACAGATATTTGCCATGATCCTATGTGCATTCTTCATGGCCAGAGAGCTCGTCCAGCTATTGCAAATCTCATGGTCCTTCTCTGCAGCACTCGAATTGTTCCGTGGGTTGATACAACACATGTGGCTCGCCAAGTACTGTCGTGTCGTTTCATGAACTAGGCAAATAATGCTAGTCTGTTCGTCAACCATGACTAAACCCACACAGGCAGACGATATTATCGTAATAGCCTCTGTATTACCTTCGTCTAGTTTGACTTGGCCCATCTCTATAGCAAGCGCGTCTATAATAATGAACACCTTTGAATATGCGGCAGCAAGCTGCTCAAGAGCTGTCAAGAGTTCATTATAAGATGGCCGTGTTTTTTTGTGCGCAATTGTATGGTTTTTGTGTAGGTTCTTTATGTTTTGCGGGGAGGGTGATCGAGTCTGAGCCAACTGCTTCACGAGGCTGGCAAGGAAATAGTAGCTGCTTTGTTGATGTTTTTGTTGGGAAATGCAGTAGATATAAGCCAGTCCAATCTTGTTGCCCTGTCGGGCGCACTTGATGATCTCTTGTATGGCAACCGACGCAAGAATCGTTTTCCCCGCCCCCGGGATACCTTCGCAGAATAAAGTCCTTTTATCGCCTTGAAACCATGCCTGAAATTTGGGTGACTTCAGAAACCATTCACCAGTACCAGGTTCCCACTTGGTCATGCAAGTGTTAAAATGAGTAGTGTAATCTGTTTCTGTGATCCATTGAAGAATTTGTTCTTGTTCCCTATATTCGACCCCGTGCCTTAGTTGGCCAACTTCTTGCCGTGAAGTCGATATACAACTAAGTACTGATATTAATTAATAGGAGCGGCAACAATTATTCATGGACGACTTACAATTTGTAGCCCACTCTTTGATTGGCGGCTCGTTGAGCACCTGCTTGGGATGTATAAAAGAGATGAGATCCTTCGCGTATGCCGCCGCTACCAGGGCTGCATATCCCTGCCACTGATCATTTTTATGAGAATCAGCATAGTCACATATTCCTCGGATAACTATGCACGGAAAGTGATTCATCAGGCCAGCGGCTTCCATCTCAAAGCAGAGGATATTCTCTTTCGCCGCCCACTTATCCCGAATAATAGCATCTCTCATCAAGGTATCCGCAGAAGCGATGAGTCCGTAATGAACTACTAGGCCGCCGCCGCCTTTTTTGCGCTGGGCTCGAGCTATCAGGTTAGATGCATCATCGCCGCACACCAGACTGCAATCTTCTCCGAGCTTGTCCAGGGGGTGTGTGAAGGAGGAGCGGTACAGCCGGTCACTCGTGGCCGACGGGCAGCGGTATTTGTCTTTGTTATCAATATTATTGAGTGCTTCCTTGGCATTAAGGGCAATTCGGTTGCCCTTCCTGTCGTATTCAGCCTTTATCGCGGTTACTGCTTTTGCCAACGACGCGGGCGACTGGTCCAAATGCCCCGTGATGGCAAACTCGCAACCTTGGACTGCCTTTCCATAATCGTACTGTACCACTCCGCCTTTTCCGTCCCGTCGGCTGCTCACAACGATGTCGCCTAACCTAACGTCATTCTTTATACTGGGGGCACCACCGCCGATACCGACCATCAGGCCGACCCTAACGCTCGGGAAGGAATGTTGCATGTGGTTTGCGACGACTGCTGCGGAGGACTTGCCATACTCCCTATCTGGCAAGATGGCAATGACAACATTATGTTTTCCCATTCTACCGAGTTTATAAAAGTTATCATCGGCGAGGGCGAGGTGTGCTGGTACTTCATGCTCCTCATCGAGGAACTCCTGGGCGGCTACGAACTCGGTTTCCAAGGCGCAAATCCAGCCAATAGTATAGTCCTTGGACTCATACATGGTGATTCATGCGGCGATTCACTACTGAGAATACTGAATAACTGGAAATGGGAAGAGCCTGGGTTCCTGAAATATGATGGGAGAGAGTGGGATGCTGAGCGAGATGAAATGCTCGAAATCCAAAGGCTGCCAGGACATAATATCTTGAGCGCAAATACTATAGCTGAAAAGCGAGAAAACGCAAAGCTTGGTTGTTGTATGGCTCGAGTGGCGAAAGCACAGCCAGGATGCCATTGGAACAAGGCGACACGAGAGTCATCTGCCTTGTTGTTGGACAGCATACAGGGTCTATTGTTGACAGACCAAGATATAGTGAGCAAAAATATCACGTCTCACCCTGCAACTGACAGACTGGCCCAACAGCAACCACCTACTTTCGCTTTGGTCCAATGAAACGGACAGTAGTAGGCCTTGGATGCTGCATCGAGGTACGTCAGCGCATGCAATGGACTTGAAGGGGCAATTACAAGACAATCTCTGCATGAGCCAGTGTAACTGATGAGCATATAGGTGGATTTTGGGTATCAGTGCATAGAGGTTTCAGTCTCGATCTGTGGATTTGTGAAGGAGGCGTGGCCCAAAGGTCTTGCCCGGCAGCCAAACCTTTGTATGATGGCGATTTAGTCCGTGCAGAAAAACACCTCGAATGCAAATCTGTTGACGAAAGAATGCATAATACAGAATCATCTAGCTTGATAGTTCTAGGGTTGTGGCTGGGCGAGGTTCCATCGCGTGAATGCTTCTTTGGTCGCCGTCTTTGCGCACCAAGTACTCCGTACCCGACATGATAAACCCAACACCCCGTGGAGCCATGGAATCTTTCGGCTAAACGGAAACGTATTGCAACACTGCATGAGGCTTTTTCTCAGAGTTGGGTGGGCATGTATGCAAACTCTCTGTGGATACATCAGCCGTCCCAAGAGTCGATATTCAAGGGCACTCTGCGGCTCAAGTGCTCCTTCTTTTCACTTGTGGCGCATCTCCCCTCAGAGTTTCTCAGCGATGTCTACGTCCATATTGAGTCTGGTGTCGCATATAGTCTAGCATCCCAGTGCAAAAGACGACCAACAAACAAGGACTGAGCCGGCGATCAGCTAAGCCATCCCTGACACCGTTGCCACTTAAGAAGCACCATCGTCTGCCCTCCACGTTGCTATGCATGCTGAGGAAACTGCGCCATGCTCCATACTCTAGCAAATCATCATTCGGGGCTTTTCCTGTACGTCACACATGCTGATAGCTCATGTAGGGTGAGCAGGATATGAGGCTGGATGCAAGCTCAAATTGCAAACGGAGCATTGTAACACGGCATAAGTAATCCATGTTATTGACACAGTGGTCTAGACAATGTCGAAAAAATGTGCTTGTGAGACATTTGAAGCCAATGAATGCACAAGTTGTCTTCTCAAAGCAAGGGTAGTTGCCATGTATCACAAGGGGATGAATTGCTGTTGTCATATTCGTGCCCCCTAGTCATGTCACACGACACGACGCGCAGGGGAACATAAATGCTCTCCCCGGGCACTGAAAACTTGCCTCATCGCGTAAAACAGTCATCTGTCGCACAAGGTCGGGAAAATCCCTCACGGGTGGTGAGGCTCCGGGAAGCCGATACTCCGTAAACCACCGCAGTAAGCAACAAGGCCGCCCGTCCCATGGTTGTTGTTGATACCCATTTCATAGTAACTGGAGAAAGGCTTGGCTGCTTCATACTAGAATCGGTCTATGGGAAGGCTGGGCACTGATAATTTCTAGTCAAATGGTTCCAATATCAACAAACCCATCTTGGCCTGATGTCACACGGAAAAGGCCGGTTACACGAGGGCTACGGTCACGGGATTAGGGCAGAAGGTCCTCACTGACTTCTTGTATAAATAGACATCTTCGGTCCCTCAAGGCCTTGAGGAAAACCAAGGACCTTTGATACCAAAGACTGTTATTAGATGAATTGAGTAAATGCTCCAAGCTAGGCCCTTGTCACACTTCCTGTCCCGGATAAAAACCCTATTCGCCATGTTATTTGATCAAGACATCATCATTGCACCCTAAGTCTTGGTGCTCGCTCCCTCCGGATCATACGCCACCACTTCAATCTCCACACGCATATCGTCTTCCCCGAGTCTGGCCACCCCGACACAGGTCCAGATAGGCTGGTGGTCGGGCATCCATTGCTTGAAATTTCTAGCCATTGCCGCAATAGCTTCGTTGTTGAGCGGAACATGATACGAGTTGACGCGAAAGACTTGCGGCCATCCCTTCCCCCCGGCATGCTTGAGGTTATGATCAACAGTCTTGAACGCCTGGTCGATCTGCTCGTTGATCTCGGTAGGGATGTGGTGCACCTTTCCCTCGGGGTCCCATCCGCCTGGCAAAGCTCAGCTAAGGCCAACGGCGAGTTTTGGATATGGTACTGGAACAACCGACTTACCCTGTCCGGAGCACTGAATGGTGTCGCCGACTCTGACGGCCTGGCTGTACGAAAACTGTTCTCTGTTGCTGGTGCCTACGCCGGGGTAGTTGTAATACTGTAGATTTGCCATGGTGTCAGATTGCAGGGTGTTGTATGATGAGTTGGACAAAGTTATAATGCGTAATGGTGCGTGACATACGAGGATATTTATATTTACCAGAGACGTTAGATGCATAGAGCCTACCGAGTACAACATGACTAGACGTGCGTCCCACTTCTTCTCCTGCCAGAAATCTTTTCAAGCTACCAGTCGACGTCTTCTTACAAATCATGTATGATACGACTGTTTAATGCTTGCCAGTCCAACAAAAGGCACCGTGTTGAATTGATATTTACGACGTCATCTGATATGCTATTGGTCGAATAGGAGCCTCCTCCGCTCTGGCCGGAATGTGGATTCCGCAAAAGCGGGTCAACTCGATGTATTTCGGGTGAATTGCTCGGCGGGCTGTCGTGTAATTGAGGAGATGGTGGTGATTATGAGGTAGCTAATAATCTTTGGCGAATTAATTTATTAAAAAATATATACTAATCAATTATATTACAATACCTAACAACCAGGTACCAGGTAAGGCGTAAGCGCATCTAGCAAAAAGAGAAAGCCCGCCGAGCATTCCCCATTTCGAATTGTTTGTTCAGAAATTGACTGTTTCCCTTCTATTATACTCCGCAAGTAATAGATTTTATGAATCCGCCAAAATAGCTCTTGCCAACCGAACAAGGTTCAAACCACAGGACAATAATGCCACTTGCAAAGTCGCGGCGCAAATGCAGGATAGACGCTGGTTCATTTCGCAAACAGTTTCAGCTAGAAAACAAGTCCCATGGAAACGGCGGTTCAAGCCAATCCTTAAACTGTTCCCCTATGTCATCGCTTCCATCTCGGAGGGGAATTCCCTCTGCCGCTGTCGAAAACTCTCCCAAACTTGGGTCGCCCACGGTTGCTGACAGCCACAACGGCAAGCTCATTGCGTCAGTTACTTGTCCAGACCACACTACATCGGCCGGCTGCATCAAATTGGTCACTTGGCTTGCTTCAGAAGTGGGATACAAATCCCCATCGAGGTGATCCGCCAAAGTATCAGAAGTTTTAGCCCCTTTTTGTTGACCCGCAGAGTCACCTTGCATCATCTTTAACACGCTGGAGAGATATTTGCGTGGAGGTGTCCATGCAACCGAAAGCTCTTCCAATGTCTGAAGGCAGGATTTGATCCTTGCATCATCAGACGGATTACATCGAGCCCTGGGTCGGTCAACACCTTGGGGGTTGAACAGCGCCAACGCCGCAGAGAGGTTGGCATGCGTTGCCGTAATCGGGCTTCTCCGAAAACTACCAAATACTTTGCGATATTGATCCCCCAGAGACGATATACTCCTTGCAGCCTCTAGGAGAACATCTTGTGCCTTTATAGCTAGAGCATCAGGCTCCAAGCTCGCGGAATCCTCAAACGCTCGAGTCTGCACATAGGGCCGCGCGAGAAGGATAATGGCTGTGTGGTACACCATACACAGGGTGTACGCTTGGGGGAACTGATTTGGTACTCCGCCGTGAAGAGGCTTCAGATCTGTGCACAGGCCGTATAGCCAGTGCTTTAACCAAAGGAGGCACGAGTCGAAGAAGCTCCTTCGCTGGCTGGCAAGCAACAGCTTCCTAGGAGAATACCTGCGAAGCTGTTATGCACGGATTGGCAATGTCGGGCGGCATATGTGCGGACATACAGGTTCAACAAGATTTTTTCAAGAATCTCACACAATTTAATCAAGTCTGTATGAAGCGAGACGAGAATTCTTGGGTCGACAGAATACAGCGCATGCCGACGATTGTCCGGCCCAGTGTGGGTTGGCATCGTCGGCATCCCGACTGCACCCTGCAAGTCCTTCATATAACGGTCAGTCTTGTGGTATCAAGGCAAGAGTCTGTCTCGTCTTACAAGCATGCTACAGACACGTCCTGTGTAGGCAGCCGCCAGCTTGTCCACGCAATACAACGACCAGTAGACTTGCCTCCGGAGTTGGGCCTCTTCTGCCGTCATGCGGCCCGAGGCAACCAACGAGCCTGGATCAAGATTAAGTCCCATATCTAAAACGAGCCGGTTTGCTATGCCTGAATGCAGCCACCCTGCAGCATCTTGTCCGAAAGCCTGCCAGAGTTAGAAAAAGTCAATGCCTGCGTGCCTTTGAACCAACATGGTAGACGGTGCCCAACACGGCCAGCGACTGAATAGTTGTGATAGTCGGCCGCTTCAGGTCGAAATGGAGAAGGACTTCGGCCGTCTCGAGGAAGATGCGACCCGCTGTATTGGGGTCGTTGGGATCAGAGCGAACCTCTACACGGTCCGAGAGGCGGGAACCACTGGCGAGGATGCAGTTCAACAACAGAGGTGTAAAGTATCGCCCATTGTTCTCTCTGCTTTCGCGAAACAAGGCCTCATCAACAACCTGCAACCATGGCTGTTCCCAGATGAAATATTGTTCTAGGAGATGTGCTTCAAGCTCTCCATTGACGCTGCTTTGATGACCCAAAATCTGGACCTCTGCACATGGTGGCGAGTACTCTGTGGGCAAGTCCCGAGGCACGTCTTGGGGCAGAATTAGTGACGTTTGCCGAGTGCTCCGAATAGCAAAAACGAGACCCTACCATTGAGCGGCTTGAAGTCAAGTCTACCGCTGGCTGGGCCGAAATAACGTGCCTCTCCGTCCTGGTCAAAGTTTTGCGACTCATCAAGCGTCAATGTACCTTCAAACGTGTCCCAGAGCTCGTCCAAGGCGGCAGTTGAGCCACTGGCCGCCAAGGAGGTGATGGTGGCCGGCACAAGATTCTGCTGCATCAGCTGAGCCGTAGACGCGTGGATATCGATCGAGTGCAGCCACAGGATCTTTTCCAGGAGAGCAATCCGACCCTGCAGGAGACGCACATAGGACTTTTGGGCGGTTCCACGGCCGTCATCCCCGGTGTTGTAGACACATGGTATTTGACGGGCATTGCATCGAGAGCAAGTTGGCTTTGTGCCGTCACACTGGGTTGCAGTTAGATGGGGGAAAAACCCCGACACATGTACGAAGGCGGGTGACGAGACGCAAGCACAGCCCACCTTTGCGCGACGCCGGCGGCACTCCTGACAAGCCCTAGGCACATACTTGGTCCGTAGACCAGTCTTGCCAGCGCCGGGGGATGAATTCCGCTTGGTGTTTGATGAAGGTGTTTCCGAGCTGCCGCCCTGGGTAGGAGGCGCCGGAGACGCCGGACCAGCCATACTGACGTGGTGAATGCAAGGCGGTTGCTATTAAGCCGGAGAACGAAGCATCAGGGTATTCTCGGGTCGGGTCCATGGAAAGCGAGTAAGAAATTGTGTATCCAAGAACAGACCGGTCGTCACTTAGACGCGATGACTTGAGTCGCCAGGCGGTTCTTGTCATGACTTCCCGCGTGCGCTCCGACTATTCTTCCGGCACGAGCCTCGTCCCGCCGCGGGGTGGCTGATACAGCCAGCGCCTTCCTTTGGGGAAAACGGCGTAGACCTCCGTTAGGGTTAGGGTTTAGTGTTAGCAATTACGCACGCACGCTTCATTCAATCAAAAGCGAATTCAAGTGCCTAGCGTGTTTTTTCGTCACCCTTTCATTTCTGAACTGCAGCTGCCTCCTGAGCGTTTATTCCATTGACATCATGCTGCCAGAGTATGCCTTGAGGCTGCTTACAAAGCTCGGATGATGACGAGTCTGGGAAGTTTATCCCTGTCTACATGACTCACTCCGCTATGCTGCGATATCTGTGCATGAGATGTATTAGAAGGATACCCTTGTTGTAATCGCCAATAAAATCGGAGCGCTATTGTTCCTTACGATAATTAATAACCCTCAATATAGATTAATGAAGTGGGGTTTTATTAATATAAAGGTCCCTGTTTATAACCCCATAAACTTCCTTGTCAGGTTACTCATTGGCTTAAATTACAGGGGCTCTATCATATTGTCCGAGTCATCTACTGGCAAAGTGGAAGACCTGTACCCGGCAGCTTGATCCCACAGCACTAGACTTGGATCCCCAGCCTGTACTCCATACGCTTGGAATAAATGGCAGCGGCATCGTAAGCATCCGCGGATGTATTGTTACACGTAAATGGCCCAATGTCAAAGGTTACATAAGGGCTACGGTCACGAGACCTAGGGCAAAGTCCCTCACCGACTTGTTGTATTTATAGACACCTTTGGTTTCTCAAGGCCTTGAGGAAAACCAAGGACCTTTGATACCAAAGACTGTTATTAGATGAATTGAGCTATTGCTCCAGGCCCTTGTCACATGTATTGACCTGACGTAGGTGCCATTGGAGGAGCTAGAGATTCGCCTGTGAGGTCGACCGTGGGATGTACAATACAACCCCTGAATTATTATTGCCAACCGAATACTTGAACCCGCTACGTACCGCTCCAACATGTACCTTATCCTTGCCGTGTTCAAGCTGATAAGCGGGCACAAGGTGGATGGACGAGGTATTAAGCGTTTAAGGAACTTGTTACTATATGAAACTTGCGCATATTTTAAAATACCTACAAGTAAGTAACCCAACATCCTTGCTGGATTAAAAAGTCAACATTTAATTGGCCCTGCTCACCCCTGTCGGGTGGCCTTTTGACAATAATTGAGGGGTTGTATTGTTGTACTCGGGATATAAGGCGGGACGTAAATACCATTACGCGTCATGATGCCGGTTTTTACATGGACATGAACCCCATCACGCCCCAACGTCGTCAATTATCTTGAAATTCCCGCTGTACATTCAGACATTCATGCCGAGATGGAAAAATATAAAAGACCATAAAAATCCATCTCTCACACCCAGTTGAGACATCGCCCGCAATACTATTCCTTTCCCACAAAATATACAATGTTTCCCTCCAAGGCGACTCTCACAGCTGCGGCTACAATATTGGCCTTTCAAACTGCCGTTGCAGTGCCCGTCGCCGGCGGCGTTGATGCCGGAATTTGGGAGTTTCCTGAAGCCGTTGGCTTTGCACCCAGTTGCGGCGGCACGCTCCTCAACGCAAACACCGTTCTTACAGCCGCTCACTGTGTCATTTCATCAATAGCCTACTATAAAGGGACAGATCTTTCAAAATCTTCAGTTATAGCAGGCACTATTGTAAGTCTTTTTTCCCTAATATATACATGTATTGTATATTCGTTATAAAACCGAGTACACACAAAGAGTTGCAACTTGAGCGGGCGACAGCTCTAGGTCCTTCCATCTCCGTCTCCCTGGGCAAATCTAGTTCTAATCAAGATATTTAGTTTCCAAAAGACTTACAATACGCCACTATTGTTGGTATATCCTCCTTTCACGTGCACCCCGAGTATAATAGGACGGGTATCCGTGAGCACGACGTTGCTATTTTGAAGTTGTCCACCGACATTGCCGAGGACGAATGGGGGACTATTCGTTATGCCCGGTTGCCTCAGTGGCAGTCCGATCCTCAGCCGGGCTCTGACACGACTGTAGTCGGTTGGTACGTATCTCCAAAGAAAACCAAAACTTTTGGTCTACTCCCAAGGTGTAATGGGGATTCTGATGTTTCAATACAGGGGCAGTACAGACACCAAGGGTACCCGGCCTACGCAGTTGCAAAAAGTCGTGGTTCCGGTTGTGGATCGTGGCACGTGCAGCAAGATGCTTGGTCGTGTGCCAGAGAGTACATTTTGTGCTGGTTACAAGGACGGAGGCAAGGATGCTTGTGGCGGAGATAGCGGCGGCCCAACTTATGGTCCAGATGGGACTGTCATTGGGGTTACTTCGTATGGCGGGAAATGTGGCGCTACGTATGGAGCTTATGCTAGAGTAGACATAGATCTCGCCTTTATCACGCAGTATATGTAGATCTTTACAATCTTGGATGAAACAGGATGGAAAGGCGTGCGTCATTTGGGTTGCCGAGTTGGATAATTGGTCTCTAGGTGCCCATGGCGATGATTCTGGTACATATGTAGAATAGGCATGAGTCAAAACACGAATTTCTGTGCAAGTTTAACCCTAACCGATGACACCGAAATCAAGTCCTTGCCATAAAGGTACGCAAAGCGCTGAGCCGGGCGGGTCAAATTTACATGTAAGTCAAAGTTGAATTCGGGCCTTTTAAAGCCGCTAGCATCATTTCCTAGAACTTCTTTATCGTTTCCCTCTGGAGGCCCCCCGGAGGCCGCTAGCATCATTTCCTAGAGCTCAAGTGCTTCTTTATCGTTCCCTCCGGAGGCCCCCCGGAGGCCGGCAGCAGCGCTCGCGATGTGCTATTAATGGTGTTTACATGAGGTGCTTGTGACGTTCTGCAAGGTGCCTATAGCTTTTATCACCAAAACAGCAGGATCACCATGAGATGAGATCCTAAGGATACATGTATGTACTGGCATTAAAATTAAAGCTAATCGGTGGCAATAATTTAAGGTTGTTTAGACCAATCGTCGACGTAGGTTAAGTTTAAACTACAAGAGGCTTGTGATTGTGGCGGCGCAGCACTCTCCTTGAACAAGTAAAGCTAGAACGCACCGTCTTTTTTCTTTCCGCGCTTTTCTTAATGAAGAATTCAATGGCGCAAGAGTCATGGCTGAAGAGTCAAGTACATGTTCGGCTTACTTGGCCAACAGAGCGAGTTGGCTATATAAGTGCTGCTGCTTTACCCATTTCTTGCCGACTTGACTCTGCCAGTTTTATTCTCACCTGCTACCATCGTCCACGGCGTCTTCACATCTTACAGTCCCAATGAATGCCCTCTTTGAAAGCCATCAAGCCGACGCGGTTTTGCGCGTTGCCGCCTACAGTCGCCTAGACTTCAAGTTCGCTCTCATCGGATCGCCGTCAAGCGAGCATGAACCTATCCGTACTTCCATCGTCGAGGCTTTTCCTTCGAGCGCCACTGCCAAAATCGGCCTTCTTGAACGCCTTCCCTCGGAAATTGTCTGGAAGGTCTGCGCCGCATTGGACGTACGTTCCTGCTTCAGACTTCGCCAGACGAACCGACGCGCCCGTCAATTGGTTTCCGGCACGCACGAGTATCGCACGGTGGCCCAGCACGCGTTGGAAAGTCTTCGGGCCGTGCTCCGGACTTGCCTTTCTCCCCATGTCACGATATCGGCCCTTTATCAGGCGCTTTGCACGCGCGGCTGCCAAATCTGCGGTGCTGAGTTTGGCGGCTTCTTGTTCCTCCTCACCATCACCCGCTGCTGCTTCAACTGCATCGAATCATCGAGCCGTCTACGCCTCGTCATGCTCGCTGACGTCGCCAAGAGAGCCGGCGTCTCTAGCTTCACGTTGCCACGTCGCTTGGCCGTGTTGCGCACGCTGCCCGGAAAAACGCAGCGACGCCCTTGGGATCGGAGAATATCGGTAGTGTCATACGAACAGGCTACTGACGCTTTGACTATGTTTGGTCTTTCTCGCGACAGCGCGGCATCCTTTTTGTCTGGTCTCAGCAAGATGCGTACGGAGAGGTACATGGCCTCGACGCCGTTGCCACTATTCCATCGGGCAACAGCACAGGTGGAACACGGTATCTGCTGCAAAGGCTGTCGAATCGCTCTCGAAGACAAACTCTACGGTCAAGTGGTTGTCCAAGGACTCGACGATGAGTCTGTAGATTTGTGGAACCGCAGTGACCAGCTTTATTCTAGACAAGGGTATTTGAACCATTTCCCAACATGCCCGCAGTCCATCAACCTCTGGAGAAGCAGTCAAGGGGGAACTGTCGCCGTCGATGAGCCAGAGTTTACACGGAGACGCGGTTACATGGAGACGTGGTCACATGGCCCATCTATGTACATGACGGAACCACACGACAATCCGTATAGACAATGGATTTAGGGGGCCCTGAAATAGCAATATCTCATTTTGTACGCCAGTATAACCAGGCTGAATCTCCGGATCCAGAATACGACCAATAAAACAACCAAAGCGGGGTTGGAAACCAGCTTGAGTTATCCCAGGCCGGCCAACAGCATCACCGCCAGTCAACGTCTACAACTACATGAGCATCTTGGGTCCGTGTACTGCCTGTGCTTTCCCTTTTTTTTCATCTTGCTCATATTTCACGCAAAAAAAGAAGCAGCAACCAACATTTCCTCCAATCATCTTTTCCATCCCTTCGTGTCCGTCCTCGCATCCAACAAGCACCAGCCCACAATGGCGCTTCGCATGCTTTCCATGGATTTTGACACACTCGGCACATCCAACAGCCACTTTCGTATCTTGGCAAACACACTCGTCAAATATGTCGTCATTACCCCCGGAGCCATGGATGCCTCGTCCCTAGACGACATGCCCCTGAACTTTGTGAATATCCTCTCGCCCCTGCCATACGACGATGATGGTTGGACAACGGCGTATATATCTCGCGACTCCTCCAGCGGCGAGCTGGTCACATCGTTGTCGGCCTCGCAGCTCAACGGCGTCACGGACCTTTGGCACCCCAACACCATTGACTTTCGCCAACTACAGCTTCTGAAACCTCTCACAGCCCTGGTCGACGAGTGCGAATGGGCCACTCTGGAACCGAATCCTCACGGGCAAAATACGACCATGATTGCCAAGATGGCCCGGTTTAGCTGGGAAGTCGCCTACATTGAGCGCGAAACAAGAATATACGCCCTGCTCGAGGGTACCGGGATCGCGCCTCGCTTCCTCGGACACATCCACGAGCAGGGGCGCACCATGGGCCTTTTGCTGGAGAAAGTGGCCGGACGACATGCCGGCATCGACGACTTGTCGATTTGTGCCGCGGCTCTTGGGCGCCTGCATGCGCTGGGTATATCCCACGGAGACTGTAGCCGGTACAACTTTATAATTGGCGTCGACGACAAGGTCACGCTGATTGACTTTGAGCATTGCATAGTCGGCGCGAGCAAGGAGGCCATGCAGGCTGACATGGATTCGCTCCCCGATCATCTCACGGAAGAAAGTGGCCGGGGCGGTGGCTTCAGGACAGTGTAGGACGACGAGCTGTGAGCTGGGCTTTCTCGTGAGGGGGCTCGGATGGGTCGAATTGTTCGCACGGGGACGGCTACAATAGTATATGTCGTTGGCTGGGTCAAGATGGTAGCTTATTCTATTGAACGAGGACTATAACTATCAACTTGTTTTGGGTGTAAACGTGTGAAGCCGTGCCTTGTTCACCCATCTCGACCTCTCTCCATCGCCGCACAAGTGCGCTTTCCAAGGTAATGCGCAGCGAAATTAGAATGGGGTCTACGGAGATATCGACATATTTTTACCGTAAAGGGCCGCGTGCTGCTTGTTCCATAAAGTCATCCGCTAGTCCCAGGGATGCGCCGACCATGCCAAGGTAAACTCTCGATGAACCCGCCAGCATTGACTAGGCTGCTGGAGGATTAGAAAGGGTGTCGCGGTTTGGCATCTAGTTTTAAACTTGCAGCTGCTATAAGTGGATATATTACAGCCTTCTCATTCCGTAGTATTTGACTTCTTTGGTGCATCAGGGTTCACCGAATATCCCTCCCAGTAATGGGACGAGATTACGGATACTTTAAGTGGGTTAAGTAACTTATATTTAATATTACTCCCAGGCTTTCTATCAAATAGCGGTGAGCAAGCGAGCTCAGAGGCCTGAGGCCTCACCTAGGTCCCGAGCCCTTGTGTAACTATCGTCAGGTTCGAGAGTTGGCCCGTGCCTTTGTTACAACGTGACCTCCGTGTAACACCTCCGTAGTCAGGGGCCGATGATGAAGAGTTTTGCCGCAAACATGGTGGTCAAATGACGGTTGCTATCAAATAGCCGCTGTCTTACCTAAAGCGAAGTGAGGGCGTCGTTGGTCAAATAGTAAGTGCATGCGGTTACTCCAACGAGAGGCAGTGAGGCTTTGTTGCCTGATTTTCTGACAACTCAAGACTAGTATTACCAGGTCTTGTAATCACCGTTCTCGTGTGACTATTGTCTGGTTCAAGGGTCGGTCCGGGCCGTGGCGTTGTGTTACTCGTGTGACAAACCGCAATGCGGCTAGCACATATTCAGAGTGCCTTTTAATTCAATTCATCCATGTTTATTATACCAATGCCATCTCGGTGGGAGATTTCCAAATGCCAGTTAGCATACAGTGCTGATGGCGTAGTCCGCAAGCTAACAGTCGTGTCGGCATAGAAAGGCTTGAATTGTACCTAGTAGCATTTTGTTGTCTCAAGTCACGATACCTTGGTATCAAGGTGGTCGTACACAGTTGTCTCACATTCTAGCCGGTAAGCGCAATGTCCATGTGTTGGGTCATATAAAATGAAACGGAGCAGATTGCTGTCTAATTTCCCTTTTATTACCTTCCATGTTGTGCTACTCGAGCGCCCAAGCTGACCGCGGCTCTTTATCTAGGTGCTGGGGAGTCAACCCCCTTTTTTCACTTTACACCTCCGCCATCAGGAACCTCCATCAGGCGGTTTTTGCCATCATGGAGAACAGAAAGGCTCGCATTCTTTGTCTAGATGGAGGCGGAGTGAGGGGAATCACATCGCTATGCATGCTGAAGAACATCATGACCGAAATTCGCACCCAGGAGGAGAGGGATGCCGCAGACTGCGGCGACGAAAACATTGAAGGCAAGGCGAACAATGACGGAGCCGAATCGAGGTCAACAACGCCTCTGAAGCCTTGTGAATATTTCGACTTGATATGTGGGACAAGCACCGGCGGTTTGATTGCTCTGATGCTGGGCAGGCTGGAATACGTGAGTCTACTATTCTTGTACTTTTCCTTGACCGAGAGTCACTGACTAAACACTCATCTCGTCTTGGAATAAAGACTGTCGACGAGGCTATTGAACAATATATGAATCTTGGCAAAGAGATCTTCGGGAAGAGGAAGCGATGTTTCAAGTCATCCAAATACGGCCACAATACTCTCGAGAAATGTCTCAAAAAGGTTGTCCGTGAGTCGCATCTCGGTGACGAGAATGCACTGATGAAAGACGAGAGATGCCGCTGCAGGACCTTTGTTGTTTCAGCACATCTCAATAAGCATGCAGATGAATATGAGGACGACGCCACCATCCTCAGGTCCTATGATCTCCAAGCTTTGCTGCCTGAATATGCGTTTCACGGCAAGATATGGGAAGCCGGAAGAGCGACCTCGGCCGCCCCGACATTCTTCAAACCGATTTCAATCGACCCAAGAGGGGAAAGCAGCAATACCTCTGGCGTAATCGAAAAGGCATCGCGCAAGCTCAAGGCCGAGACGAACAAGAAAGACAGTTATAGCGACGGTGGCACAGTCGCCAACAACCCATGCAGCATTGCTGTCAGAGAGGCAGGTAGAATCTGGGGTTACGGCAACATAGGTTGCATCGTTAGCCTTGGTACAGGCCCTGAGCCAAAATTTACCTTGGACCAGGCTACAAAAGAGATGCTGGGACCAAAGATCATGTGGCTATCCCGGAAGCTTCTCACTGACTTCTTTTACCTCCGGCTACAGCTGGCCTTTTACAGTCTTCAAAAGATGACGAGGACCGAGCATGTGCACAAATAAACAAGAGACTTGGTTACGACCTTTATCAATTCCAACGAGGAGAACGAGGCCCAAGCCTATTTTCGTTTCAACGTGGAGAGCGAGATGGCCAGAGTTAGGCTCGACGCCTGGGACAAGATGCCCCAGCTGCAGAAACTGGCCGGCGAATACATGGGCTTTGAAGACGTGGTGCAGAAAACAATGACGATTGCAGAGAAACTGAAAAAGGTTCGCGCAAACACACAAACACTACCGCGAACACGGCCAAGGGGGCGTGATTACGTCTCCAAGCTCAGGATTCTAACCCCGGGTCATGGGCCGCCGCAAAAGGCCGAAGCCCTTATTGATAGCAGTGTCAAATACAACTTCGTGTCCAAGACGTTGGTTGACAGGTTGAAAATGCCTACCCAAAGGACATTGCCCACGGCGCCCGAGATGACATTCTTCCAGGGCGACAAGGCACGACCCAGAGACGAGACATGGATCTATTTCTCTCGAGACGGTCGCTCTGATTATTTCCGAGACCGTTTCTACGTGTTGAATCAAGCCCCGGTCCCGTACGAACTCATCATCGGGTCGAATTTTCACCAAGACCATGGGCGGGTTCTGCTGGAGCCGCCGCCGCTGGCGCTGGCCGCAGCAAGGGCCGACGAGGCCGTCATCAGGCGTCTCCTCAAGCAGGTTGTAGACGTAGAGGCCAGGGACGCCCAAGGCAGCACGCCACTTCACCATGCCATCGATAGCGATAGCCCGCACATCGTACAGCTGCTGCTTGAAAACGGTGCCGATGCCGCGGCCACGGACAATTACGACATCATGCCGCTACACAAAGCAGCCGCGAGAGGAAACGAAGCCATCGTCAAGCTCCTTCTCGAAAAGGACGTTGATCTCGAGGCCAAGAATCCGTATGAGCGTACGGCGCTGCTGGACGCCTCGTATAAAGGACACGAGGCTGTGGTCAAGCTACTTCTCGACAAGGGTGCTGACACCGAGGCCAGGGATTTCGCGAGCGCCACCTCGCTGCATTTTGCCGTTCAAGAAAGACGCGAGGCTGTCGTCAGGCTGCTTCTCGAAAAAGGTGCTGACACCGAGGCCAAGGATTTTTTTCTCAATACGCCGTTGATTTATGCCTCTTATCGAGCAAATGTAGCTATAATTAAGCTACTTCTAGAAAAGGGTGCTGATTTCACAGTCAAGGATCGGCATGGCCAGGTGCCGTTGCGGACTGCCGTTGACTATCGACGCGAGTCTGTCGCCAAGCTGCTGGTCCAGCATGGAGCTTATGTGGATGAATCGAATTTATCCGAGGCTGCCAAGGCATTCCTCGACTCCATCTTGGGGCCAGCTGTAGATTGAGGACATGGTATGGACTAGGAGGATTGGATCAGATTCTTCCACAAATGACTAAATATGCACCTCTTTCCTAGCTAATATACTACATTTTTTGGTGCCAAGTAGATTCGATCATGTATGTTCTATAATAGATGCATCCATCGGGCCTTGCGATGAGGGAATCAGTCACCCCGGACTTATCCATGCGTAGAACCTGTTAGGGGGTAGAGTAGATATAGTATATAACTACCAAAATAGTAGGGAAATATTACTTGAGACACATGACAAAGGAGCTTACTAGAAGCAGATAGCTACATAATAATAAGCACTACCTAATTATTTACATTACAAACCATGTAATTGGTCGGGACTCGGGAGCCATACATAATATCGTACAGTGACAAGCTACTTAGTTGCCAACGGGTATTACATTGGCAGATACAGGCATATGCATCAACCATCACACGCCAACTACGCCATGCTGCAGAACTATGCTCACCGGACCAGGAATGAGAACTTCATCTGATCATGTCTTGTAATCTCTATGGAACAACTCTATTTCACCAATCTCTACACCCCACAACGCCTACGCTTACTCGACTGCTAACCACGCCGTCTCCATGCTCCGTCTAATTTGAACAGTGTTCCAGCCCCTATTCTCGCTTCCCAGAAACTAAACGCGACTCCCCTAGTCCCAGTGTATCACTGGCTTGACCACCTAGTACAATTCAGTTAGCGAACCGACGACGGCCAGGGTCCATGTTCTGTGATTCACTCACCTTGCCTTCGCGCAAGTCACTCATTGCCGTTTCGAAATCTTTAACAGAGTAGACCTTGCACAATTTCTCAACGGGGAAGTGCCCTTGCTGATGAAGCTCCATCAACTGCGGGATAAACTACACGCACACGAGCGGTTAGAAGGCAAAAACCACACAAGACTTGCAGTGCACAAAACCAACCTTTTGGGGGTGGGAACCCCCTTCCAGCACACCAATGTAGCTCTTGTTCTCCATCAAAAAGGTCTGGGGCTCAATCCTGACGATGCTATCTGGAGGCGGCACCCCAACGGTGGTTGCAGTCCCCCTTGGAGCCAGGCATCCAAACAACGATTCAATGACGGGGATGCGCCCGGTGCAATCAATAGCATAGTCGGCACCGCCATCGGTGATGCGCCGGATGGCGGCTTCCACGCCCTCCTCTGCGTGTTTGGTCGGGTTGACGACATGCGTGGCGCCGAATTCCTTGGCAAAGTCGAGCTTCTCATCAACCACGTCGACGGCAATGAGTTGCCGGACCTGGAGGTAGGCGGCGGCCATCAAGGCGGCAATTCCAACACTCCCCACGCCAAAGATGACGACAGACTTGGTCTTGTCTGGCTTTAGGACGTTGAGCAGGGTGCCGGCGCCGGTCTGAAACCCGCAGCCCAGGGGTGCGTAGTAGGAGAGCGACTCGGGATAGGGGCACTTGACGACGCACCTCTCGGCGACGACGGACATGCGCGCAAACGAGGACTGGCCGAAACACTGGCTGCTCACGGGGGTTCCGTCGGCGAGCCTGGCCGGCGTGGAGCCGTCCGACACGCGGACCGAGCCGGCGTTGACCGGGGAGTGGATGTGGCAGCAGGACGGGTTGTCGGCGAGACACTGCTTGCACTTGCCGCAGACGTTAAAAGACAAAAGCACGTGGTCTCCGACCTGCAGGGACTTATCCTTGACGTTGCTGCCAAGCGCTCTGATGATGCCGGCGCCCTCGTGGCCAAAGATGGCGGGATACTTGGGGCCGGGAATCTTGGCATTCTGGAACAGGACATCCTAGTTGGCATTAGATGAAGGGTTCTTGTAAAAAGGGGAGAATCAGCATGTATATATCCGCACCGTATGGCAGATGCCCGAGTACTTCATTTCCACGAGGACCTCGTCGTCGCGGACCTCGTCGAGGATGACGGGCCGCATGACAAAGTCAGCCCCCGGCTTGTCAACAACCAAACCCTCGGTGTGGATATTTGTAGTGGCGGCCATGGCGGAAGACGATGGAGCAAGGAAAAACAATGTTATTTTTGTTGTGGTGTAGTCGCAAGTCCAGACAGGCCAAGGGGGTAGGTAGGTAAGGCGCACTTAAGAAGGATCAAGACATGTCGCGGTGGAGCAAGGTGAAGATGCAGGAGATGGATTTCAAATGCTGCCCCCCGGCTTGATAGGCTCGGAACAGATTCCGCCGCCGGCATTGGAGCAGCAATCTGCGACGGGCGTGTCGGGCGTCGGGTGGGATTCTTCAAGTGGGGGGTCGAAACGAGGTTGGAACTTGGAGGGGTTGAGGCGTGAGGCGTCGACGTTGGAGACGCGAGATCAATTGATCCCTGGATCGCACGGGGCCCCGGGAAAACCTGGGGTAAAGCGTCTGGACTCTGGACTCTGGTACGTACCCCATCATGGCTGCCGTGCCATCGACTCAACCCGTCTTTGCCATGACATGGCGTCTTTCGCTGCCTATCGCCGCCCAATCACGACTTGAGCCCTTTCCAGGGACGGCGAGCCAACAAAGCCTTCTGACCCAGAGTCGGAAACGGCTGGCAGGATTCCGAGACAGGTCTGAGATGTCCCGGATGGTGCTGTCTGTGCCGAAAATGCGACGCTTCCAATGCGACGCTTCCAATACGACGCCTCGTCTCCTTGGCCATGCGAGTGAAGGCCCGCGTGCAACGTCTCGGCATCCCACTTTGATCTTGATGGACACTTGACGCTTCGTCTATCGCCAACCGCTGGCTGTCGTCCCATCATAAAGCTGCTATTATAAAGGACGGGGGCAGGGAGGCGTGCGTGCGTTGGCTCCTTTGAACACACATGTCAACCTGGCTCCTTGAGTCTTTGCCTCTCTCCATCACCCACAAGCAACTACTGCCCTGCTCACTGCCTCGTCGTCCGTCGTCATCATGGCAACTACTATGCAGCTAGAGGTTCGTCCAACTCGCCACCCGGGACGATCCCGGGGCACACGTCGCTAAACATCAAACGTCGGTAGGAGTTGCCGGGCACGCCGCGCGACGACCTCCGCATTGACATCATCCCGGGCACCGAGATCATGGCCGACATTGGAAAGCACCACTTTGTCAAGAGCAACGACAGCAGTCACCGCGTCCTCGTTCCACAGCCCAGCGAGAGCCCCAACGACCCGCTCAACTGGTCCTGGCTCTGGAAGGCCTCGACTTTATTTGCCGTGTCCACCATGACCTTTGCCCAGGGCTTCGCGCCTCTATCCCTGGCTCCCATGTTTGGCTACTTGATGGAGGACTATAACCGGTCTCTGGCCGATGTTATCCAGTTCACCAGCATTACGATTCTTGTCCTGGGCTTTAGCAACTTTTTCTGGTCAGCCCGCCGTCAACACATGCCACTCTCTCTTCATGCCAAAGCCTAACCTCGAGCCATCAGGATCCCGATATCCACGTCCTTTGGGAGGCGCCCGGTCCTGATCTTGTCCCAGGTCGTGTGCCTTGCTTCTCATATCTGGCGGGCCAAGGCGTCCAGCTACAACGAGTTCATGGGCGCAGCCATGTGAGCCGCAACTCCCATTTTCCCCGCGGAAGCAAGAGAGAAGCTAAAAACCACCAGTCTCAGCGGCTTTGGCGCCGGCCCAGGCGAGACCATCCAGCCCACCATCATTGCCGACGTCTTCTTCCTCCACGACCGCGGGAAGTGGAACACGTTGTACTGGGTCACATATACGGGAGCCTTGATGGTGAACCCCAACTCTGGACAAATGAATGTACATAAATAACACTAACAAATAGTAGGTTGCGCCCGTCGTCGCAGGCGCCATGGCCGATCATAAAGGCTGGCCCTCCTTCTGGTGGCTCAACGCCGCCATCACCGCCTTCTCCCTCGTCGTCATCGTCTTCGGCTTCCCAGAAACCATGTTCTCCCGCGCAGAAAACGCCGCCGGCCCGCCCGAAACCGGCCCCGGTGCGCCGTCCAAGGCCTCCGAGCCCAAACACCAAGAGCTGTCCGGCCAGCCAGACGGCCAGCCAGACGGCCTCACCGCGCAGGACCCCTGGCTCGGCAAGGGCAGCCCCAGCCGACAGCAATGGCTGCTCATGCAGCTGGATTCGTGGTCGCTCCGGTCCCTCCTCCTGAGCGTCTACATGCCCCTGAAGCTCTTCACCTTCCCCATCGTGCTGTTCGTCTCCTTCGTCGTCAGCTGGAGCCTCAGCTGCGTGCTCATCCTGAACCTCACGCAGTCGCAGGTCTTTGCGGCGCCCCCCTACAATCTGAGCTCGCAGTCGGTCGGTACGTGAGACTCCAACCGACAGACAGTAACCCTCCCAAGACTAACTCGGCTAGGGCTTACCAACTTTGCCATGGTGGTCGGCGGGCTGATTGGCCTCGCGACGGCCGGCCCCTTTAGCGACTGGGTTTCGGCGCGGGCGACGGCGCGCAACAGCGGCATCCGCGAGCCCGAGATGCGGCTGCCCGCGCTGATCCCGTACGTGCTCGTCATGGCGCTGGGCCAGATCATCACCGGCGTTGGGTACCAGTATAAGTGGCCGTGGCCTGTTATTGTCGTCCTGGGGTACACCTGCTCGGGGATCCAGATGGCCGGCCTGCCTAGCATCAGCAGCACCTATGGCGTTGACAGCTATAAACCTGCCGCGGGGTCGCTGTTTGTCGCCATCACCGTGAACAAGAACCTCTGGGGCTATGGCATGGGCAAGTTCATCACCGAGTGGACCGAGGCGAATGGGTACATTGCTCCTGTAGTCCTGCTTCTCTTGCTTGGCTGTTGTTTGCTAATCGCCGTGGCAGGTTTATCCCCGTCTTCATGGTCAACATGGCCCTCACCACGGTCTGGTGTCTCTTTGGGGTGGTCTTTTATTTCTACGGCAAGACCTTCAGGCGCTGGTCCAGGAACAGTAACGTGCATAGTCTGGAGATTTAGTGCATGGGCGCTCGGGAACCCGGTGACTTGGACTTTTGCTGTGGTGCTTGCTGTCTGTTGGGCTTTGTATTCATGTGTAGATATTGCGTGGATGTGGATGTGTATGTATTGGTATTTTGTGTCAAACTCACGGATCATCAAAAGAAAAAATAAAAATTGTGTATACCGTGAACCCCCAGTCAGTCATTACACCATAATGCCAAAGCCATGATGCAAAATGCTACATTTGTGAGTTCATGTTGGGACAGAAAATGACGTTGAGGCATGTCTGGCAGGCATCTGGTTGATTGGCGCGGGATTTGCAGGGCAAGAGCACAGGAGGCTCCTACCAAATCGGGCGCTGAGCCTCCAGTCAAGACCACAAGAATTCTGGAGCCACAACGACATCTCAACTTTGACAATCCGCCCTCAACTCCAACAAACAGCCTGTGCCCAGCTCGCGGGCCAAAAAAAAAGTCTTCTAGCACCATGGAAGTCAACGGCGTCCGGGTAGCCGTCGAAGGATGCGTATGTATCTTCTGCCAATGTCCACACAGCCTATACGCTCTCTCGCTAACCAGCCCAGGGACATGGCACACTCAACGCCATCTACGCGGCCGTTGCTGAATCGTGCAAAGTTCGCGGTTGGCATGGCGTAGACCTGCTCATCATTGGCGGCGATTTCCAAGTAGGTGCCATGCGGTTTTTTCCCTCTCAATAGACTTGCCGCTCAATACTTGTAGTCCGTACGCAATGCCGCAGACCTCACCATCATGTCCTGCCCCGTCAAATACCGCCATCTCGGCGATTTTCCCGACTACTACGCCGGCACACGTACTGCGCCCTATCTCACCATCTTCGTCGGCGGCAACCACGAAGCAAGTTCCCACCTCTGGGAACTCTTCTACGGAGGATGGGTAGCCCCCAACATTTATTACATGGGCGCCGCCAACGTTCTTCGCTTTGGCCCGCTTCGCATTGCAGCCATGTCCGGCATTTGGAAGGGCTTCGACTACAGGAAAACCCACCATGAGCGACTCCCCTTTAGTGGCGATGATGTCAAGTCATTCTACCATGTGAGGGAGCTCGATGTCCGAAAACTGCTTTTGCTGCAGACCCAGGTCGACATTGGTATTAGCCACGACTGGCCGCGCTACATTGAAAACCACGGGGACGCAGCCTGGCTGTTTCGCAAGAAGCCCGACTTCCGAAGAGAGTCGCAGAATGGCCAGCTGGGAAGCATTGCCGCCGAATACGTCATGGACCGGCTGCGGCCTCCGTACTGGTTCTCAGCGCACATGCATATAAAATTCCCGGCTGTCAAAAAGTACACCGACGCCGCTCCAGTGGCACCGTCCACAAATGTGAACGGAGACGAGGCCACAGTGCCCGAGGGAGGAGCAAATCCCGATGAGATTGACTTGGACATGGAGGATGACGAAAACAAGAGCACCGAAAAACCGGCCACGGGCGCAGAGGCGTCCGAGTCCAAGGCCACAAACCAAATTTCTGCCGAACTGCGCGCCCAGCTACCTGCGTCATTCGCAAAGCCGCCGCCCAGGGACAATCGCACGCCTGGCCAGCCGGTCCCTCCAGGCATCAAAAACAGAGAGGTCCGTTTCGTAGCTTTGGACAAGTGCCTCCCAGGACGGCATTTCCTCCAACTATGCGACATTGCACCTTTCAACGCGGCCGATCTCGCAGCGTATCCCCCCAAATCGTCGGGTCCTCGTTACCAGCTGCAGTATGACCCCGAATGGCTCGCCATCACGCGTGTCTTCCACAGCACCCTCAGCATTGGTGACAAGACGGCCCGGCCACCTCCCGATCTAGGCGAAGAGCACTATCTGCCTCTCATCGAGGCCGAGCGTGCCTGGGTCGAAGAAACCGTGGTCGCCAAGGGCAGGCTTGACGTCCCTGAAAACTTTGAACTCACCGCTCCCCCCCATGCTCCTGGTTCTCCGGAGATTGTGGACGAGCAGCCCGAGGAGTACACAAACCCGCAGACGACGGCATTCTGCGACCTCCTCGGGCTGAAGCATCTCTGGAATGCCAGTGCAGAGGAGAGAAAAGCGAGGCGAGACCAAGGGCCGCCTCCGTCAGAATACCAAGGCCGCCGCGGGGGGGCTGGCGGCAGAGGAGGGCGAGGCGGCGGCAGAGGCGGCGGCAGAGGTCGAGGCGGACATCGTGGAGGCCATGGTCACCGGGGCAGGTGGTAAAGCAAGAGCAAAACTGTATCATTACGCGCATGCAACTATAGAGTCCAATGTAATACCACTTCATCACGCCGGCTCAATGTCAACAGACGACGCATGGCCGCACCTCCCAGCCTCCCCATGCATCAGCCCATGTGGCATGATGTATAGCACGACCCACCAAATTCATATGTGTGGCCATCAGCACCCTCATGCCTCCTTGGCACAGCCGGCTGATTCAACCCAGCAACACCCAAATTTCGTCCCCTTCCCGCACCGACGGCGCCGCCATACCAAGAACTTGTCGTCGACCGTAACCAGCTGCCTCCCACCATGTGCTAATCCAAACCCGCTACTCAGCCCGAAACACCCCCTCGCCATCCTGGAATTCATACTCAATGTTCAACAATCCTTGCCCTCCCCCACGCCGGTGGGTAAGTAAAAGTCATTCAGCCCATCTTCAGTACCATTCACGTTTCGAACCGGCGAGAACTTGGACAATGCCCTGTCGTGGCGGCGAGCAGCAGCTCCCGCCGTCGTGGGACGTAATTGCCTCCATGTTCTTGAGCACAAGACCAAGCTCAGCACTCACAGGGTCATGAAGAGTGCTGTAGAATTTTGTGGTGTTCTCGGCGGACACGGGCATGTTCACGTGTTGCAGAATCAAGCCGTCAACTTCGGACAGGATGACGAGGAGCACGGATACGCGGGATCGGCCGGCAAACTCCGCCGGGACATGGGAACCGCAGGCTTCGGGGTCGAATTGGCTGCCGTATGGCATGTCCATGCACAGAGTCCGCCATGGAACCTCTGGTATATTGGGGTGAGGGCCGTGTCCTCTGTTGCCACGGAGTGACGGGAGCATCGAGAGCCAAGATTTGGAATATTCTCGGATAGTCCGGTGCCGCGACGTCCTGACGCTCTGGAGACGGCGCCTCGTCGTGTGCCTTGGGCGTCGAGTTTTGCCGGGCCGCCATCTTTTGGCGGTGTGTATGCAAGTCCTGCGTCAGCGGAGAGTTGGCTCGGGATGCGGTTGATAGCGGGCAGGCTGGAGTCTGGGATCCAGGTTGGCAGGTTCACCATCCTCTCTGACGGATGTACACATGCTGACAGAGTCTGTAGGTTGCCTTGCTCGCGAATCATCTCCCTCGCTGCCCGCGTGTACACCGTCTCCAGCGACGAATGGTAATCGCTTGCCATCTGACTTCCGAAGACAGGTTCAAGACTCTGTAAAACGCGAATATCTTGTCCCTCGGGTCCGAGGCCGCAAAGGTCCGAAAGGTGTACACCATCTCTCGGGGCGTAAATAAGGCCTGCAATTCATGGGCGTTGGTAATATCCTTGCTGTTGGCATGGCACTTCGTCTGCCGCCGCTTGGATACCTCGGCCATGTTCCAGACTATAAGGGCAGCGTCTTGCTCGGGCACAAATGCTGTGAAACTAGCTGTGCCGGGTTTTGCTTCATTTCTTCGGAGAGCGGCTGATACGTCGCCTAAGTGTGCCCATGAGAGGGCATCGGGGCCAGTGTACATTAATAGCACGCTAGGGAGAATGGCTTCCTGCACGATCTAGGCTCTGCTGAACCACGGGCGTTGGTATATGCTGGCTAGGGCTACCCGTTCTGGCCAGGATATATGGCACGCCGGATTTGAAGTAGGCGTCTTTATCGAGGCCGCTACAGGGTTCGATTTGGCTGTCTTGGAACTGCGAGGTAGGAATGTACCGTGTTGAGAGTTTGGATTCCGAGATTTGAGTGAGAATCATGCGGGCCGAGCCATGCGGTTACGTACGTGGCCGCTGAGTAGATTCGGTCCATCATGCTTACTTGGGCTGGCTGATTTATTCAGATTGTGTCAGCCATGTGCTCGGATGGTCCAGTGTATCAACAACGTCATGGTTCCCGTTGGCAACGGCGAGATCAACGGGTTTGCAGCCGTCACTATTTTGAATCTGCTTCAAAGCGCCATATCGAAATACAGCGGAATTCGGGGCCATGGTCGATTGCGTCTGATGCAGAATGGAATCTCTATTTTGAATTCAGGGCCTGGATTCAGGACGTCTGCTTCGAGGCTACCCTGTACTTGACGGAGAAGGAACATTGAAATCTGAAACAGACCAAGGTGGTGGTGGGCCTGGGGGTGGGCCGGCGCTTGGGCAGCTGGGGCAGGCGGTCAGTCAACCACTGCCCCAAACGTTGGCAGTTGCGTGCAGTCCCTGGCAACCAGGCCCAATCAGGAAGCGTCGATGTAAACACTACGTCAACATCGCTGCCCTTGCGCATCCCAACACCATCTTTACGCTTCAACCATTGTTACCACATCTGCGTTGAGCGCCCCGAGGGAACAGACTACACTTACTCCTGGAGCAGACAGGTGAGAATTTGAACAAACCTTCAGAGGCCATGAAAAGAGGACAATGGCCAGTCCGCCACTCTGTCTGTCTTTGCTAGCCCTTCATTGCCCCGCTAACGACTGGAATGCCAGCGCCAGGCCCGCAGCATTCTCCGACCATCGTCGACGACGCTGAACGCCGCCACCATGGCTCAGTTCTTGACCACCGTGTTAGTCCTCCTTTCATACAAGCAGAAGCACCGTCGTGCAACATGACTGCAATGGCGAGCGCTGTTTTCCGTTACCTGAGCCCCAGTTCCATCGCCACCATGCTGTCGCTGGACAACACCATCATCTCGGTCCACGAGGATGATTCCGACTCCCCCACGATGCCCGCAGCCGAGCCTGTGATTGCTGACGCCAAGGCAACGAATAGTAACCAGCGGACTAAGAATCAGTTCCGTCCTCGCGTGGGCAAGGGCGGCGCCACCAGCTACCAGCTTCGACAGTATGCTGAAGTCACATTGGGGGGTGGTAGTTTGCGAAAAGTTGTCAAGCTGCCCGAAGGCGAGGACGAGAATGAGTGGCTGGCGGTAAACAGTGGGTTATCTCGACCCCGGCAAGACTGGAGTATTGTTTCCGTGCTGACTGTGGCAGTGGTGGATTTCTACAATCAGATCAACTTGCTCTACGGAGCCATCACCGAGTTTTGCTCGCCCCATTCCTGCCCCGAGATGAAGGCAACAGACGAGTACGGTCCCCCGAATGTTACATTAGGACCAGGAAAGGTGCTGACATTTCAGATTTGAATACCTCTGGCAAGACAACGAAAACTACAAGAGACCGACCAAGATGCCTGCCCCAGCATACATCGAGCAACTCATGACATGGGTACAATCCAACATTGACAACGAATCTGTTCTTCCAAGCAAAATTGGTGAGTTGTGCAGCTTCACATGTATCAAGCTGGCCAACTGCTGACTACGAGACACAGGCGTTCCCTTCCCCAAGTCATTCCCGGCTCTTGTCCGCCAAATTTTCAAGCGCATGTACCGAGTATACGCCCACATCTACTGCCACCACTACCCCGTAATTCGGGAGCTGGGCCTGGAGCCGCACTTGAACACTAGCTTCAAGCAGTATGTGCTCTTCATTGATGAGCACAGCCTGGCAAGCGGTAGAGACTACTGGGGCCCTCTGGGTGATCTCGTGGACAGCATGCTCAAGAGCGACTAGACATTGAATGAAGTGGTGCATGAGCTCTCTTTGTACGAATTATGGTTCATCTGGCGTTTGGGAATGCTGTATCGCTTTATTGTTTCATTGCTTCTTTTTTATTTTGGAGGGGGCCAAGGTCGGAAAAGGATACAGGCTTTGGGCCCCCTAGCATGAGCTCCTATGCGCCTCCTGCTACAATGAGCACGAGATATTGCACGGAAGCATAGACATTGAGAGCACGAATTAATAACGTAACGTAAACATGAATACGAGTAAGCCATAAACATCAAGAATAAGTTCACGTGCATGGTAGTTTTGAATGATGCTTCATCAGCACAAGACGGGCACAGCCGGCTCAGTTCGAGAAAGGTGGGTCCATAGCCTGTGGTGGATGCCTCACCCGTAAGGCACCAACATCCAAAATTGCCGACACCGAGCAACCTCATCACGAAAACCGGCAGCTCCACGAACGCCGACATCAACACCGTCGAATCACCCTCCCCCCCTCCCTCTCAACATATCATCTTCCGTCCGGAACCTCGCCATGTTGTCTCGACAAGTCTTCCGTGCCGCCCGTGCCGCTGCCCCCCAGCGAGCCGTGACCCTGCGCGCAGCTCCCGTGCGGTCTTTTGCTGCTGCTGCCGCTGCCGATAGCCAGCCCCCGATTGCTGTGTTTGGCCTCGATGGCACCTACGCCTCTGCCCTGGTATGCGACATGCCACCAAGCTTGACGGAGCATGGCCAATTGGTTTCTGTCGGACTCGCGTCGTCACCAATTGAGTCCCCTGCGCCCGGCGACCACAACCACCAAGTCTAACAGTCCAACTAACCCACCTTGCGTCAATTAGTACACTGCCGCCGCCAAAACCTCTACCCTCGATCCCACGGCCAAGGCCCTCAGCAACCTCAACGCCATTGTCGAGAAGGACCCCAAGCTGACGCAGATCCTGGCCGCTCCCACCCTCACCGCCGAGGACAAGACGGCCATTGTCGCCGAGCTGGCCAAGCAGGCCGGCGCCGGCGGCGAGACGGTCAAGAACTTCCTCAGCACGCTCGCCGAGAACAACCGCCTGGGTCTCCTGAAGGGCGTCTGCGAGAAGTTTGGCGCCATCATGAGCGCCGCCCGCGGCGAGGTCGAGCTCAAGGTCACCAGCGCCCAGGTACGTTTTCCGTCCTTTCCCCCACCCCGTCTGTGCCGGCCGTGTTGGCTGACGCCGCGAATGTGACGCACAGCCCCTCGACAACAAGACGCTGTCCCGCCTCGAGACCGCCGTCTCCAAGTCCCAGTACGTCGGGCAGGGCAAGAAGCTCAAGGTCACCAACGAAGTCAACTCGGACATTATCGGCGGACTCGTCGTCGAGGTCGGCGACCGCACTATCGACCTGAGCGTTTCTTCGCGCATCGCCAAGATGAACAAGCTCCTCACTGATACTCTGTAAATTTAATACACTGGCTAGCATATTACAAACTTGTCTCTCTGTTTTTTTGGTAGTCCACGTTTGTTCTGCGTCGGCATACTCCTTGGCTCTTGGGGGGAACGGACAGCAATCTCGTGTACACTTGATGTATGAAGGGGAAAGAAAGGAAGAGCGTGCCGTAGTTGGCGGGCTGGAGAGGACGCTGAAGAGGCGGGGTGAATAGAAGCATTTGCATACACGATTCTGTCTACGGCCTTGTGATGCTGACCCATGTTTGTGCTGCTACTCCTGTTGTAGCCTAGACTCTACGTTGGCCACGGCGACAAGTTGAGCAGAGGAATCTATCTACGCACTCTGTACTTTTGTTCCAGTAGGGCACTTGTATCCATGAATTGACGTCTCGCGTGGCCGTTACGTAGGACGGTCAAATGAAAACATGTCACAAAACGGTTTACCACAAGTCTCGTCGGCGTCGTCGACAAAGTTCTCGGCCACAATAATGATTTCATCTTTTCTTGCATCGTACCTCGTTACATCTAAGCCTTGGTCTCGTACTCGTCTGCGTGGCCCCCGTTGACGCTCTCGTCCTTGTATCTCTCCAACTGATCTGAAATATACCGATGCAGGTGCGAATCCGCCTCCTCCCTCTCCCTGGCCCTCTCGGAATCATCGTGAATGACCGAGTTGGTCACCGAGTGCGCGTCGTCGTCGACCCCGTTGGCAGAAGCCTCAAAGTCGCTCCGGGCCCCGATGGACCGGGCCGTCGAGGAGCGGCGGATCCGGCGCATGCTGGGGGACCGGGGCGTGCCGAGGTCAAGGCCGCGCTGGAGCATGTCGTCAAAGTAATGGGCCATGGCGGCAGACGGCGTGCGCGGGGTTTGGGGGGGGAGGACGTGACTCGTCTTACCCGGTGTCGTGGATCATTCTGGCAATGAGACCGGTCCAGCCGCACTGGTGGGTGGCGCCTAGCCCGCGGCCGCAGTCGCCGTCAAAGAATTCGTAGAACCAGAGATAGTCCTTCCAGTGCTCGTCAAAGTCGAGGCGGTCGTCGCCGGCGTTGATGCTGCGTCTTCCGTCGTCGGTGCGCGCAAAGAGGTGCTGGAGGCGGTGCTGGATCTCCTCGGCCACTTTGCCCAGGTGCATGTAGTCGCCGCTCCCGGTTGGGCATTCCACCTGGAACTCTGGCCCGTAAAAGAGGTAGAACCGCTGGAGGGACTCGACCAGCAGGAAGTTTACACAGAGCCAGATTGGCCCCCGCCAGTTGCTGTTGCCGCCGAATAGACCCGTGTCTGAGTCGCCGGGGACGTACCCAACCTTGAATTGTTGTCCGTTTACCTCCATGGAGAAGGGGCTTTCCTTGTGGAATTTGGACAGAGACCGAATCCCGTGGTCGCTGAAGAATTCTTTCTCGTCGAGCATGCGCTTGAGAATCTTCTCCAGCCTGTCTTTGCTTACAATGGAGAGGAGCAGCCTGTCTCCCTTGCCCCTCTTTCGTATACTGGCCATGTTTCTCTCGGCCATGTCCTCCCGGTGTTGTACGAACCATTCCACCCGCTTGCGGAACGACGGAAGCTTATTCAAAAGCTCTGGTTCCAAGGTGGCCGTTGCGTACAGCGGGATGAGACCGACAAGAGATCGGACTGGCAGCTGCTGGATATATGGACCGCCCCAGGAGATGGCGTCGTAATAGAAGCCATCTTCCTCGTTCCAGAGAGACTTTTCGTCCTTGTGCCCAGTCCTGAAGGTCATGGCATCGCTAATTAAGATGAAGTGCTCAAAGAACTTGGAGGCAATGTCTTCGTAAATGCGTCGGTGCTTGGCTAGTTCCAGCGCAATGTTGAGCATAGACAAGCAATAAAATGCCATCCATCCCGTGCTGTCGGCCTGCTCCAACACGCCACCCGTGGGCAAAGGTTCTGATCGATTGAACAGGCCAATATTGTCAAGGCCGAGGAAGCCACCTTCAAAGACGTTTTTGCCATCGGTATCTTTGCGGTTCACCCACCAGGTAAAGTTGAGCAGCAGTTTCTGAAAAACCCTTTCCAAAAAGTCAAGATCTTGACGTCCGTACATCTTTCTCTCAATTTTGAATGTTCTAAACGTCGCCCAGGCGTGGACGGGGGGGTTCACATCACCAAAATTCCACTCATATCTGCAAAGATGAATTTGTTAGTGATGGCACTGCATAAACCATGTCGTAGGTCATCTTACGCTGGGAGCTGCCCATTTGGATGGCAATACCATTCCCTGGTGAATAAATCCAGCTGCTTTTTGGCAAAATCAGGATCAATCATGGCCAAGGGTATACAGTGGAATGCGCTGTCCCAGGCGGCGAAGAAGGGGTACTCCCAAGAGTCGGGCATTGACAAGATGTCATCACAATGCATATGTCTCCATTGGGAGTTCCGAATACCCATTCGTTCCGGAGGCGGCGGCGGCGACGATGGGTCGCCCTTGGCCCATTGGTCCCAGATGAAGTGGTAATGCTGCTTTGTCCACATCATTCCAGAAAATGCTTGTCGTTGAATGTTTCGTAGGTCGTCAGATATGGGGAGGGGACTGATTCGGTAATAAAACTCATCCGCCTCTTCACGTCGTTTCTCAATAACGTCATCAAATTCTTCTTCGTCAAGATATGTCATGTTCTTCTTGCTGAAACGGAAGCGGACAACTGCGAGGGTTCTGGTCAGCCTACAAATTACAGGGCAACGATTGTTTTGCCATACCTGCGCATTCACCGGGGTTCACGCCACCATCCTCGTTGAAGTTGAACCAAGCAGCTGACTTGGTGCCAGTTTTACTTGGGTTGATGGCTGCCTTTTCCCCACCGACAACGTATCTATGGAACGCGTCCTTCACATAGGGCTGCTTGTTCTTTTGCTCGTACAAGAGCTCATAGTTTGTGTCATTTTCCGTAAACATCCACAGAGGCACCACATCCTCACCACTGGATCCTACTCCCGGTGAGGGCGAGTAGTACACATATCGGTCTCCAAGGCTATAGTGTTTTGATTTGGCGGACAGCTCGGATTCTGCAGCAATGGACGGTCTTTTGTCTTCAGATTCGTGACCCCAGCTCCACGTATTGCGAAACCACACTTGGGGGATAATGTGGAGAGGTGCTGGGTCAGGGCCCCGGTTCCAAGCGGTGACCCGAAATAGCAACTCGTCAGGATCGTCGGATTCTTTAGCGGTCTCGATGAAGATGTCCCAATATCTGTTTTCGTCAAAGACACCAGTGTCGATAATTTGATACTCCTTGTCTTCCTTGCCTCTCCGACCGTTTTCCTGTATCAAGTCTTGGTATGGAAACTTTTTCTGCGGATACTTGTAAAGGAATTTCATGTACGAGTGCTGATGGGTTAGTTTGGGTTATGTTGAAACTGGAAGATATCATAGATGTCTTACTGTCTGAATGGGTGTTAGCATCTGTATTGCCACGGTTTTGAAGCCAATTCCAATATATATATAACTATAAAAGAGAGAGAGGCAGAGAGAGAAAGGGAACACTCACAGGAGTATTGTCTACGTGAAAATGGGCTTCCTTGACGCTCTCGCCATGGTTTCCCTGGGGGTTGGATAGGCCGAACAGTCGCTCTTTGAGAAAATCGCTGCACAAAAGGTTAGCCTGGGCACTGATTTCGGTCCACTGCCAAGCAGCAACGCACTCCTCTTCGTTCCAAAAGCTGAATGCGATGTTCTGGAGACCGTGCGTATCGGAGACACCGGCAATGCCATCTTCACCCCATCTGAAGGCCCGGGATCGAGCGTGCTCATGAGTGAAATCTAGATCAACGGTTAGGATTCTGGCCTAGGCGAGACTAATTGAGCAATTGGGCCATGAGAAGGGCTTACGGCTCCAGGCATCTCCATCTGCGCTGTAGTCCTCCCGCACTGGAAGCTGGTCAGTACATCACTGCACCACGACACTCTGGCAGACAACAGCTGCGCACCTGTAGCCCATTGCCGCTCGGCAACATAGGGGCCCCATTTCTTCCAGTATTTGGTTCGCTCGCGATCCTGCTTGAGGCGTCTCTCCTCCTCGGTAAGATACTCGTGGCCGTCGAAGACAACCATGGTGGACCAGGGTCTGGGAGCAACTGGTCGGATCACGGCACCTCAATTGGTTGGAGAATGGAGCAACAGAAGAGCCAACAGCAAAGGGAAGCAGAGCATAGGGCTTGCTCAGGATGATTAAAAAAAAAAGGAGTAAGTAGCTGGCTTCAAGACGGGGAGCGAGAAGGTAGCTCGAGGGCTCGTGGTGGAAAGAAAAGGCTGTCCGTCGGCACGAGAAGGCTGGTTATGGTGTGCTGGTGCTCGGGAGCATGTGTCCGACGCCACCCACTTGGTAAGCTCCCGCTCACTTATTACAAAGCTAGGTTCTATTCAGTTTGGGCTGGATCCATGTCGAGTCGGTGTATTACTAGAAGAATTCCATCATTGCTTTCCTCGTTGGAGGACAGACGGACGAACGTGGGGCAGGTTCTTGATGGCGGGGCATCGTGGCTGGTGAAGAGTCGTGATTGATGGAGGCTCAACAGAGTTTGTTCTTATCGGGCCATTCCTTGCAAGGGGCTTCAAAGCGTTGGGGGCGTTTTTTCCGTGTTGCTACTAGTACTACGGAGTACTTGTCTGTTTATTGCTTGAGCATCCATCACCTGTTGTTCATGACTATATCGTCAAGAGCTCTAAATGTTGATGGTCTGCAACATGGTATTCAAACCCGCTCCCCCACACGGATGAGGTCTGACGTCTACAGTTTCCACAGCCATCGGGCTGTACAATTGCATTACGGAGCACGATACAGCCAGCCCTTTGATCAAAGACAGGGGCAAGCGCCGCATGGTTATGGGCCATTGTACATTGTCTTCCAATGAGACGGCAGCCTTCCCCCTGCCAGAAGCAGAGCTGGATTTTGCCAAGGCAGGGACAGCAGCATGTACAGTGACGTCGTCGAGTCGTCCCAGGTAAACCACATGGTTACGCGCAACTCAAGATGGCAGATGGTGGCTTCGACTAGCCTGCTAGCGTCTAGTCTCGGGTAGTTGATACAACGAACTGCTCGGCTGGTTTCTCGGAGAGAGGAACACATTTGAATACAGTCTGGTGTTTGAAGCAAAGGCTACACTCGTACCGACGCCATCCGGGTCAGCGTTGGGCAGGGCAATCCAGGCCACCACGGACCGCAGTCGCTACGAATTTCGATGCCGCAGAAAGCGTCGTCTTGCGTAACGGCTCTTGGCTTGCGCACACGTCACGGAGACGTTTGGTAATGGAAGTTGGAACCATGATGCAGCGCACCAAGTCTTGGTCTGGTTGGTTGCACATGTGGGGACGACGACGAATTTTAGGTACTGGCTTACCTCGCTGCAGGGTCACGCCCGCTGAACACCCACTGAAGCTCAGCGCTTGGCGCACCAGATGTGCACCCAGCCAATGTCAATGGATAGTCCTGGCCAATACGTATTGACCACAATGTTTCCATGTTCAGAGGACTCTGCTGCCAGTGCTGCCATGCTGAGCACTTCCATCCCTGTGAACAAGTCACCATTGATCCCCCTCCCCTGTCAGCTTCATGCTTCCAATAATAACTTGACGATTTTGCCCCAAAGCCACGAATCCTACTCCACCCAACTCATCTGGAGTCCCCACTTTGTCTGTTCCTGGCCTGTCAGGCACATTCATGAACCCTCTCAGCCACACGCTGCCACATCTTCACAATCTGAGCCTTGGATCGCCCCAAACTCCGCCACAGGATTCGTCCTCTCACCACTCAACGACCATACATCTCAAGTTCTGTCATCTTTCTTTCCCCGAGCGATCATGTTGCGCTGCTGTTTCTAGGTCTTTATGTCTTTTTCTTACTCCTCCTCATCTAGAATTCTTCTTGTCGCCTCTTCATCGCCTTCCCGTCCCTATACGACTCTCAATTCCTTTTTCTTTTGCCTCCGCCCATACTTTATCCCTAGCGTATATCCGTTCGAGCTTCCGTCCCCGTCTGCCTCGGCCTCTAGACATGTCGGACGCCGTTTCCCTCCTGCGCCGCCTGATTCTCGAGTCGCCCCCTGGAGAATGGGCACTGAATCGCCTCCGCGAACTTCTGATAGGGGCCTTGCGCCAGGGTCCTGTGCCGCAACATGTGGCCTTTGAAATGGATGGGAACAGGCGGTATGCCAAGAGTCACAGGATGGAAACGGTCGAGGGGCATCATCGCGGATTCGAGGCTCTTGCCAGGGTATGTTTAGCTTCCCCATCTCTCCCTCTCTCTCTCCGCGGAGCGAGCTACCGCTAACCGGCGTCTTGGTTGGTGGTTTGCGCATTCTAGATTATGGAAATTTGCTACAAGTGCGGCGTCAAGGTCATCACCGTCTATGCGTTCAGCGTCGAGAACTACAACCGGCCCAAGCACGAAGTCGAAGGGCTCATGCAGCTGGCCAAGGTCAAGCTGGAGCAGCTCACCACCTACGGCGACATCCTAGACCGCTACGGCGCCTGCGTGCGCGTCCTCGGTCAGCGTGAGATGATCCGGGAAGACGTCCTCAAGGTTGTTGACAAAGCCGTTGCTAGGACCAAGCACAACAACAAGTATGTCATCCGTAGACGCTGCCGCCGTTTACCAAACGATGAAGCTAACCCCCCGTGCGTAGGACCGTCCTCAACATCTGCTTCCCATACACGTCGCGGGCCGAAATCACCACGGCCATCCGCAACACTGTCCAGGACTTCCTCAACCCGCCGCCGCCCAAAAACACCCCCTTCTCGCCCTCGCGCATCCGCCAAAAGATCCTGTCCAGCCAGCTCGACGGCAAGGAACCCCTCCCCACCATCCTCGACGCCGACGACGACGACGACGTGCCCGAAGAGACGAGCATGGACAACGACGAAGACGCCGGCGACTCGTCGTCCACCACCCTGCCGCCAGACTCACCCTCGCCCAGCCTCCGCACCCGCTCCTCCTCGAACAGCCACCTCCCCAACCCGGAATCCATCACCACCGACACCCTCAACGACCACATGTACACGGCGTCCGACCCGCCGCTGGAACTCTTCGTGCGGACCAGCGGCGTCGAGCGCCTCAGCGACTTCATGCTCTGGCAGTGCCACCAGGACACGCAAATCGTCTTCATCGACTGCCTGTGGCCCGACTTCGACCTCCAGCACTTCATCTGGGTCATGCTGGAGTGGCAGTGGCGCCAGAAGCAAAAGGAGAGGGACGAGACGAGCACCCTCGTCAAGGCCAAGAGCCGCCGCCTGGTAGAATAGCAATGAGTGTAGAGGAGTGTATTTATACCCCGTGCTTTTCCATAGGGATTTTTTTTTTCTTCGCGGAGGGAGGCACATGGCGTATTATTATCATTTTTTTTTCCAGCTTCTGCAATATAGATTATTCACCTAAATTTAGTTCCATCTACACCACATCTCATGCAGCTGACTCGAGAGCTCTGGCAGGCGTACCAGCACCGTCCTGGGGCTTGCAACCACGCACGGGCATGTATGCAAACATTGATAGCACACCGCATGTACACGACGAGGGCAAAACCACCCTTTAGCCTTGGGCATTCAACCCCCAATAACTACCCGGCATGGCGCGCGTCGTGCAAAGTCTCGCCCTGCAATGTATCTTTCAGGTCCGCCACACGATGAAATTTCTACCATGTACGTAGCGACCTAGACACCCCTATCCAGTCCAGTCCCTTCAACATGATGCCAACGCCGCCGTTCCGTGCCCACGCAATTCCCCCAGAATGTACACCAGACGCCCGGGAAAGCTACAAATCAAATCAAATGGTATACAAAGACTCGCTACAACGGCACCGCGTCCAACCAGCCGACAAGACTCTCTCAGATGTGCTAGCGTCCGCCCGACTTTTTGGCCCCCATTTTCAAGCGTTCCTTGCAGTCCTCGCAGTACCATTTCGCTGCCGAGCCGCACGTTAGAAAAAAGAAATAAATGACTGCACGAGTAGAGATTGCGACGGGATAAAATAAGAGCCAGCACTTACTTCTTGAGCCCGGCGCAACCTTGAGCCCTACACAAGCCAGGTGGAACCACTCGCGCTTGCAGTCGTCTGCATCGCAGGCCACCATCTCGCCATAGCTGACGCTATTGCAGTAACAGTACGTCGGTTCGTCGCCGTCAATGTCGCCGTCTTCGTCGTCTCCCTGCATGCTGCTGCTGGCATCCGTGTCCGCAGCCGCAGCCGCCTGTTGTATGAGGACTACTTGTGCCACGGGTCCGCTCTTCTTGTGGCTCTTTTTGGAGCCCGTTTCTGTGCTTCGCGACGGGCGTGAACGAGCTGCTTCTTGAAAGGTGGCCAGCGCTGGCGTTGACGGTTTGCTTGCCCTGCCAGTCTTTGTAGTTGCCGTGGCGGGAGTCGTTTGCGGAGTGGCGGATTCGCTTTTCCTATCGGGTTCGTCTGGCTTTGCATCCTTCGTCGCAGTGGCAGGCGTAGAGTTGCTGGACGTCTCGGGTCGCTCGCTTTCTTTCTTGGCGGGTTCCGTCTTGACGGGCGCACTTTCTTCCTTGGCTGGTTTTGCTTCTTGCACAGCTCGAGGGAATGCCGCGACTGAAGCCATTTCGGGCGTGCCTTGGCCGTTGCCACTGGGTTTGTTGGCAGCCGAGGGGGCAGGCCGAGCTTTTCCGTTTTCCGCATTGGACTGTATTGAGTTCTGTCGGGCACGGGATGATGCCGGACGGGGCGCGCTGGTGGTGGGAGGCGGCGATGCTCGAGCAGGTACTTTTGGATCGGGGAAAATTCCCATGACGGGAGAGGACGTGACTGAGGGTGACAAGCCGTTCCTAGCATGCATGTTAGTAAAACGGACGCCAAGGTCGGCCGATATGAAACGTATGCCTGGAGAAGAGAAAACAGGAGGCGGTAGACGATGGTCAGACACATACTTCTTCTTCGCTTGTCCACTGCCTGTCGGCAAGGCTTTTCGTTTCTTGGGCCCGTCTGGCGCGGGAGTCCCTCGGGGGCTGCCTGTCTTGGGTTTTGGAGCATTTGTACCAAACACAGTACTCATGGCTCCTCCAGTACCGGTGTTGGCTCCATTGACCGTCTTTTCTACCTTCCTTCTCTTTTGAGGGGGGTTGCCATTGGTAGACGGGGCTGGAATACCCAATGCCGTGCTGTTTGGATCAGCAGTGACAGTTTTTCGAGACTTGGCCGTGGTCTTTTTGGCCGGCTCCTTGTGGCGGGCCTCTAGGTCGTCCGCGTCAGAGTCTTGCTGCTGGTTCTTCAGACCCTTCTTGGCCTGCACAGCTTGCTTTCGGGCGTCGCTTCTAGCAGCCGCCTCTTCAGCGAGTGCCTGGGCGGCGGCCGAGATTGCGGCGGCACCATCCCGACGAGCCCTCTCGGTGTGGGATACTTTGCTGCCAGTTCGGTTCTCGGGATACGCCCAGTGTGTAGTGCTGCCCCATTTCGCTTCGTCACTGAATTCGTTTTCCAGATAGGGCCACACATCTTCGGCTCGCGCAAGCTGTCGTTGCAAGGCCTCATTCGCGGTGGAGAGCACATGGTTCTTTTCTTCCAACGAAACTAGCATCTCTTGAATCTTGAATGCAGTCTGTCGAAAGAGCTGTCGGCGTGGAATATTGGAGGGGTCGAAGACGCTGGTGGGCGCGGCACTGGCCTCGTCGAGTGACGGAGCCGAGGACGCTCGAGCGGGATTCAAGGCCATCCCGCTGGAGCTATTCTGCGTGCTCATGGGGGCTGATGCTGGCTGCGCCGCGCCTGCGGCGTCATTGTTGGCTCTGGTTTCAGGCAGGGATGAGTTGGAGATGGCGGCGACCAGCTGAAAGAGCTGTTCTTCGGGAGCAAAAATCTTGGCGTCGACTTCCTTGAGCAGAGTGAAGTGTCGTACAAGCTCCTTGGGAAGCGCAGAGATTGTGTCGGCAAAATGGGTAATCGCAGGGAATATCTCAATGGGCTGGCATCCCAAAGGACGGCCATTGACGGGACCTCGACCGTCTCCGGATCGATCAGCGTTGGCGGAGCTTCGTTGAGGATTCGTTCGTGCCTGCCGAGCGGGCTGTGATCTTCGATGCGATGGCGTATCTGCCGCCACCGGTTTCGCCGACTTCATCTTGTATATATGCGTCAAATCTATGCTACAGCTGTAGTAGGGACATAAGAGTATATCGGCATATGGGTATGGGCAGGTAATTCTGTTGGGCTCGGGCTGCGGCGGTGGTCGCGATCGGTAGGTCGAGTGACGACGCAGCGAGGCTACGCTGGTGGGGAGCGCGTGGGTGAAAAAGATGACGAGAAGACAGATTACAGATGTGCAATGCTAGACCATTCTGGGGCCATGCCAAAGATTGTGCGAGCAAAAGACATACAGCTGCACACAACGTTGGAACATGGGCGTGGAGGGGATGGGAAGAGGGCGGAAGTTTTGGTCGAGTAAAGTAGCGGGACGCAGATGAGCGCAGACGGGCCAGTTGACTGACCAGTTGACGCAAATGGCAGCTCAAACCTACAGCGTGGTTTGTGGTTCGAGGTGAACTGAGGGCTCCCTACCGCTCAGGCGTCTTCAGGGCGCCACCGCCGCATCCCGATTGGCTGGCTGGCCCAAAATGCCCCGGCTGTGGGAAAATAGAGACTCCGGCGCCGGGCATGAACAAGGCACCTGGGAACTCATCCTCGAGTTGTACCAAGACGTTTTCCGTGACCGGCCAAAGACGCAGAAATTATGGAAATCCATCTCGTGTGGGTTTTCTTTGCCTGTGAGCGCGAAACATCTACTTGCGTATGGTTAGCTTCAAGGCCATCGCCCTACATTTCTTCCGTAGTCAACGCTCGCCTATCCTCTTTGAAGCACCACACCATATGCAGCACTGCGGACATGGGCCGAGAGATGCTCAATGATTTTGCGCACTGGAAATAAAAGCGATGGCTGCGTCGCCTAATAAGAGGCTTCGATGGCTTGTGACTTGCCCTCTGGCCTTGTCACGTGACTACGCGCAAGCTACGTGCTTCTGCGGGTCTTTCAGGGGGCACTTGGTCAGCGTACGGAGTACCGGGAACGGACATGTCCTTTCAAAAGCGTCATTCAGAGAATTGGAGCGCGTGCTCAAATCGAAAGTACTTCTCCCCGGCATGACCGCCAACCTCACGGCATCAACTTCTGCGGAAACATGAGGCTCTTGTGAGTGGTCATCGAAAAGCGACTTCATTTAGGGACACCAGCCCAGACCCGTTTTCGTGGGGCTACACCTATGTATGTACGGGCATATCGAAAAATGAACAAGGAGACATCGTTGTGACGCTTGCTTTCTTCCAGTTAGGATAAAGAAATGGTCAACGTCAATGTACGTTCAAATGCAGGATTCAAGATATATGCCTTTCGCTGGCCTGATCGCTTTGCACTCGAGAGCCCCTGCCCAAGAAGGTCAAAAGGAGAAGATCAGGCTAACCTGCAGAGTATCAAGACGAAGGTCGGACTGCGGTTTCTTGTCTTCTTAAAATCTGTATAGTATGGTGGCACTGAAACTACCGTCTCAGAAATATTGAACTTGATGCGCCCAGCATTTGCCGCATGTAACCCCCACCGGGGACAGGAAGCAGTAGTGTGGCATTGTTGGCGTAAATGTTCCAAGTTCTTTAACCCCTGGCCCAGATTGTTGCAGAGGTTCGTCCGTTGTCATGCCTCCTGGATAGTCAGTCTTGTCTTGATCAACCCCGGTTTGATTCCGGAGGACATATCAGTCAGTATCTCTGGCATGGATTGACACGCCCACTGACAACGTCGGATGACGTTGGATTTATGCGTTGAAGTTGGACGAAGTCTCCCTCAGTTCGTCCTCCTCGACATGGGCCAGTTGTGCTTGTTTGGTCACTGTGGTGGCACTGCAGGGACGTCACCCCTGTATACGCTCTCTGCAGGGGAAACAATTACACATGTTTATTCACTTGCTACACCACTGGTCAACAGGATGATTACCTGGCAGATTGCCATTGGACATTTATGCCGTCAATTTATCCGAGTTCGGCCTGAATAGTCGGGCGGCAGGCAAACAGGGCACCGGCCGAGCTGAGAGAAAGGCGACTGTCGAGTGAAGGTATTGGAGACCGAAGCTTAAGCAAAATATCAAGCATCATGGCGCCCGTAGGGTTGCCAGTCTGAAACACACGGCGACCATTCCGTACTGTCTCTTTCTCTGCGTCCTCTTCTGTTTTGTAGCGACAAGATTGCCCCGCTTGGCCTCGTGCTGAATGAAATGCATTACTACATTGCAGTCTCCAGGCGTATTCCGCGGCCAGGGGAAATCTCTCTCGGCCAAATGGAGCCTGTACAATGGAATAAATTACTTGTTACGGAGCTCGTCTTCTTCTTCCAGACCTCTGCAGTACCGATCCAGAACCTGAGGTTCCCCGTATATTAGGGTGCGCACCCATGTGAACCAGGGGCGGGGGGTAGAAACGTGCATTTGTTGTCACTCTGCAAATACAAGGTCCGGTTCCATGTAGGTATGACAAGCCCTGCGTATTAGTATTATGCCTTCTTGTCCGAATCTCAGTATTGGTGCAGTTGTTCTGTCCACCATCTTTTGCGTCTGGGTACGGAGTACCAGTTACTTAGAATAGACTGCCAGTGGACTCGACTCCGTGTCCATTGAACGCCACGCAGGTGCTCCCAGCGATTGACTGGCTCATGGCTTCATGGTAAAAGACACTTAGCCTTTCTAAGGAGAAGTGTTTGTTTCCTCATCTCTTTACCCCACAATCCGCTAAGACGCAGGCGGCTGGCTTCGGGTTTGGGGATTTTGCTTCGGCGGAGGCGCCGGCGGCTATTAAAGCGCCTGGCAAAAATTAATGACCAGGGCACCAGCATCATCGGTTTGCGGACAGTACGACCTGAGCTAAGGCTCTTTAAGCGGTGTGCAGTGGACCGACGAGGCTACTCTGATATTGAGTTGTCACGAAGCCTGTTATCATGAAACAGCAACCGAGTGAAACGTAAGGTATGGTCGTACGAGAGAAGGGAAGCGATGAGTGCGTGTCTACAGTGACATCATTTGGCTCACAAGGCGAAGAGCCTCCATATCCCTGCTGCGCCGCAACCAGTACGAAGCAGCTCGGCTGCTTGGTCAGGTGTACATCATCCCTATTGGTGACACAACATATGGTTCCACGGCGTTGCCGTTAGATCCAGTGTAGGGCAAGGGAAGCAGACAGCGTGGGACTCGCGGCCGGTGCTCTGGGCTCTCCCATCTGGTTTGGAGTACGGAGTAACTACAGAACAATTTGCTCCGCGAAGAAACAAACAAGCGGTATCAGCCCATTCAGGGCCTGGGTTTGCAGTTGCAGCCTAGCGTGGTGCCAACAGAGTGATAATACCAGACTGCACAGCACGAGCCAGACGAATGTCTCTCATCGTACTCCGTACTCCGTAAACACCCGCCCGGACCAGGGAAGATGAGTACGCAGGTCACGAGGCCACTGTTGGCTGCAACAAATAATTCGGCGAAAATAGACGGGCGGGTGCGGCCGCCACAATGCTGGGTCATCCTTTGCAAAATAAGAGAGTGACTGCCATAGCAAAGGGAATCAATTACGACACACCGGGAAGCGAGCAGCCAGAGGGAGACGGCTTGTGTCTTCCCCGTCCTGAATGTGCGCGCGACTGTGCGCGACTGTGTGCAAGTGAGGAGATGGACACAAGTCCATGACCCATGGCCACTGGCAGTTTTCATTACCACATCTAAACCCCCAGCCGCCGACTAAAGGAGGGCGGGCTGACTTGGGGAGAAGCCGGCAGGGAGTTGTCGACAGCACGAAATGGCGGACACAGGTGGTGTGTGGCATTGGCTCATCCACGGCCTGGATTGCGGAGCGAGGCAACAAACATATTCGTGGTTGCAACAAACTGGCGAGGGATATTTCCTGTCAATGCCCGGTTTACGGGTTTGCCAGTCAGGCGCGGCAGGAGCGACCGGTGCGAAGACATGAGAATGCCGACTGCCGAGTGGCATGGCCAAAAAGAAGGCGGAAGGAACGGTGGAAGCCGCATGGCCCCGGAGCTGAGGCAGGAGCAGGGGAGCAGGGGAGGGGCAGCAGGCAGCAGGGAGCAGGGAGCTACGACTTCAAGCGTCGAAAGTCCGATGCGGCGAACCCACGCCGGCAAACTCGCACCTTGGGACGCTTCATGCAACGTCAGGCAAGCTCATGCTCGGCCAGCAACAACCAGACAGGCAGGGGCCTGCGAGAGCACCACCAACGCCGTGGCAATGGCTAGTATTACGGACTGCAGTCCCACGGAATATTGCCCATGGCAATAACGGATGGCGGTTGGGCGGGCGGGTGTCTGCCCTCGCAGAGCTCACATGACCCGTCAGAGACCCTTTGGCGTCCCAGTCGTCTATTTCCATTACTCAATCCCTCCGATTTTGAGGCTAACGACACGCCAGCAAAGGTCGACTCTGCAATGCTTTCGGGGGTTCCACCGGCTTCCCAAGTGGCGCAATGCGCTCCCAAAGCTCCAGTCCCTACTCCGTACTCTGTCCCCCGGAGCGCGCCTCTGCTGCGCATGCGTCTTGGGCGAATCAGCGCCCATGATGCCAGAGTTTGGGGCAAGGCGAGGCCTGCATCGGCTGCGAGGACATGTCAAGTGCTGGAGCTTGAGAAGGGCTGTGGCGTGTGCGTCGAGCTGTCGGCGTCTTGCTTCTTGGTGGTGGGTGTGTGACAGATGAGCCAAGATGGAGCCAGGCCAAGAACAGGCTAATGACAAAGTCCATGTCTGTCGGTCTCTTCCTGACTTATAACCCAAACACCTTTTGACGCAAACCCACCTGGAAGCCACCGAATTTATTTCCATCTCGTCTGGCACCTCATTCCATGGTCCTCCCTTCCGTCTCGACCATTCAACACGGCAGCCTACAGAACCTTCTCGTCTCGACTGTCCTCCGCAACACCGAATCTCTCGTGACGTAGTTTGCGAGTCAGCCGACACAAGCCGCGGAGAGGCTTCTCTATATCGCCTTGTTTCTTTGCCTTTTTTGCCTCCTCTGACGCGAGCCGTACGACAGTCGCAACTGCAGATCACGACACGCTGCGCTTTCTGTGTGACGATAATTTCTAGCAAATCATCCCGCAGAAGGGGCCACTTGCCGCTACAACAGCCTAACCCCCCAGAACTCTCCCAGTCTATTATATGGCCGTACCCAACGGAGCCGGGCACCGTCGTGTGCTTGACTTCGATACGTCCATCCTGGTCAAATCCAGCATGGCTCGGGCTCTCTCTCCATCAGACACTGCTTCGCGATCTTCCTTCTCTTCTGTCCGGGAAAACGATGATGGGCTTGCCCAGACCTTTACTCGATCCAAAGTCTCGTCCTACATTGAGGCACCCGAGGATGTTTTCGACGAGTCTCCCATTTCTGAGCTTCCTCAGCCTTCTTTCCAGGCGCCCTTGACGCAACCACAAAGTAAGCTTCATGGTTTTTGGTACCCGCCAGACAGCTTCAAAGGGTGGAGGGAAATCCCCATCAAGGGCAAGAAGGCGAGCCGGAGCTTCGATGATTTGCGCAAGCTGGGCATGAGCTGGGAGTCGCCACCTGCATCTCCCGCCCCGGTCAAAAAGCATCACACCGGTAGCTATGCCATTGGCGATGCTCCCCTCGAAAGGCTTCCCAGCGAGGTTCTTGCCTCCATCATTGACTTGCTAGTGGTTGAAATTCCTCCCAACGGACTGACCACGCGCAATACGGACTTGATGGCATTGCTTCTCACATCTCGATCTATTCATGCCACCACACTCACCACACTGTATCGCCACGTCACTATTCCTCACTCGCGGATTTTTCGCAAATTTCTCAACACCATATCTGAGTACCCTTCTCTGGCCACCATCGTTCGACGGCTCGACTTTAGTCACTTCAACCCGTCCATGCTATTTTCCACCGCTAGCGAACGTGCCAAGACGCAAAATCTCACCACTGATACCCTCGCCCAGTGTCTTGAGCTGACTCCCTACCTCCAAGAGTTTTTAGCCCAGGAGTACATCGACACCGATCTCGGACCACCCGTCCTTCGCAAATTGTTCTTCGACATGCCTAACTTGCGGGCGTTGGACTTTTGTGGCTGCTCATCCACAGTGTTCAAGAACTCTTTCAATGCAATTCTTGAAAACTCTTGGCCTGATGAGCTCTTTATTACTAGGCTTTCCTTTCACAAGTGCCTCGGTCTCCCATCGACAGTCTTCGAAACCATTCTGCCTCGACTGGGCAAACTGACCCATCTGGATGTAGCCGGCACACGCATTACCGACGAGGCCCTGGAAAGGATCCCTCTAACTGCGGAACTGACGCACCTAAACCTTGCTAAGTGCAAGGAGCTGTCCGCTGATTGCGTGGTCAAATTCGTTACGTCTCATCCTTCCACCAAAGACTCGCTTGTCTTCTTGAGCTTGGCTACCGATCCGACCAATCACCTGCTGCTTGGTAAGGACGATATCGATGGCCTTCTTCCGCGGTTGCCCAAGACGCTCAAGTCTCTCAGCTTGCGTGGCAGCAGAATGCACGCCTCTCACATCCCTGAACTCACCCGCCTCGCTCAGACACTCGAGGAGCTTGCCGTCGGTCGTGGTTTGGAGATGAGTGACATTCACAAGTTGTTCTGCCATGGCCAGGAATGGCTCCAGCATAATCTGAGATTCCTCGATATTTGCGACATTGAGACGATTATTGGCAGTGCGAGCACCTTGCTCGCGCCCGCCTCCGCTCCGCTCCACGTTATTGAGATCGCAGAGCGAGCTTACGAACGCGCTGCCAAGGTCAACAAGAACCTTCAGCGAGTTGGCTGGGTTGCCAAGGAGTTTGGTAGCCGCTACTGGTTGGTGCGCATGAATGCGGATGGCTCTACGCGAGACAATGGTGGGCGATGGTGGAAGATGGGTGCGGAAAGCTGGGGTATGAGGAAGGTTCCCGTCGCAATAGCAGAAGTGGGTGGAATGTATGGCTCATTTATGTTCGGGCGACGGGTTTAATGGCTTCGCTTGCAACGGCCCGACAACTACGACTTTGATTTTTCTTTATCATCATCAGCATCGCAAAGGCATATCGCATCTCAACTCGGAATTTTGTACGTTTGGCGTTTTGGGGATTGTTTAAAGGCATGAAAACGGCATACCCATCGATGAACAAAACGCATACTGGGACTCGATACCAATTTGTTTCAACTATTCCGGCGAGCATGAAGGAAAGGGGCATTTGGTTCATGAATGGCGTGCATGCGAAAATAAGTTTTCTTGTCTTTTTAGGAATATTGCTTTTCGAGATTAGTAAAATATGTAGGGGACAATGAGCAGAGAAAAAAAGAAGGGGGGGGATTTGAGTAGTGACTACGGAGTAGTAGTGCGTGTTTGTATTGCCGTCACATCCTAGGAGAATCACGACGTTATTCTTCGTTAGGCATAATTTACGCCTGCATAACTACCGCGCTTAACTTGAGCAATGATTATGGTTTTATTCAAGGCATTTATATTATTCGATCGCTTCTTTAATAACAAAGAAGAAGGCTTGCCTCATCGCACTGTGATTTGATGCGTAGCCCAATTTCCCCTCTGTACCTGCCTTAAAGGCCGTCGCGGTGCCACCGGCCGCACGTGACTTCAAACGGAACAACGGCTTACCCGCCCGACGCCAGCTTCATACGCGATAACGAACTCCAGGCTTCCCTTTAGGAGAGACCACAGGCTTCAAGACAACCTGCAACGAGTCTTCGGTGCTTGAAGTCATCATCATGGCTCCCAAACAGGACACGCCCTTCCGCTCGGCGGATATGAGTATGGTGCAGTTGTATGTCTCCAACGAAATCGGTCGGGAGGTCGTCACTGCCCTTGGTGAGCTTGGATTGTGCCAGTTCCGAGATGTAAGGCTTCACACGCACACGCACACACACACACTCTCTGACCCCATCATCAACGGACTATCTTTCAAAGCTTGGAGAATTACCTAACTTTCCTTAAAATCATATAGCTCAACGAGGATGTAAGCGCCTTCCAGCGAACCTTTACGCAAGAGATCCGACGCCTTGACAATGTGGAGCGACAGCTGCGTACGTCATCGTGAGACTGAAACCCATCAGTCGGACGCAAGTTTCTAACGAGACACAGGGTATTTTCATGCTCAGATGGAGAAAGCCGGGATTTCTCTTCGCAAGCTCGATTTGGACACGGAAAGACTAGCCTCTCCGTCCACATCTGAAATTGACGAACTCGCAGAGCGAAGCCAGAAGCTTGAACAACGAATTTTTGCTTTGAACGACAGCTACGAGACTCTGAAAAAGCGAGAAGGCGACCTCACCGAATGGAGGTGGGTTTTGCGAGAGGCTGGGAGCTTCTTTGATCGCGCCCACGGCAACGTCGAGGAGATTCGCGCCTCAATGGACAACGATGATGCTCCACTTCTTCAGGACATTGAGCAGCACCACGGTGCCCCTGAGGTTGAGCGATCATTTTCCGGCATGAACATTGGATTCGTGGCTGGCGTCATTACTAGAGAGCGTGTTGCGGCCTTTGAGCGTATTCTTTGGCGAACACTTCGTGGTAACTTGTACATGAACCAGTCCGAGATCCCTGAGCCACTCATCGACCCTACCAACAACGAATCTATCAACAAGAATGTCTTTGTCATCTTCGCCCATGGCAAGGAGATTCTGGCCAAGATTCGAAAGATCTCCGAATCTATGGGCGCTGAGGTCTACAGCGTTGACGAGAACAGCGATCTTCGACGCGACCAAATCCATGAAGTTAACAACCGATTGCAGGATGTCCAGAACGTTCTGCGAAACACCCAGGCCACGCTGGAAGCCGAGTTGAACCAAATCTCTCAGTCTCTTTCTGCGTGGATGATTCTCATTGCGAAGGAGAAGGCGGTCTACAGTACTCTGAACCTGTTTTCTTACGACCGTGCCCGCCGAACCTTGATTGCTGAGGCTTGGTGTCCCACCAATGACATGCCCTTGATTCGATCAACTCTTCAGGATGTCACCAACAGAGCTGGCCTCTCAGTTCCCTCCATCATCAATGAGATTCGGACAAACAAGACACCTCCAACCTATCTGAAGACGAACAAGTTTACTGAGGGATTCCAGACCATTGTTAACGCCTACGGTACTGCCAGTTATCAGGAAGTCAACCCGGCCATGCCGGTCTTTGTTACATTTCCTTTCCTCTTTGCCGTCATGTTTGGTGATTTTGGCCACGCCATCATCATGTTGTCAGCGGCTCTTGCCATGATTTACTGGGAGAAGTCGCTTAAAAAGGTGACGTTTGAGCTCTTTGCCATGGTCTTTTACGGCCGATACATTGCCTTGGTCATGGGCGTGTTCTCCATTTTCACCGGTCTGATCTACAACGATGTGTTTTCAAAGTCTATGACCCTCTTCCCCAGCGCCTGGAAGTATGAGAAACCCGATGGCTGGCAACCTGGCCAGACTATCGAAGCGAGGCTAAACGACGACGGCTACCGATATCCCTTTGGTCTTGACTGGGCTTGGCATAACACAGAGAACACTCTACTCTTCAGCAACAGCTACAAAATGAAGATGAGCATCATTCTCGGCTGGGCTCACATGACTTACTCGCTCTGTTTCTCTTTCATCAATGCCAGGCATTTCAAAAAGCCCATCGACATTTGGGGTAACTTTATTCCCGGCATGATTTTCTTCCAGTCCATCTTTGGTTATCTGGTCGTATGCATCATTTACAAGTGGACCGTCGATTGGACCAACGATGACCCGAACATTGGTGGGCAGCCACCCGGCCTCTTGAACATGCTCATTTACATGTTCCTCCAGCCTGGAAAATTGGACATTCCACTCTACAAAGGTCAAGCCACTGTCCAGATCATCCTCCTGCTTCTTGCCTTTGTTCAGGTCCCCGTTCTCCTCTTCCTCAAGCCATTCTACCTCCGCTGGGAGCACAACAGGGCGCGCGCCAAGGGCTATCGCGGTATTGGCGAGACGTCCCGCGTTAGTGCATTGGATGGCGATGATGAGAACGATGGTCTGGTCAACGGCCACGGCAATAGCTTTGATGACGATGGCGAAGGCGTGGCTATGATCTCGCAGAATATTAACGAAGAGCACGAGGAGTTTGAATTTGGCGAAGTCATGATTCATCAAGTTATTCACACTATTGGTATGTTGTGCTCTTGTATACATGGCATGGTCTCTATTAAACTGACTGACTGGCGTGTAGAATTTTGCTTAAACTGCGTGTCTCACACGGCCTCGTACCTCCGTCTGTGGGCTCTATCACTCGCCCACCAGCAGCTCAGCATTGTGCTCTGGGACATGACGCTCGGCCCTACCCTCAAGATGTCTGGCGCCCTTGGTGTGATTATGATTGTTGCTGGTTTCTACCTCTGGTTCTTCCTCAGTAAGCCTTGCTCTAGTTGCTGTACATTGGGACACGCCGCTAACAAAATCGGTAGCAATTGCTATTTTGGTCTGTATGGAAGGCACCAGTGCCATGTTGCACTCCCTCCGACTGGCATGGGTCGAGTCCTTTTCCAAGTTCGCCGAGTTTGCAGGATGGCCGTTTGCGCCGTTTTCATTCAATACGCTGTTGGAAGAGACGGAGGAACTGAAAGAGTTTTTGGGATGAGGGCGGCATTCTTGCTCGTCGCTATTTTTCATCTTTTCCCCTTGTTGTTTTGTAGACCTAGGTAGCCCTGTATAACAAGAAATACATCCTAGATTATTATTCAGGTTTCCAATCATCATAGCCATGATGGTACACAAATTTTGCCATCGTCAGGCGCAACGTCCACCTTCTCGGCCCTTGCTCAGGTTGCGGCGTCATTCCCAACGGATGACTGCCACTGTGTCGATCCACTGCACGGAGGAAAGGCACCGGCTTTATCACTTGGATATTTCTACTCTGCCTACCACTTGATCTTGTACATTCCCATGGCGCCTTGTAGGAAAAAGCAAAAAAAAAAGGAATTATCCCCAAAGCGGCGCCGAGACTTCCACGCCCCGTTCCACCACGGCTCTCACTCGGTCTGCAAACACCTTATTCGTACACTCCACCTCCAGGTCTTCCAGCCACACCGTCGCCAGCATCTTGTCCACCTTGATCGACACGCCGGGCACGGGAATACCAATCTTGTGCAAGCGCTCAAGTTCCTTCCTTTTACGCTCTTCCACGTCTGTGCTCGCGCCATCTACGTCCATGGACTCGTCTTGGGATTCTGATTCGGGGAGGCGGGGTGTTTCGACGGGCGATACGTTGTCCGCGCCGAACTGGGCCTCGAGGAACCAGAATAGCCGTTCGAGGCGATCTTCCGCCGAGGGGTGGGCGTGGGGGTTTGTCCCGTTGGTCACGAGTTCGTGGGAGTGGGAGTGCTGTTTTGAGGAGCGCTTGACGGCGGCGGGGGAGGACTCGACGCTGAACAGGACGGCCATGACGGAGTCGGCGATGCCGTCGTTGAGCATGTTGCCCTCCCACTCGAGCTCGACCTCGCCGTTGTTGCGGTACCGGACTGTCACGCAGCCCATGACGAGGTATGCTGCCACTAGGGCGGCGACTTCTTCATCCGCCGGTTCTTCGGGCTTGTACTCCTCCTCCTCGTCGTCCTCGGCGGCTTCTGAGGCGGTGCCGTTCTTGACGCCGTTGCTATTGGCCGTCTGGGCCCGTCGCATTTCGGGTAGTTCTTCGACGGTGCCGAATGTGCCCTCAAGCGCCCACTTGATGAGCTCGATGCCGGCGGCGCTGAGGGTGAGGCGCTGCTTGCAGGTGATGGTGGTTGTGTTGAGGCCTGCGTATTCACGGAGGTCTTCGGGCGCCATGAGGGAGAGCTTGAAGTCGTTTTGGACAAGGACTCCTGTTACGAGGGGCGCGGAGGCGCTGTCGACATTGACGTCTTGGGGGGGCGGGATAGAAGCGAGTTTGCCGACGACCTTGGCCATTTTATCGCCTTTGAAGGGGATACGCAGTTCTTCGCAGTTCCGGGGGGAGTAGACTTTTACTTTGGTGGTTTTGGAGGCGTTGAGGGAGAGGAGTTTGGATTTGAGACGCATCATGTTATGTTGTTCGCCATGGACAAGGATCTATGTGATTTTTTTTCTTCTCGTTAATATTGGGAGGGCTGTCTGTGCCTGCATGCGGCGGGATGGGACAAGATGGGAGGGGAAACGTACGACGACCGGTGCGGCTACTTCCTCGATGAACTCTCGGTTCTCAACGCCATCAACGTGTGCAGCGAACGAGTATTCTGCAACGCTGCATCGTCGGGGAATGAGAACCCTCTCCGACTCTCCGCCTGGGGCTCTTCGTCCTGCGGCGAGGTGACGAGACATGACTGCTGGGATTTGGTCCGGTTCCTGCATGATTTGCCGGGCCATTGTGCCCTCGACGCTATAACCTGTGATGATGACGCCATTTTTCTCGCTGGGCGCCCATCTTTCAAAGAGCTCTCTGCTAACACCGCTTTGAAGCATACCGGGACTGGCGAGCATAACGCAGCCGCCGACGTCGTCAAAACGGTCCAGGTTCTTGAGCGATCGGATGTACTTGAAATCCCACGGTCCTCCTTGGCCAGCACCATCTCCGCTGGCTTCGGCTTCGGCCATGCGCTCTCGGAAAAGACGCTTGATGTTATCGTTCATGGCGCCGACATATGTTTGATAGACAACCATGCATTTTCTGGCGAGATTACTCGCATAGTAGATGGGGTATTTTTGGAACTCGGGGTGCTTTCCCCAGTATTCGTCCAAAATGAGGAGGAGTTCTTGTGCTCGCCCAAGCGCAAAGACGGGCAGTAGCGCGCGGCCGCCTCTATTTAGAATGCCAGTGATGGACTTCATTAGGGCTTGCTCGCGCTCCAGCCGGGGAACGTGGGAGGCGATGCCATACGTCGATTCTGTGATGAGGACATCAATTTTGACGTCCTTGGGTACTTCAGCAGAGACCAAATGCCGATCTTGCTCGCGGGAGTAGTCTCCGGTAAAGAAGATGTTGAGCCCGGCAATCTCGATGAGGAACATGGCCGCCCCCAACACATGGCCAGCAGGGTATGGAGTGATTCGGATGGAAGAGATGGTGTGAGTGGTGTGGTAGTCGATGGCTTCTATTTGAGAAAAGGTATTCAAGTGATCTTGCTCCGTGTATACTGGCTGCGTTGTGGAATTTGAAGACGTATTGCCGACTCGGACGCTGTCTTGAATAAGCCATTTGTAGATGGCTTTGGTCGGATGCGTCATGAAGACACGGCCGCGGAAATTAGTCTTGGCGAGGACGTAAGGTAATGAGGCAGCATGGTCGACATGGAAACTGTTGCGGGCGTATCATTAGCTTGTGAACAAATTCTGTTGAGTGCAGGCGGTACTTTGAGCTTGGCCAACGATGGGGAAGATCACGAGCAGGGAGCAAACAGAGGCGGAGGGTAAAATGGCATAATGTATTCATTTTATACGGTACACAGGCGTATAGTATCATGACAAGTACAATGTTTCTTGATTTGGAAAAGAAAAAAAATAGAATGCAACATGTCCGCCCATTGCATATTGAATATCAAGCTCGTGTCTTATCATAGCCAAAACCGCATTGGCGGGCGTCAAGGTCAAGGGCGTGAGAACTTACTGGCTAATGAGAAGTACATCTACGGTGCTGAGATCGAAATCGTCGTAGAATGGGAGGGCTGCAAGTCCGTCGTACGCAGGGTGTTGCCCAGCGTCGAGCTGTAGGAGAAAAAGAGGTCAGCTTCGCCGTGTAGCAATGCGACAACAAACTATTTACCATGACGGTTTTGCCCTTGTATTGAATAATATGGCACGATCGACCGACTTCGTTGCCGCCACCTAGACAGAGAAACATGAGTTCATCGGAAGGGTCGACGGGCTCCTCGGCCGCAGCCGCAGCCGCATTCATTGCCGACGCTTTTCGTTTTGAAGCCATGGTAGCGACGGGCGGGCGGGCGTTGAGTCTCGGGTCGTTTTCACATGGGCGACGGCAGGTCTCTTCCTGAACAATTACTAGCGCACAAGTGTGAATATCACATCCGCACACTTCGACGGAGCTGCTACGCACGTAGCGTCTTTCATGACACCGACAATGTCGAGATGGCGGAAGCGCAAGGCAGTAGCGACGAGCTTGGTGTTGTTGAAGCTGCCGGGTCCGGAAAAACATCGGCCATGACAAGGTCGACCTCCGCAGGCAGTCCAGCCCAAGCAGCAACGCGCAGCCTCTGGAGTCGAGAGGCGTGGGACGCGCCAACGCAGGAGACTGCATCACGTGACTTTAAATTTACGCAGCCCCCGATCTCCCGTGGAAGCTGCCTTCTCTCGACTCTGGCCAGCACCGCAACCGATAACCTCGCTCCCACGACCCTACCGATCTCGCCTCCGCGCGCAACATCGCGCCAGCCCTCAGTAATTGTTATTTTCACCCTGGAACGATTGATACACCGCTCTGGATCGCCTGGCGGGTTCTGCGCGTCGGATGGGAGGATCCACGACTGTTGTGGCAGGCTTCCGTGCCTGCTGAGAGCATCAACCCCCTCGCCTTGCAGGGCCGCGTCTTCGCCGCCTGTCTCTGTCGCCGTGCTTCAAGGCTCGGCGGCTGATCACTCGCCATGGCTCAACCTCAGTCGCAGGTCCCCCCGCGGGCCTTTTCGCCGCCGCAACACAGTCCTTCGCCAGCCGGCTCACAGCCGGGTTTCGCGTTGCCACCGAACAAGAGGGTTAGAACCGATGGTGGCCCAGCTTCGCAGCCAGGCTCCCCGTATGCCATTTCGCCTTATGCTGCTAGTCCGGGCGCTGCAGGAAGTCCGCCTCTGAATGCTGCGTCGCCGACATTTTCGCAATCAACACCCATGTCTTCTGGGTACAACACTCCTTATACAAACGGCCACACTGCACCAGCCTTGAATCTTCCTGACGCACGTGCGGGCGCCAGCACACCTCCCTTGAATACACCGCACCCTCCGCCTCCACCGATATCGATCCCCCAGTACACAAACGCAGCAATGGCGCCGATGCCGCAAGCAATGGCATCGCCGGCGCCACTGCCCAATGTCATGGGGCCTCCCCAACGACCGGCCGAGAGACCGACCAAGGATTACGAGTATGATGTCACAGATTCGCTGGCGGGCACTGGTATCGATTTGCGGGCAGAAGAGCAGTACATGTCTGAGCTGTACTCGAATGCCATGGATGCAAATTCGGAAGCCAGGACCGGGTTTGCTCAGCATCCGGCCGCAGGTAAATCTTCATTTTACGGAGCTGGTCCGGCGAACCAAGCGCCCGAAACTGCGTCGGAACAAAACCAGAAGCAGCTCGCTGCAAAGGCGGCTGAACAAGCTTGGGCCGACTCATCCATGCGGCTGGCCGTTCAGCGAACGCAAGAGATTAATGACCCTTTCCTTTTGGTTGCCATTCTTCATCGCAGGGCGGAAAAGATTGCAAAAGAGAACCATATTAGTCTCAATCTAGACATGAAGAACAACGCACAAACAATGGGCAAGATGCGCCTTCCTGAACAGTTTCCGACCCCCAAAGTCACAGTCAAGGTCGAACCCGGACCCGACTCAGCAATGGTACATACTACTGGATCGTACATCCCTCACGACTCGTATCTCGTGGATCAGCTGGCTTTGATGTCTATTGCCACAAAGCAACGGCTACGCGAGATGGTTGAAGATGCGGGCGTTGTTGCCACCAATAGGCAGAAGACGTCACATGGAGAAATTCCCGAGGAATGGACGGCCGCGGCGGCGCCCATGAATGCAGAAACCCTAGGTGCAGCAGAACCTACATCAACAACAGAAGAGGGCGAGGATGGTGTTGCAGTTCCGTCCGACACTGCACCCTTAAAACGTGAGAATTCGTGTAGTCCCCTTGTTTATTTCTTGTATTTATTGAGCTTACGACTGATTTATGGCAGGCTCCGCCGACGGTGCTGGGTTGGGAAATGGCGCCAAGCCGCCAAAGAAGTTGTCCAAGATATCGTCATTTATGACGTTGACGATGAGAGAGCTGGCGAGGCAAGAACGCGAGTGGGAAGAAGCCCGTTTACGCCGACGGCAAAAACGCAAGGACGGGGTAGGAGACGCCGCAACCCCCTCACGGTCTGGTAGTATGGCACCGGGAACACCAGGATCGGTAGCGCCCGAGTCAGATAAGCCAATGACGAAGAAGGAAATGAAGAAGAGCCAAGCACTCAAAGCAGCAGAGGCAAACAGCCACGCAAACCAAAACTTGACCAGCAGCATGTTTGCAGGGCTGGGCGGCAAGAGCAGTCTGTTTGGCAAGAAGAAGGGAGCCAAGACGTACGACTGGATGAACGTAGGTCGTGGAGGAAGCGGCGCAAGCACGCCGACGAAGGCAGCAGCCGGGGGTGGCAAGGGAATCAACGGCACGCCCGGAGCGATATCAGCGGCAAACGTGGCCATGACAACAGAGGGGCGAAACCGATTGGGCACATGGCGAGAGGACAAGGAAAAGGGAAAGAATATCCAACTACGAGACTGGGTGGTGGTGCTGGAGAGGGACGGACGAGAGTCCAAGGCCCTGCAACAAGCATACATCCACTTGGATGCCTCCAATCCGAAGTAATGGAGCAAAGGGGACCGGGATGGTGGCTAGAAAAGGGCTGCAAAATGATTTCTGTGATGGTCATCCGGGCTTTTTGACAGATGCTTTTTTTTTTTTTTTTTTTTTTTTTCCCCTTGTGGCGTCTCGTTGATTTTCTTGTCAGCCCGGCGTTTTTACATGCAAAAGGCGTAGGAAAGGTTGGTTTGGGTTGGGGGCTCCCGGCATCTTGTTATCTAGTTTGCGGGCAAAGAATTGGTAGCATCGCAATAGATGCGTATTAATGAAATTGCGGCCCACGGGTGATGTGAGGTGGTCTTTGTCAGCAGCGGCATCTGGGGTCGTGAGTCTTGTGACATCAGGCGGCATGGTGGATCTGTTGTCGGATCAATGTCTGGTCGCATCTGGACCTCACATAACCCATCAACCACATGTCACCTCGCCTTGCGCAGCGACCACGACACCATGGCGATTGCAGTTTGTGATGCCGCACGCCCCCTTGTGTTGTCTCTGTCTGACCAAGTCCCAGGCAGTCGGGCAGATCTGTTCCACGGCGTCGATGAAGGCCAACCTCGACCAGTGTGTGAGACTGGTTTCCAAAGCAGCCATCGGCGGAGCAAAGGTACGTCAAAGGGGACGGACAAGACGGAGACACGGCACCGAGCGAGGGTGGAGAGTGAGACGTCGTGTCAAGATTGATAAGGCCAATGCTGCCATGTATGCGCCGTACAGATGCTGCGCTTCTCGGGTGAGACATCTGCAGGGCGGGCTGTCTCGAGGAAAAAGACGATGACCACGACCACGGTTGTGTCGCCCTCTTGGTGGGTGTTGGCGTAAAACACACAGTCACTCACCACATCGCCAGGTCCTCTTCCTCCCCGAAGCATCAGACTACATCGCGCACAATGCACAAGAGTCCCTCGCCCTCGCGCAGCCGCAGTCCACGTCTCCGTTTGTCCAGGGCCTCTGCGCCGCCGCCAAATCGCACTCGGTGGCCATCCACGTCGGCGCCCGGGAGCCGCTCCCGCAGCAGCCCACGTCCAAGCTGCTCAACCGCGCGCTCTACATCTCGCCCGCGGGGGACGTGGTCGACGCGGCGTCGTACGACAAGCTCCACGTCTTTGACTACGCCAGCCTCAGGGAGAGCGACACGGTGCAGCCGGGATCCGGGCTCACGGCCCCGTTTGACTCGCCCGTGGGCCGCATCGGCAGCCTCATCTGCTTTGATGTGCGGTTCGCCGAGCCGGCCGTCGCCCTGGCGCAGCCGGGGCCCGGGAGCCCGTGGTGCCGGCGGCCGGCGCAGGTCCTCACGTATCCCAGCGCGTTTACGCTGCGCACGGGACGGGCGCACTGGGAGGCGCTGCTGCGCGGCAGGGCGATAGAGACGCAGAGTTGGGTTGTGGCCGCGGCCCAGGTTGGGAGACACAATGACAAGAGGGCCAGTTACGGGCGCAGCTTGGTCGTTGACCCGTGGGGGGAGGTCAGGCTGAGGCTGGGAGGGACCCGGAACGACGAGGGCGAGGCCGAGGATGGCGCCGTCGAGGAGATTGGCTTTGTGGATATGGATATGGCGCTTTGGGAGACTGTTCGGCGGGAGATGCCGCTGAAGAGGAGGTGAGTCTTGACCATGACGGCGGTGTTGAAGTTGCTAAATCGTTGACCGGCAGGGAGCATGCATATCCGGAGTTGTGAGTCTTTGGGTGTAGCTACGAATGATGAAGACATGATTGCTCCCTTTTTCTTGCAGTCATCACGACGGACGCTCTGTTCGGATTCCCTACCGTCTGTTGCAATGCTGCCAACCGTTGTCGTGAATACTCCCTCTACCCGAGCAGTCAGGCACGGGCATACAAGACGTCAACCAACGACAAGTACGGAGTATGTATGTACATACGTTCATCCCACGATGCTAATAAAACTAGGCAACGCGACCAACACGTAGTAATGACGGTTGCGGCGGTCCGCTAGGCCGCACCGCCCAACACCATCATCGCCACGACGCACAGATGCCACCAGGCGAGGAGCCTTGCTTCTTCCGTCGTTGTTGTGTATCAGGACAAGACCAACCGTTTAAACTATGTATGTGTCCAACCCGGCATGTAACAGGCAGGCATGCGATCATGGGACAAGCAACAACAACCACCCTGCGGACATACAGCACTAGCACTAGTCAACTTCACATCCATTCACATTCTCTGTCTAGCCCAAGAAGCCAGTTTAGCTCTCTACTAGTGAGCACAGCCCGGGCAGCAACCCGGCGGTCCAAACGGGCACCAACAATTCTGACCTGTCAACTTACACGGCTGCTCCGTGTCCTCGCATGAATCGCCTCCACGCCCGAAGCAACCACCAAAACAGCACCTCGCAGTCATTTGTCACTTCCATCCCGTCTCGTGACACGACAGCAGCTCAGCTGGCCCTAACAACCTCTGTCTGACGATATACTACTACTACTACTACTACGAAAAGAGAGCACCCACACCTCCCTCCTCCCCCTCCAAACAAAAACCGCGGACCCGACGCTCTGGCTCCCCGAGCAGCCCTCTCCAACCAACCAGCCAACCGGCTCGCGCCCAAAGAAGCCCATCCTCTCCCACTGTTTCCCCATGCAAAAATACCGTGCAGTTCGTCTCTATGTAGCACTAGTAGTACTTGCTTTTCGAGGGGGGGGGTCTCATCGCCCTCCCGCAGCGACAGCCTCGAACCGGCCCGTGACCAGACCCTCCTGCAATGCGCCACGCATAAGACACTCTTTTTTTTTCTTTCTCGTTTTTTGCTTTTTCCGCCTCTTTCCCCAAATCTGCATGTTGGTCCAGTCGATCGTTGCTTTTGGCTCCATTGTATCTCTTTCCCCGGACGGGTTGTTGCAAATCGCCAATGGCCGTTTCCCCGGGCACACACGCCCCCGTCTGTATTGTATCAACACGCCTACTTCCACTCTTACGGATTCCTCTTTTTTGCTTTGCATGACACAAAAAAAGAAGAAGAAGCAACGAAAATCCTTGGAATGAGGTGAAATGAGTCGCGGGGAAAAGGGCAACAAGAAGGAAGAAAAAGGAAGAAAAAGACCCCAAGACCCGGCCTCGCTTGTCGTCTCTTTTCTCCCAAACGGTTCAGACGGCCCTTCCCAACAACTTGGTACCTACTGCTGAATGTCTCGGCCGAAAAAGGGGAGAGAGAGACGAGGAGGCATGGGAGGGGGGGTGCGATCGGGCCAGTCTCTCTGGACCCTTGGTGGTTGAAACCTGCATTCGACAGCGGCGGCGGCGGTCCTGACTGACCTGTCCCAGTTGTTTGGGCGAGACCTCGCAGCATATGTACGCGCCATGTTTTACCCGATCACGTACTTACGGTACTAGTGTAAATGAAATACTACATGTTTCAGAACCCAGAAGCGTGAGCTTCGTCATATTTCTTCTATTCTAATAGACCAAAAGGGGGACCGGGGGGGGAACAGCTCTCATCTAGTCCGCGCCCCGTTGTACTGTACATTTCTAAATGACACAAGCAGTCTCTTGTCGCAAAAAGTACTATACAGGTGTTGTGCGAAGAGAGAAAAAAAAAAGAAAGGGAAAAAACGGGGGTATCATACATCCATATGGCCCCAGTCCTGCCCAGAGCCGTTCATAGCCCTCCTCAGTCTCGCCGTTGTAATGTGTTGGTGGTCTTGTACAAGGTAATGGTACATGGTAACGAGATGTGAGCGGCCCATCTGTGGACGCTTAGTTCAACCCGATTCGCAATCGCCGTGAGGTGTCGCAAACCAGAAGGATAAAACAGGAACGGAGTGAAGCAAATTAGGAAAAAGAAAAGCCGATAAACGCAGAAAAAATGAATCTGTACACAGCCGGCAGGAAGAGAATCCCCAAGATGAAAATGACAAGGAAAAGGAAAAACACAGCAAAATCCCCAAAAGTCTATATGTGATGATTGTCCCCAAACCGTGTTCCCAACCTGGTAGTGACCCAATCTGAGCCTTTGATCTCATCCCGTAGCACCTAGCTGAGGAAAGAGGTCCTAGTCCCGACATATCTCCCCGCTGTGCCATCTCAAGGTCACCATCCAAGACATGTCAAGACATGTTCAGATCTTCGTTCCAGCGAGGTGGACACCCCCTGGAAGACGCGGTGATTGTCTCAAAACCTGGCAGACTGGAGATATGACGAGAAAAGATGCTCGCTCTCGCCAAAAGCAAAAAGTGAAAAAGAAAAAATGAAAATGGGGACAAAATCGAATCCCAGTAGTATCCCAGTCTATAGTTTTGAACGCCGTGTGCCGAACCATATCTCGGAAACAAAAAAAAAAGATTTTTTCCCGTGCATGTGCTGAACATGTCGCAGCAAAATAAAACAAAGTTCCATGGATAGCTTTTGGTGTTCTCGCTGCTGATAAGCAAGATGTGGCTCCGAGCCGTGTTGTGTACAAGTCGACTGATAAAAAGGAAATCCCCAAGATTAAAGTAAATGTGCAAATATGATACCGCAGGCAGGGCGAATTAGAAGCCTCGGGAGGGAAGGAATAAACATGGCCATATCGTGAAGAACGAGTCCACAACCCACAGGGTCAGTGGGTCAGATGCCTGTATCAAACCGTTGAGTTTTCATCAACAGCCGGATAACAAGATTTATCGAGGTTGGGGCCGTGGTGGTGGCTTAGGCACACCAGTCGTATCATAGGCACCGCGGCCCATGTTGCAAACGATGGATGCTTGTCGTACCATTTTGCTGTTTGTGATGGACGGTATAGGTTGTAGTGTACACTGTACTATATTGGTTAGACACCGTTTGCAAATGCGTATACTGGTGCGGCAGGTGCAAAAGGGACTCGAGCTACCGCTCTATATACATGAGAAATGGAAACTTGAACAGGGAGGGCCCGAGGAGTAAGACATGGGTCGACTCTCAAATCAAAAGCAAGCGACTCGGGCAAGCGAGTGTATTGGCAAATGCCAGTTAGAAAACAAGCGACAGTGACTCACAATAATGACGAAGCGTAATTGGTGCAACCGAAAGTTGGCGTGTCCAATCAACAGGAGCACAATTAATTATTGGTCGAGATATTCGGAGGCGATATGAAAAGGAGAGAAAGCCTGAGAGAGTGACTGCCGAATGGCCGGCCAGACTGCAAGTGTTGCCGCTAGTATTGGACTGTTTGGGCACAGTAGCTGATAGAATGCTGGTGTGAATGGACGAGGCGAGATGGATCGGCACCGGCGCGTTGGAACGAGGCTACACAGGGCGAATCGCTGTTGCAAGATGGAAAGACTGGACGAGTACAGAGGGTAGCTCGGGTTGAGAATCGCGTGTCTAAGTGCAACGCAGTGCGAGGGCAGAAAGGACCCTGCAGATGGTGCGGCTATAGTGTTGCTGCAGTCGGTTCGGCGAATCCAGACTACGTGGGTATGAACCCCAACAGACGGCTTCGGTGATGAGCCTCGGTGGTGCTCTGTTGCTGATGATATATGGGCTTTGCTCCTGCTGCTGCTCCTGCCACTTTATGAAGGGGGGGTCTGGGGCGGTTATCTTGGTTGGCGATTGAGTCGCGCGATCGAGACGTCAGTCAGGCACGGACGGGTACCTAGCGCTGGTCGCGAACAATTGGCTCCAAGAAATCTTGGAGCTCTGGGACGGATGGCGGACGGCGGATGGCAGATTGTGGCGCCTAAATTTGTCTAAGTGAGAACAAAGCCAGTGGGGTCAAGTTCTCAAAAATAACAAGAGAGCTGAAGCTCGGGCTTGGCCAGACGAGGTCGATTATAGCAGGGCAGACAGAGATGCAGGTATCGCCGGTGGGCAAACAAGGCAATGCCAAAAACCAAGCTCAGGGCAAATCAAACAAACGAAGCCAAATTGGCGGGTGATGAGGAGGAAGTCAAAGGGAGAGCAGATCAGAGGAATCGGGGTGGGATGAAGAGGGAGCAAGGCGCTTTTGTACAATTACCGGCTGGTCAAAGGCCATTCGTACCCAGTACAAAGGCAACAGGCTAGCAATAATGATTGTCGAGTCGTTAACTTGGACTTGGACTGGGGAAAGCCAAAGAGTCAGTTAGGCAGGGCACAAAAGCAAGGGAAGCGGAAGGGGGGCGTGTGGTTACGTGCCTGGCGTGTGAGATGCTTGACAGAGCTTGAGAGCCAGACACTGGGCAAGACTCCTTTGCGGTTTGAGACCTGGGATTTGCGACCTGCGACCTGCGACCTGCGACCTTGCAGTGTGAAGTAAATACCCAGCCCCAACGCTTTGCTTCTTGTCCGTGCTCATGAAAGGGTGTGGAAACCGCCGCGGCAAGGCAATGCCCCGTACCTTGCACCACCACGCGCAGCGGCCTGGCCAAAAAGAAAGAATTGAGGAAACTTTTGCCAATTGCCCAGGGACCTGGGAAATTTCATCCCGGCATCTTGGGGAATGAAGAACAGCGCAGAAGGAGGGCCTACACGGTCACCAGCCACTCTCGCATCCATGTCGCGGTCGCCCAACGGGGAGGAATACTGGTCCATGTACGGAGTAGCTCGTCGCTGAAGTGAATGTCAGAAGTCCCAAGCGTACCTACAGCGTGCAGGTGCCTAGGAGCATGAACGTGGCCATCTCCAGAGCCGAGTCGAAAACACAGGGCCCCGTGCT